GATTTGTCAATTTATTTACTGTTGAGAAAAGAACGCGTAGATTGTTACTGCAACCTTTGATTGTTTCGGAAAAATAAGTTTCCCTCGTTCTACGTAGCACACCCTGCTCTGGGGGCTGCAGGCCTAGCGAAGCAACGTTATGTGCCCGGGAAATGCCGGTCGGCCTTTATTGAAAGAATTCTTTCCACCCCGACCTCCTCTGCCATAGGGAGGCCGGCGGTGGGTGCGTTGCTCCCGCGAGCCACCCGTGGGTCTGTCTGGACCCGGGGGCCTCGTCGAGGGGGGACGATGGACCACAGAGCGCGGATACGGGTCAGGACGCCTCCCGGGCGAACGCTCTCTGCCTCTGTCCCGGCTCCGTGATGGTTGGTGGGCCTCGCGCCTCGGTGCTAGGTGCGGGGCTAGCCTAGCCGAGTCGTTGGCTGCAGCCTCCAGTCTCGCCACCAGGGCCAGCATGTCCGGGCCGAAGAGGGACGTCTGGGGAACAGGCAGGTCCAGCAGCTGCCTCTTCTCCGCCTCCCTGATATTAGCCAGCCCAAGCCAAAGGTGCCTGGCCCCGACTTGGGCTGCTGCCATGGAGCGGCCGCCATCCACGGCTAGCGCCTGGCACATGCGCAGGATCGCCGCCGAGGTGGTCCTCGCCTGTGACAGGAGGTCTCCACTGAGCGCCTGGCCAGAGGAGAGCGACCTATCCAGGGCCCCCGTGATGAAAGTCATGTTGTTAGCCAATGTGACGACCTGTGCCGCATTGGCATAACATCTATCCAGCATCGCCAAAGACATCCTGTCCCGCTCGGAGGGAAGGAGAGGTCTGGTGCCGGGCCACACGGATGCGGAGGGCTGCAGGGCCATGCGGACTGAATCCTCGATGTCCGGGACACCACCGGTCCAGGACCAGTCCTGCACGCTGCAGTACATGCCGTAACCCAGAGCCGGCCTCTTGGCTGCTAGGGGCTTTGGCCACTCACGTGTCGCGTAATGGACAATCGGGTCCATCCGCGGGCACAACGTGGGTTGTATCCTCCTCCTCCCTCGAGTGGTGGCGCCAACAGAGGTGAAGTCCTCCACCGTCTGGATCGGCTGCGGTGGCAGAGGACCATCCATGATGGCCGCCGCGGAGGAGTAGAGCCCAGGCATGTGGTCCAGCTCCGGGTTCGACACCACCTCGTCCAGGGTGAGGAGAGAGCCGATCTCCGAAGCCTCTCCATCCTCGCAGTCACCCCATTCTGTGGGCAACGACGGCGTCCGACGCCGGAGGGCGAAGGGGAACTCGGACGAACAACGGAAGACATCTCTCAGAATGAAGTAAGTACTGTGGTAGATCTCAATCAGCGCCAGAGTGAAAGGGGGGGTGCGGCCTTGTGCAGGGGCCTTTATAGAGGAGGGTCGCTAGTGATTGGAGCAAATTATTTTGATCTCTCTGCCGTGTGACTTGGGGGTCACGTGATATCCCACTAGCGATCATCATGATCAATGGTTTTGTGTTACAGCTCTTTCCTTTTGCTTGAACACATTTTGCAAAATTTCGCTCATTGTCTCAAAACCCGACACACAAGAGAACCAGACACACACTGGGACATAAACCATTCACATCAGTCTCAAAATTAAACTCCTTTATCAAACCTAAACTCTGCTCTCAAAACTAAACAATCTTTTGTCAAAATGAAACACACTTGCATCATGAGAACACACTTTCAGATTGGAGCAACACACTACAGTACAGTTCTGTGAAGCTCAATGAAACTGATTTTGTTCTCAATAAAGGCTTATCAACCACCAGGAAGTACTGAAAGGTCACAAATAATATCAACTCAATACTGTACATCGCCCTACTAAAGTATATTTTACTGCATTTGTGTCAATGCAGTACACAAAAAACCTCTAATGCAAAATTAGGCACTTGTGCGTGTGTGGATTATGAATCATAGTCCCTGCTCGGACTGTCTCCGCAAAGACCAGTTCCTGCTGTTGGTGAACAGCTGTGGAGCACCTCGAGAAGGTCTTCTAGTCATTCTGTATAAATATACACCACATTTTTTTTACTAAAGGTTTAGTTCTTTTTTACAGTACTGTTTACTGTACACAGTACTGTGACATCTCAATGGTACAGTACTATGTACTTTGCTGTATTGGATGTTTCACAGAACTACCATTAAAAAAAAACTAAAAAAAGAGCAATAGCCAATTTTCAATACTTTACATGTGATACGGTAAAGCATTGTAAATGCAGTCTGCAGTAGACAGTTACAGTACATGTTGAAGCAGTGGCGGAGCCAGAGGGGTAGCCAGGGTGGCCACTGCCACCTCTAAAAATATCCTTGCCACCCCCAGTGCCCCCCTCGGAAGACGGCAATGTAATAATGTTAATCTTGAGAATCTTCCGCACTTTTTCCGCCAAAAGCTAAAAATTCCCACGGTTTCCCCCGTCTTTGAACGCACCCTGACTCCGTGTGGAGCCAGTGCAGTATGCTAATGTTTTGGGTTGTTGGACATGTGCCCAAGTCGTGATGAAAACAAAGAGGTAAGTTAGCGACGCAGAGCCAACCGTTTACATTTGACACAAAGTATAGACACACGTACTGCAGCGCATTACTTGTTCAGTTTGTAGAACTTTTAGTGTGTGTATGTGTGCGCCTGTGTGCGTGTGTCAGCGTGCCAGTGTGTCTGCGTGCCCGTGTGTGCGTGTCTGTGTGTGCCAGTGTGGGTCTGCGTGCCCGTGTGTGCGTGCCTGTGCGTGCCTGTGTGTGTGTGCGTGCCTGTGTGCGTGCCTGTGTGCGTGCGGGGTGCATGCGTGTGTATTTTCCATTATTAATTGCCCATCGTATCATCGCCCTCTTCCCTTTAGTGTAAACATGAAAAGAAAAGGAGGAAACATTGCCTACAGGCCTTTTTTTGTCAAGAAAAGGCTGTAGATCAGGATGATGAAACCTGAAGGTCAGACTCGGAGGCAGTATGTTTTGAGATGATGAGGAATTTGTTGTGTTGTAATAAAATATAGCTTATATAATTGAGTTTCAGAGAATGAGAGGGAGTCGCAGACAGGTGCAGGATTGTCTATTGGCAGAAGGCGTTTTTTCACACACAAAAAAAGAAACAAAATAGCTAAGATTATGGATGATGTGCAGTCGCTTGACCCCAAAATATTTTTGAAAGAAGAGCCCCTGTTTTCATTTGGCAGAACCTTTGAGTCAGATATAGAGGACCTTAAGCATGAGGTACGTCAAACTAGGCGGCTTCTTGGGAGGAAAAAATGGATTAGAGAGTCCCTATTGGACTTCCTTGTCCTTTTGGAACGTTTGGAAAGTGTTTCATGAGCTTTTGAGGCTTGCAAAGATCTTTTTAATACCTGTCAGTACTGCGTCGTGTGAAAGAAGTTTCTCTGCCCTAAAAACCATCTCAGAACTGTTATGGCAGATGATTGAGTCATCTTGGAATCCTCAGTGTAGGGTAAAGGAGGGCGGAATATGGATGAGTTTGTCAACATCTTTGCTGCTTTACACCAGAACCAAAGGATTTTGCTAAATTTGTTAAAAGAAAAATGTAATGCAATGTTTCAATTATGTTATTTTGCACTTTTTTGTTCAGACTACTATTTAAATACACTTTTTTGCTTTGTAGTTTCCAAGTGTGCTCTCAGTTCACTTTAAAATTAAAAACAATGATAAGATTAAGATTAAAATGTATCGTTTAGCCAGTTTTTGTGTGAAATAAAATTTTGGAATAGTATAAATGTGGACCCCTTAAAAAAACCCTTGCCACCCCCTGGCCACCCTCTGTTTAAAAGTCTGGCTCCGCCACTGTGTTGAAGACATGTTTCCATCTGAAGGTCCTGATGATGCAGCTGTGGCTGGACTCTGTTTCCCTCAGTGTGAGGTCATGGTCATGATTCACAAACAAAGCTCTAATGTCATCAGAAATATCTTCAACCACGTCTCTTCTCTCCTTGTCTTCCTCTTCCTTCACCTCTACCTCCTGCTCTGCCTCAATACTTGCAAAGTTCTGAAAATGGCTAAACTGAGGTTTGTTTATGTCTGATGTGTGTAGTGTGTAAGTCAGTGTTTCCATGTGTGTGTCTCAGTGTTTTCTATCACTCAAGGTGTTTGGTATTTTGAATAGATTGTTGCAGAAATAAAAGTGCAAAGCAGTACTTTTGTTTGTTTAAGGTCTTTTGGTCTAAGCATTTGCAGTTAAAACAGGCCGGTCAAATAACCGGGAACACCAAATTAAGGCCCTGTCCACACGAAGTCAAGCTCAGGCCTAAACGCAAAAATACTTTATCAATCCAGTGTATCGTCCATACGAGGCCGGCGTTTTGGGGGGGTGTAAACGAACATTTTTGAAACTAGGTCCCAGAGTGGAAAGATTTCAAAACTCCGTATATGCCGCTCCGTGGTTACTGCCTCTCCGCAATGTATCTGAGACGCTTGCGTCATCGCCCCGCCTCTTGTTAAAGCACGCATGCGCCGCACTCAGAAAATAATGACAACAACAATGTAGCTTGTTGGTTTTGTAATCCAGCGTGACCCGAAGCAACAGTTCAACCTCATCGTCCGTCCATACTAATGTAGTACCAGCTCGCCCACTCGCCATGTTGTCTGTTTACAAAATTCCGCGCATGCCCACGGAAGTTTGGGCTTGATCCCGTCATTGCGTCACAGCGCCACCAACAGGTCTGGCATAGTTTCACAGCGTTTTCAGGCGTATTGACTACATTCATATGGACGCACACATTTACTGAGCTAACTCCGTGTTTACAGAAAAAGTTTCTGAAATTATAAGCGTTTTGTCTTCGTGTGGATATAGCCTAAGGGTCGAGAAACGAAAACAACTTGTCCCTCCATGACGCGCACGCACCAGGAGAGGGCGCTCTGTAGTTAAGGCCGGAGCTGCAGCTCCCAGACCCGGAAGCAGCAGCAGCAGCAGTGCCACCTCTGCTTCCGTTTTCTCCTGTTTTCTTCTAGTTTTTCTGCTAAACAAAATTGTAAATAAAGAGTTTGCAGATGGCGAACGACAACGCGAAGTTGTCCCGGAACGTGCTGCGGATGAAGGTGAGAGAGACCTCGGTTTTTAAAGAAAATCAGACTGAAAACAGGAGAAGAAAACACGTGCTGCTGTTTACGTCACGGACCATCTCCAGTCGCTGCACTGGACCTGGTTTGACACATTTACGGACAACCGGACTATTAAATAAACAAAAACGTGTTGAGTATTAAGGATTAGTGTTGAAAATGTTGCTGCGAGTTTGACACGTTTGGTGGAGATAATCATTAATCGATTAAAGCTTTAAATTTGACTAAAAGGTTCATCTCCGCCCTCTGGTGTCTCTCTCTGTTCTCTCTGGTGTCTCTCTGGTCTCTGTTCTCTCTCTGGTGTGTCTCTCTCTGTTCTCTCTCTGGTGTCTCTCTCTGTTCTCTCTCTGGTGTCTCTCTCTGTTCTCTCTCTGGTCTCTCTCTGGTGTCTTTCTCTCTAGTATCTCTCTCTCTAGTCTCTCTCTGTTCTCTCTGGTTTCTCTCTCTGGTATCTCTCTCTCTGTTCTCTCTCTGGTCTCTCTCTGTTCTCTCGCTGGTGTCTCTCTCTGTTCTCTCTCTGGTTTCTCTCTGTTCTCTCTCTGGTGTCTCTCTGTTCTCTCTCTGGTGTCTCTCTCTGTTCTCTCGCTGGTGTCTCTCTCTGTTCTCTCTGGTGTCTCTCCCTCTGTTCTCTCTCTGGTGTCTCTCTTTCTGTTCTCTCTGGTGTCTCTCCCTCTGTTCTCTCTCTGGTGTCTCTCCCTCTGTTCTCTCTCTGGTCTCTCTCTGTTCTCTCTCTGGTTTCTCTCTCTGGTGTCTCTCTTTCTGTTCTCTCTCTGGTGTCTCTCCCTCTGTTCTCCCTCTGTTCTCTCTCTCTGTTCTCTCTCTGGTGTCTCTCTGTTCTCTCTCTGGTGTCTTTCTCTCTGGTGTCTCTCTGTGTCCTCTCTCTGTTCTCTCTCTGGTCTCTCTCTGGTGTCTCTCTCTCTAGTCTCTCTCTGGTATCTCTCTGTTCTCTCTAGTGTCTCTCTCTCTGGTGTCTCTCTGTTCTCTCTCTCTGTTCTCTCTCTGGTGTCTCTCTGTTCTCTCCCTGGTGTCTCTGCTCTCTGCAGACTCTCTGGTGGAGCGCTGCTCTCTCTTTCTGGTGTCTCTGAACTTAAACCGTTAACTTGAGAAGACGACAGCATGTGTCTCTGGGGTCGCTGCGCTGGACCTGGTTTGTAACATTTACGGACAACGTGTTGCTTCTAGTTTGAGATGCAGCAGCTTCACATGTTTTTTGGTCTTTTCATCAAAGTCACTCTCTGGTCTCAATCATGTGCTTTCCTGTGTCTTCAGTTCATGCAGAGGGGCCTGGACGCTGAAACAAAGAAGCTGCTGGAGGAGGATGAGCGGAGGATCATCAGTGACGAGCATTGGTACCTGGACCTGCCTGAACTCACGGCCAAAGAGTAAACACTTATTTATAAAGTCACATGCGGGTCATAATGACGGCAGAAACAAGCCGTTTTCTCTCTGATGCACAAATCCAACAGGAGTATGACTTCAGAGGAAAGCTGTTGAAACTAGGGATGTAAAAAACTATGAATTTTCATGACGACCACCAAGCCTCATTAACCGGTTGAAACCGGTTAACCTCGTAGTTTAAAATATTCCACGTTCTTTGAAATAACAGCCATTTTGAGCCGCGTACTTTTCATAAGTGCAGCTTTGCGTTCTACTAGATCAGAGCTGAGACAGCGGCGCCCAAACCTGCAACAGCTTCTGCACCTTTGCGCACAGAGAACTGCTTTTTTAATCCTCCCATTCTTCTGTCCATCCATCCATCCATTTTCTACCCTTTAATCCATTTCTGGGTCAGGGGGGTGGCAATCAGAGCTGCCACCCAAGTCTCATAGCACCAGCCCCTCACTGACCCTCTGCAGGTGGTGAGTCCACAGGAGGACGGCTGCTCTCTGAGTGTGAGCATAGCCTTGATCTTTCAGTGGGGGCTTTGGGCAAAGTGGGGTTAAGTGTCTTGCCCAAGGACACAACGACAGCAGTCATCAGTGGGAGTCGGTGGAGAAGGTGTAGAGGTGGGAATTGAACCCACGACCTTCAGGCCTTAAGGCCAATGCTCTACCAACTGAGCTACTGTCGCCCCCATTCTTCTGTGCTGCGGGTAAAAAAAAAATTGCAGCAAACGACGGCTCGTCCACATGGTCAGAGCAGCGAGTGACGAGCCGCGAGTATTTGCGAGGATCCTTTGGGCTGAGTGACACAGACGAGCGCAACAGACCGGTATGTGTGTCTGTACCATGGATGTATTATATTAACTGGATAGGGTATTACTAGCTTGTAGCTGAATAACTCATGTGCTCAGGGGATTCTCGCGGTACTGCAGACTGAACCAGACTAAATTCACGTGGGCTACCCAGAAATTTTCCCCATAGAACTCAATGCATATTAAAACAGCTCAACCTCAGCTGAAAGAGAACCTACAGCTTTAATAAAGGTCGGATTTTGTGGGGATTTTAGTATCCCTTGTCATCCTGAACTTTTTTTCTTCTTAAATCCTTCGGTTTTGTTTAAATCCACACTTTAGTGCCACAAACTACTCCTCTGGCTCTCGCTCTAACTCCCGCTCTGATGAACTGCTCTGATTGGTCAGAGCGCAGCCGAGCCCCTCTGTGCACGTGCGTGAGACCCACACACGCGTGTTTGGCGCAATGCATTATGGGAGATCATCCACTGCGCAGAACCGGGAGGACCAGACGATGCCCAAATACAGGCGAGTTTCCCATAGATCTTTGCGAGTTTCAGGCAACTTCCGCTAATCTTTCAGCCCCCATGCCGTCACAAAGCGCCACTGAGCACAACCATTCATTTGAATAGGGCGCCATCTTGGATCGCCGGGGCTTGGTCTGTACATGTATGTATGTGTGTGTGTATACAGTATATGTATGTATGTGTAAATGTAAGCTCCAATGTAGTTCTGACCCGCACCAGTGTGCAACTTTGGCGGAATAGTAACAGAGGGGAGAGATGATGCGTGTGGATGTTACATATCAATGGAGCGGAGGAAAGTGTGTGTGCGTGTGTGGCATGAAAGTCGGCCCGGAGTTTACTGATACATTGGCGCACGCAGCTAGAGACTGTTCTCAGACGCGCAAATGCTCGGCTCAGATCCAGTATTTACCAAAGTTTCTTTGTTTACAGCTGTTTTCACTTCTCTTTTCAGGAACATAATTCTTGAAGAGAAAAGCATCGTTCCTTGTGAAGAGCTGAGATATGGGCGCTTTTCATTCAGAGGCTTCAACCCTGAAGTGGAGGTCAGTGTGTGTTCAAAACTATTCAGTAGGATTCTCAAACCGGGATCCTGGTCCCATTTTCCCCCATGGTGAGGCCTCAGGGCTTCAGACCTGAAGATCCTCTCAAATGAGCCTCTTAACTTTCCCAAATCAAAAACACCTTAACTTAACAAAATATTTGAACTAAATTAGATTTTCAAAAATCTAAAAAATGGACAAGTAAGCATTAAAAACAAAACTGTGTGAATATATCTTGATCTTTGTCTATTGTGAGTCATGTGTAATGTGTGTTTGCAGAAGCTGATGGTTCTGATGAATCCTCAAGAGGAAGAGGAGGAGGTGGAAGAGCAGGATTTGAGGAAGATGCAGACGGACGTCACAGATGAAGAGATGGCTCTGAGGTAACAGCTGCTGCTCGTTCACGTCTCTCTTCTTTCTCTCTGGTCTCGCTTTCTTTCTCTGTAGGGAAACTTTCTGTACTTGTGTGTATGTGAAATGAGTTGAACTGAAATTGCGTTTGCTGTTGTTTCAGATACGAGAGTTTGGTGAGCAGCATGAAGAAGAAGTTTGCAAAGAAAAGGGAAAGAGCCACAGTGGAAGACGTGAACCAGAATGTGACTGTCTCCAAGAAGGCCTTTCTGAAACCCCAGGACTGAGGCAGGACTCTCTGAAGACCAGGACTAAGAGAGGACTTTTCTTTGAGTGGGGTCAGGACTGAACACACACAGCGCCTTTTTATGTTGTGTTTTTTAATACTGTGGTTGCACAGTTTATGAATGGATGTTATACATCCCACTTTTTTAAAATATTTGGATTTGGTGCAGAGTGAAGTTGTGATGAAGACATTAAAGTCTCAGAACATGGAACCCTGTCTGTGGCTTCTGTCCAGTTCTTTTCTATTGTAATTCATACTGTACATGTTTAACTCTCTCCATTGCACCTCTTTGGGTCCTCCCCAAGGCCCAGGTTTCAATCAGTGGGGGCGGGTCCCAGCTCAAAAGTGGCCAAAATGATGTGCGCTGACATGCTGCAATACCACCCGGGCCGATGGGGGTGGACCCGGAATAAGAATTAGCCAATGCTAACATATAGCATTGGCAGACCTCTCAAAAACGTCTTTACAGGATGGTCCAAAAGTTGGCTCTCGGTCCAAAGCTCCGTTCCACATGTGTGTCAATGCTGAGGGGGGTGGAATTTTTTTTGGACCACTCTAGTTTACTTGCTGTGAATTTTCGAAGTCACTCGTTTAAATGAATGGAGCTTGTGCCGGCTGATGCATGCGCAGATGTGTTCATAATTTTCTTGTGGGCGGGACCATTCAGGGCCATTTTGGATAGCTCCAGTAGAGCACATTTTTTGGCCCATTTGTTTGAACGGTGGAGATAGGCGTGACTCTGTCCGTTAATATTTACAGTCTATGGTTTCAATTCGTCTGCTCCAGGTTTTCAAGATGTCTGCTCATTCGGCCTTGTGCAGTGGCTCTACATCCACAGCACCAGAGAAACAGGAGCGTTCTGACCAATCAGAGCGGGATGAGTTTGTCGTTCTACAGTACCTGCTTAGTATGCATGTGTTTTTTTACATTTTGATCATTTATCACCTCACCAAACAATAGTCAAGGCCATGGTCCGCTGGTTGTGAAACACTGCCCTAGTGGACACAAAAGTGTGATGTCAGTGCAGCCCTCGGAGTCCGTGCTCATGTTTTACATCTTTTAAAAGAAACGGCAGCATTTATTTAATCGTTATCATGGAATGCATTCAATAAACATGGTTAAACCCAGTCTGTAACACTGAGCCTCAGGCCTCTGGTTCATTGTGTTCCGTCCAAGCGGCTGATTCCTGGTTTCTGTTGTCCAAGTACAAACGTTGACTTTCTCTACTGTGTAAAGAATGAGGATGGTATGAGCCACAAAGCGGCGCTGTGGGCCTTAGTGACCTTTGCGCTGTTCTCTCCTGCTCTCTCCTGCGAAAGGCCAAATGGCTCCGTGCTGCTGGTCTGGACAATGACAGTGGAATGTGTTTGTGGATTACTGGTTTTAGACTGGTTTGTGGAGACGTGCGTTTGGAAACTGTTAGAGCTCAGCCGCCGGGAGGAAACAAACACCTCCACGAGAACAACATGGGGGTTTCATTCAACCTAAGACCAAACAACCTCGATAGTCACCGGAATGCATCATGGGTAAAAATAACAAATATAATGGATAAAAGCTTTATTTTTAACAAGTTTGCAGGAAAACAACAATCATGTTCTGGTAAAAACTATAGGCCCTCCCAGGTGTATGAAAGCCCACCATGCACTGCCAGCATGTATCCTCTAGGTGGCACTAACCTGGACCCAATCTAATTTACAAAAAGCATAAATAACCAAAAAATAAACTAAACATAGCATAAATAAACTATTTGTTATTAAAATGACTTAAATTCAACAAACCAATCATACATTTTGCACACACTCAAACCTGACCTCATGCAGCCCTTAAATAAAGTCTGAGACCCCTGGTTTAAATCAAGGTCCAGAATATATTTATGAAAAGTCTCAACGTCCATCCATCCATTTTGTTCTGCTTTATCCGTTCCCGGGTGCCGGGGCAGAAGTCTGAGCAGAGACATCCCTCACCACACACTTATTCCTGTCTCTCATTAAAGTGACACATTCAGCAAACGTCTGTCTTCTCTCTGCCTCGTCCCCCCTAACCCTCTGCTTTAAATGCTCCATTTTTAAACTGGTTTAGTCTCCAGTCAACACAAAAACAATTTCACATGAACAGATAACATACAAATTACAATCACATCTGTACAGTGGTCCCTCAGTAAAACATCTGTGTCCTCTGCAGCTATATTTTGAAATAAAGAGATCCTTTATTCATCCCACAGTAGGGATATTTCAGTGTTGCATCAAAAGTTACAGAACAATAGGAATGAGGAGCACACAAAATAAGTAAAGGATAGCACCCTATACTCTAGTTATTTTTAGAACACATAACCCCCGCGATTAATCAAGGACCCGTTTAGTGCAAACATCTCACGCAGAGGAGACCGGTCTACTCCAGGCCGAAGGTCTGCTCCCCTGACCCTCAGTCTGTGGTGTTTCTCCCGTTTGTTGCTCTAGAGTTTGGGGATTTATTTTGCCGCTCAACACTAAAATACGAGACGACTTCCTCTGGTCGACCTGCTGCAAGAAGTTTACAACAAAAATAAAACACGGTAGAAGACGAAGTGCTCCAAGAAGGCCTTTCTAAAACCCCAGGACTGAGCCCTGGCCTCAGTCAGGTTCTGTTCCCACCTCTGGATCACAGTCTCTTTAAACAACTGTGTCGAGTCAACCCGTGCCCTCTGCACCTCTCCACAGTCCTGGTCCACGGCCCTGGCCTCAGTCTGGTGCTCGTACTTGGTCTCAGTCCTGATCCTGGTCCTGGCTCACACAAAGCTCTGGATCACGATCTCCTTCAGGGACCTTGTGTCAACCCTTCCCCTCTGCGCCTCTCTCAGCCTCAGCATCTCGTCCTGGAGCTGAGCTACGCGACGTCCCAGAGAGAAGCCCACGTCCACCAGAAGCTGCAGCAGGGGCCCCCGGTACTGTGAGGGGCCATACTGCCTCACCGTTAGGAGGGCTCTGAAATGGAGAAGGCATGGGTCAGAGTCCAAAACCAGAGGAGGATCTACAGCCTCAGTCCTGGATCTACAGCCTCAGTCCTGGATCGAGGACATTTATTAACATTTCAGGACAGTGATCATCCCACTCCCTATGGATCAATGGCTCATATGTGTTTTTTGTTCAAACTGTTTGATCTGTTGTTCAATTAAATTTCAATAACATTTATTTGTGTATCAGCCTAAACCACAACAGCAGTTATTTTTAACAATGTTGTTGATTTGCCAACAACAGATAAGAGAAGGAGACAGTTCAAACATAGAAAATGCCATGATGCACTGTTTACCTGTCCGCAGCTGCGTACGCCTGCTCCTCCTCGTCCAGGTCTCTGTGGCACACCGCTAGCGCCGCTAACGTGTGCACGGCAAACGTTGCGCTCTGCCAAGGCGCTAGCTTCTCCTGGATCTGCAACACGAGTTTCAGCATTTCCAAAGCCGAATGAAACTGCCCTGCCCTCAGCAAAGAGTGCGCTTTCCTCAGTTCCGGATCTGTGAAGAAGTCTGCAAAGTGCGCACAGCGGCGGACGCACGGATTAGCGGAGAGTGCGCTCAGGTAGTTCTGCAGCGCTCTCCGCCGCTCCAGTAGACACTCTTCGGAGAAGTTTCCGGTGAGAAGTTTCGGGGGGAGAGAGATTTCATCCAGTTCTTCATTGAATTCCTGCAGCAGAGTTTGGTGCAGCTTGGAGAAGTCGCTGTAGCGGCGCTCGACTGAGACGCGGTGCGAGTCGAAGCTTCCGGAGCGCATGACGACCACCTGGAAGACCTGAGACACAGTTCACACGAACGACTCTGAACCAAACATCATTCAGAACATTTCAGATTTTACAAACGTTTGACCAGATTTTAATTCATGACCATTCATTTTGTGATTGATGGCTGCACAACCATGACCAAAGCTGCGCTTAGACCAATGTACACAGACATTATTGTTTGACCAATTTAAATCATGAGAGTATATTTTGGGTGAATCATTAAAGGACAACTAAACAAAGGCCAAATCAACTTTTTTTTTTGCTCAAACTGCATAATTAGGTTTCTAATGGTGCTCTCTACATGTCCTGGTCAATATTTTAACATTTTAGTGTAAATTAGATAAAATCTGACTTTTGAGACTAAATCTGTCTGTGTGGCGCCCTCTCTACATTTTTGGTGGCACTACATTTGATTTTGATGCCTGGCCTCTCCGTTGGCTCTGGAGTGCTGTGTGACGTCAATTGGTATGTGTGACGTGTGTCTCTCTGCGCCTGCAGTATATGAAAACATACCAACATTGCTGTGGATTGAAACATTCAATAAATTACTAGTATCAATTACTACATGGTTTCAAGTGGCGAGCTAGCCAGGATTAAAGTAAATAATAATGGTAATGGTGCCTACCTTTTGACCATATGACTCTGTGCTATCATGTGATTAATGTTCACTGGTTTATCGCGGGGGTGATGTGTTCAAAGTAACAGCTGTATGTTTTAAGGCTGTAAAATCCCACTCACATAGTTTACTTTTCTAACCACCTGAACTCAGCTGCTGAAGCGCGATTGCTGCGATATCAAACCAGTTGGTTGTAGGTCTGAGTGCTGCTGCTGCTGTCAAAAGCTGTGCATAGACTGTAAACAACCTCTGCCGCTGAGGGGCAGGAGCAAGACTGAGGTCCACGTGAGAGACCCAAGAGAGAGACAATGAGAAGAGAGTGCGAGACCAGAGACAGAAAAGAGAAACTTTAAATAGTAACTGGCATTTTATACTAGCGGTTATATGATGTTACCCCAAACAGTGAGGGCTGCTATAGTTCGACCAATGGCAAAAAATGGAATTAATTTTGTCCAATCAGGATGCTGTGAGAGGGAATATGGGCGGGGCTAACACATTCCTCAGTTTGAAGCAGTGATGGGCAAGCTACTTGATTTGTGTAGTGAGCTAAGCTACAAGCTACTCTACAATAAATTCAGCTTCACTACACAGAAGCTACCACCCATACAAATGTAGCAAGCTAAGTTACAAAATTCTGTCAAAAGTAGCTTGCTATATAGAAGCTATTTTCAATTAAACAAACTGCAGTTCATGCAATTTTATATTTTCCTGCATTAACATGTTTGCTCATTTCTTATTTTTTGCACAATTCTTGAGTGTTTTATCCATGCCAAATGTGACATGTAAATTTCTCCTGTGTGAGATTAATAAAGCTTATCTTCTTATTTGAGATAAACTGTCAGTCAGATAAAGGTTAAAATGTTGTTGATATTTATTGAACAATAGCCCAAAACACCAAAAACAACAAAGAGTAGGCATCTGAAAACATATTTCTTTTCGCTCATCTCGACTAGAGCGACGTACTTTTGGAGGTATGGCCACGGTACAACACTTTGAGAGTCCTTATCATGGTCCTCCTCCACCGCGGCGGCTCCTGGGCTCTCTGCCATGCTTTTGCTTCGCCCAGTAGCGCGCGCGCATGTGTGTGTGTGTGTGTGTGTGTGTGTGTGTGTGTGTGTGTGTGTGTGTGTGTGCGCGTACGTTCGTGTGTGTGTGTCGTTACCAAGCCCTGCGCATTCTGTCTTTCTATATGTTTGTTTTATGCTGCGGGAAAATGCTGTAATATATGAACACCAGAGATGTCCGTGAGAAAATAGCTTTGGCGGACGCTACCGCGCTACTTGAGCAATAATATAGCTTAGCTACAGAAAAGTTACTAGGTTTTGTAAATAGTGACGCTACTGTCAAGCTACTGAAAAATGTAGTTAAGCTAGTAACGACGCTACTGCCCATCACTGGTTTTAAGTAACAATTTAATAACGCTTTGACCGTTGCCAACAGCACTGACCACATGTCTGCTGAACACCGTCTGTGTTTCCCGGTGTGAGGGCAGCTGGAACAGCAGCTTTAGGGGGCGCTCTCTGCTCTTCTCCTCTTTCCAGTTGTGTTGCAGTTCTGCGGTGGTCAGACTGGAGCACAACGCTGCAGACACACATCCAACACATTTTCAAAAAGAATATTTCCGAAATCCCCACCGCTGTCAGACTGTACAATAACATGTTTGCACACTTCCTGTTTACACATCTTCTTGCACACTCTGAGATCCTGATTATGCCAATTGTGACGTTTAAATGTTTCTATTGTGAGATCAATAAAGTAAAAAAAGGAAACATTGTAGTTTTCCACCAGTTTTATAACATTGGGATTTGAAAGGATGGTTATTTTGTCTTTAAATGGATACTGGTGAATGTAGCCGAAATGTAGCAAAAGCAGTTTAATAAAAGGCTAACAGCAAACAGTTTGTTCCCATGGTAACTAGAACCGGTGGAAAAACTGCTGACTCGGCCCTGAAAAAAGTCTAAGACCAGAGAGAGAAGAGAGACCAGAGAGAGACCAGAGAGAGACCAGAGAGAGAGACCAGAGAGAGACCAGAGAGAGACCAGAGAGAGGCCAAACACAGACTGGAGAGAGAGACCAACAGTTGAACCTGAGTCTTGTGAATGCGCTCCTCTTGTTTCCTCTTGTGCCATTTCACCGACACCTGAAACCAAAGTGGCATAACAGCTGAAGGGAGAGTCCAGACTTCACACACAAAACCAGTCTGACAGTGAGTTCCAGTCTTAGATCTGGTTTACATGATTAAACCCGTAAAGCTTGGGTATATAACTTTCAGACCACAAACATTTAACTTTCATTTCATTTCATTTCATTTAATTTACATCCCTTTATTTTCCATTTCTGGGTCAGGGGGGAGGCAATCAGAACTGCCACCCAATTCACAAAGCACCAGTCCCTTGCTGATCTTCCTGCAGGTGGTGGGTCCACGGGAAGATGGCTGCTCCTTCGACACAGATGCAGCCTCGGTCTTTCAGCTGGGACTTCAGGCACATTGGGGTTAAGTGTCTTGCCCAGGGACACAACGACAGCAGACATCAGTGGGAGCAGTTGACATGGGTCGTGGTGGGATCGAACCCTCGACCATTAGGTCCAAAGACCATTGCTCTACCAACTGAGCTACTGTCGCACCCAAACATTTAACTATGTAATAAAATCCATATGACTAGTACCTGGATTTAAACAGTTGCTTCTATTACTATTTTTCATGTGTTTTTGGCCACAAAAGTGACAAAGAGAGGACCACCTTCACTCAGCCAATCAGCTCTCAGCACAAAGAGTCAAATAGTGACTCACAGGGCTCGCTCTTACACAAAAGACAAGATGAACATTTTACTTTTACAAGACTCTTTCGATTGTTGTTTAGAGATCTCCTTTCCTTTGCTGAGATTATTATGATACACAAAAGTTAGGTACCCCAGCTTTATCTGTGTTAAAGCTGGGGTACCGTCTTACCTCCGCCCTCACGTCTTCACTAAAGTCCAGTCTGAAAATGTGCCGTTGTTGCTGAGAGGAAGTCAAAGCGTGTTTTGGATGAAAGCAGGAAACGAAACTCACACAGAGAAGTGGCCTTTATACGCAAACATGGGATTGTTTTCATGCAGATCCTACCATTATCTAATCTCTCTGTCCCTTATCACGACAACTGAGCAGTCAAAACCACTGCTTTTAAATTTGTGACTTATCCTGATCTGAAGATGTGACAGAGGTCTAAAATGTAAACTAGAGATACAGTAGAAGCAACTGTTTTAGACAGACATGGATTTGATCACAAAGTTCTATTGCTGTGGTCTGAAAGTTGCGTACTCCAGCTTAAAAAAATTAAAGGCTTCTATATGTTAAGTCTAATGGAAACACGCTGTGTACTGTAATGGGAGACCTCTGGGAACACCAGGTTATAAAGCGCCAAACATTTGTTGTGTCCTTAGACAAGACACTTCACCCACACTTCCTGGATAAGTTTGGTGTCTGTGTGAAGTGGTGGTGGTGGTGGTTGCCTCGCTTCTGTCAGTGTGCCCCAGAAAGAATAATGACATGTGAAACGTCTTTGAGTGTCCTGAAAAGTGCTGTAGAAAACCAATGCATTATTAACATTATGACAAAGCACTTTGAGTTTGACTTCAATGACTTTAATAATGGCAGAAACCTGAACCTGTGTCTGCTCGCTTCTCCTAGATATGACAGGTGATGCAGCCGAGATTTGAGGCCAAAATAACTGTGGAAAGGAGCAATATGTGCAAATCTGGCCAAAAGTGGTACTGCAATCACGGCCTATATTCTATAGCAGTGTCTCCCAAAGTGGGGTCCGCGGCCCCCTGGTGGGCCGCGAGGGTACTGCAGGGGGGCCGCGGGAGGTCATAAAAAAAATAAAAAAATAATATAATTATTTAATGTTAAATTTATAATGTTTTGTTTGTAATATTAAAATATTTGTGTTCATTATTTGTAAGTAGTAGTAGTAGTAATCTTTATTTATATACCGCCTTTTCACTGCACATCGGAGTCTCAAAGCGGTTTACAATTGTTATTTTTTGGGAGTGGGGGTGCCAGTACAGGAGGCACATGCCAGACCTATTGTACATATTTTTAGTGGTAGGGGAAACCGGAGCACCCGGAGGAAACCTACGCAGACACAGGGAGAACATGCAAACTCCACTCAGAAAGGCCCTGGTCCAACCGGGATTTGAACCCAGGACCTTCTTGCTGAGAGGCGAGAGTGCTATCCACTCAGCCACCGTGCCGCCCACTTGAATAATCCAATTGACTAATTATTTGACTTGAATAATCCACTGTAATCATTTTTGTATTACAATGTTTGTAGCAGAGGCTATTTCCCCAAAATAAAATAACCAGAAGAGCCTATTCTTAATGTTGTCTTCTTGGTTATTATTTTGGGGGGCCACGCAGACCCGTCAGATTTTTAAGGGGGCCTCGGTGTTACTGAGTTTGGGAATGGCTGTTCTATAGTAAGTAATTAAGTAATCTCTCAGACCAGAGTCACAAAGCGGTTTACAATTTTGGGCATTTGTCTCACTCCACAGAGATGGGAACGAGGTCGCCAATACAGGAGGCACATGCCAGACCTATTGTACATGTTTTTAGCGGTAGGGGAAACCGGAGCACCCGGAGGATACCGGAGCAGACACGGGGAGAATTCCAAATTGGCCGCGAGTGGTCCCGCCAACAAATGTTTTTGAAAAAACGCATCTGCGCATGCGTCAGCCGGCGCAGCTCCATTCATTTGAACGAGAGACTTCAAAAATTCACTGCAAGTAAACTAGAGTGGTCCAAAAAAATCCACCCCCCTCAGCATTGACACACATGTGGAACGGAGCTTTGGGCCAAGAGCCAACTTTTGGTCCATCCTGTAAAGACGTTTTCCAGAGGTCTGCCAATGCTATATGTTAGCATTGGCTAATTCTTATTCCGGGTCCACCCCCATCGGCCCGGGGTGGTATTTCAAGCATGTCAGCGCACATCATGCATGGCGCCGTGGCAAGAGCTCTGGTGTGTGTCGTTGGTGCACACTGGGGTAGTCTTGCACAGTTTTTCCAATGTGGTTTTACTGCAAATGGCAAATAAATGAATCTGAATCTGAATCATTTTGGCCACTTTTGAGCCGGGACCCGCCCCCTCTGGGCCTGACCTGCTAAATGGCCCGGGCATTTTTGACTACATTTTTTTATGGTGATTTATAGTGTATGCAGAAGCACTTAGTGTAGAGGATGTATGCAGTTTCAACAATTAAATAAGGTTGTTGCAATAGTCTACATTAAAAGAGAGTAATAAACATGTCACTACTCAGAGTGAGGGAGATGGACAGACCAAAACTATTGTTTGTTTCAGGGATGAGAATGGGGCATTTCAGCCAAAGGCTGTCCTTAAATCTGTTTGATTTGTTCACAGCATTATACTTTTGGGCACAACCAACATGTGCTGGTAATGCAAGCAAAAAGGTACCCCAGCTTTAATTTAGCGAGTTTAGTTCTTGTAGAAGACACGCATACAACAAGCAGAGAAAGGTCCTGTGGGCGTGCGGGTCCCAGGAACATTATAACCACGGCTACTCGCTTGCCGCGTTACTGTCAAAGACGCTGGAGGCTGGAACCGCTGTCATTACAAAGCGGCCGCAGCTGCCCTGGGTCAGTGCACGTCGGCCACGGAGGATACAGAATCCAGTTTGAGTACATACAGCAAAAAACAAGTGCCATTTCTCAAATGATTTACACATTTTCATTTTGTGTATGAAGCAGCCAGACCTGGCCAATGGGCATCGGCCTTTCGGGCATTGCCCAGTACGCCCGATGGCCAGTCGGGCGTGGTTTATTAATGCCTTTCGACAGTTTAATGGCCATTTAATGATAACATTGTCATGAAAGATCAAGGCTATGCTCACACTCAGAGCAGCCATCCTCCTGTGGACTCACCACCTGCAGAGGGTCAGTGAGGGGCTGGTGCTATGAGACTTGGGTGGCATCTCTGACTGTCACCCCCCTGACCCAGAAATGGATTAAAGGGTAGAAGATGGATGGATGGATGGATTGTCATGAATATCTACTATCTAATAGCTATTTTAAAGCCTTAAAGGAGTTCTACTGTTGTGGTCTGAAAGTTAGGTACCTCAGCTTTAAAATGAACCCTAGAATGTGTGGCCCAGTTGACATTCTTGAGCAGAACAGCGTGTCCTTCCATTCTTCTCTCACACGTTTGGACAAGTGTGCTGCGTGCGTGTCACAGTGTGATCCATCATCTGTCCATCCATCAGTGAAGAAGAGCTCTCACTCTCCACAGAACACACAGCCACACCTTCAGTCTTTGGCCGAGTGCGAGTTAGTTTGTCTCATTCACATTTTCACTCACAACTGTTCTCAGAACATTTGTTTGCTCCTCTCAGCTCCTCTGACCACTTGTTTGTCATGTCTTAATCACAGGAATAGCCCCTTAAGATGGATCATCTCGTTTTCAAGACGGCCCTCAAAAATAACAATAAATGCAGTTACAGTAGAGTGTAACATAAAACAAACGTTTCAGTAAATAAATTAAATAAAACAGACAAAACAAATACAAGGACAGAAACGTTCACACACACACAGAGGTCAGAGGTCACCCTCCTCCTCAAACTGGGACAGTGAAAATTAAAGGATGGTAGTGTTTATAAGAAAGTTCAGTAGCAGTTACAAACATTACACAGATGCCTTAATACAGCTGCTTTAAAAAGCGGACACGAGTTTAAGGAGAGAATAGAGGTTGGAAGGAGATTCCACTCGTTTGGAGCTTTATATTGAAAAGCATATTTACCAAGTTATTTTTTGACACAAGGAGTGTGAAAGAAATACTGGTTTGTGTGACGAAAGTTATAAGATGAATGAAAACGGGGTTAAATATTGCTTTAAATAAAGAGGATAGTCTAAAAAATAACATTTATAAATGAAAAACAATCAGTGAGAGTGACGTCTTTGGGACAGAGCCAGAACAGCTGCTGTTGTAGGCAGTGTTCAGAGGATGGAGAGAAGTGGAGGTGGTATTTTGATAAACTATGTCTGAAAAATCAAATATAGGAAGCAGTAACTGTGAAACAATTATTTTCCTTGCAGACGAATTAAAGCAGTTAATGGATTGACAGTGTGTTCAAGGACAAAAAAATGTGTGCAGTTTTGTGAATTCTCAGCTCATTCACTGCTCCTCTCTGCTCCTCTCTGCTGCTGTCAGACCATACAATGAGAACTGCAGTCTGCACATGTCATCTCAGTACTGCAATTGGAGAATGTCACTTTATCTCATCATTATCACGCCAGATATGTATATCACTTTATCTATCTAAATATAGATATAGTGTATAGAACCATTTACAGCTAGCTAAGCTAGAGCTATTTTGTGTACTCCCTGTGTGCTCTTACTACTGTCCTGTATGTGTGCTGCAACATTGAAATTTCCCAACTGTATAAAAGGTTCTCTTATGTTAAAAGTGAACAAGAGAGAACTCAGTCAATCAGCTCAGAGTAAAATAGTGTGCAATATACGCAAACGATTCAGATGAAGACAGTGTTGTGTTTGTCCCAACAAAGATGTCGTGAGCAAATCAGACACATGTGAAAGTTACGGAACTTTCTGTCTGTAATGTACTGTATGTCATGTGTTCATCTTCTGTTGTGTGACATCACCCGCTGAGGACTACAGCTGTAATGTGGTACAATGCATCTCTCCCTTTGGGTCTTGTTTATAATGTACACTGTCCCTGTAATAATAAATCATACCAAACTGAGAAGTGAAGTAACACTAACTAGGTCCTTCACTTTTAATTACATATTTAATGAAATTACTGTAATCTCCGAATCCTGCGTACTTGTACATTAGTCCTGGATCTACAGCCTCAGTCTAGGATCTACAGCCTCAGTCATTATACTCTCTCACTATGGGGCTCCTCGAGATTTCTCACAATGTTTCTCACTGGATTCCTGTGTGGTTTCTTGCCGGTGCAGGAAAGTGTAAGGACAGAGATGATCCAGGACATTTCTGCACATTTATTCAAATTTCTGGACAGTAGTATTTGTTATTATTGTCTGTTGTTGAGAAATCGATACATACAGTAATGCTCCTATTATGAAGCAGCTACTGTATGTGTTGTTACTACTGTACTGTGTGTGCGCTGCAACACCGACATTTCCCCATTGTGGGACAACTAAAAGGTTCTCCTCTCTTAAATAGTAACAAATGGACCATTTCTCTGCTCAGGATGAATGACCAAGATGTTATAAAGTCCCCGACAGCAGCTTCTTCCCTCATGGTCAGAGCTCAGAGCCGCGGTGCAGCGCTTGGGCAGAACGTGGCCCAGATGAACCGTGTGATGATCCAGTCGAAGGCGGCTGTGGGCAGGTGTCTCTGGAGGAAGGGCAGGAGCCAGGCTGCAGGCCCAGGACAGTACAGCGCTCTGGGGCAGCGGGACAGCAGTGCGTGCTCCATGCAGTCCAGCACCGGAGAAATGTCCTGCATGGCGTTCTGGGACATGAAGTCCAGAGAGGAGGGCAGCTGGGAGATGTAGTCTGAGCCGTAGTCCCGCAGGACGTCCGGGGAGCAGGCCGACAGCAGCTCCTGTCTCAGGCAAGACGTGTCCGAGCTGAAGATCTCTGCAGACCACAGGTCACATGATATAAGCCTCATTCACACCAAGAAAAACCCTATATACACGCTTGATTTTGGAACAAAAATAAAAAATATGTAGAATATAAGCTCGTTCCTTATCAAATATAGAGGGAATTTAGACAGTGACTTGGTAGCATTAGCATTTGAACTTTTAGTAGGAGAAGTAGCATTAGCACAGTGGCAGAAGTAGCACAGTAGAAGCAGTAGCAGTCGCACTAGCAGCAGCACTTGTAGCACAGAAGCACTAGTATTAATAGCAGTAAAGTTACGTACTGGTCTTGAACCCCGAGGGCTGGATCAGACACACGTGGACGCCCCACCGCAGCATCTCCAGCCGCAGGACTCTGGAGAAACAGGCCAGAGCTGCTTTGGACGAGGAGTAGGCAGAGAAGCGGGGCATTGTCACCTCCCCTGGAACAAACGGACAAGACATTAGTCCTGGAACCAAGATGTCTGCGCCCGGTCCCCAGGATGTCTGCTAATTCAGATCAATGGCCTGTGCTCATTGGCTCATGCTCAGACCATGGACGTTAATATTAGCAGAGGTGACACCTTCTGGCCAGCTCTGGTTCTCCCGGTCTTGTGCAGTAGGTGCAAAAGTTCTACTTTCGCAGAGAGACACCAGAGAGAGAGACATGTGAGTGTTGTGACCAATCAGAGCACGGCTGATCAGAGTGGATTAAGACTTAAAACGAGAGTGAGCCGCGCAAAAGTATTGATTTATAGAAAACCATTCATTCATTCTCATCCCCTTTATTAGTCCATTTCTGGGTTGGGGGTTACAATCAGAGCTGACACCAGCCCCTCTGATCCCCCTGCAGGTGGTGAGTCCATGGGAAGATGGTTGCTCCGCTTCAGGCAAGGTGGGGTTAAGTGTCTTGCCCAGGGACACAGCGACAGAAGATATCAGTGGGAGGGGTCATGAGGGGATGGAACCCACGTCCATTAGGTTCAAAGACCAATGCTCTACTAACTGAGCCACTGTCGCCCCCAAGAGATTTCAAAAGACAAAAAAGAGTTCAGGACAACGAGGGACACTAAAATTCCCTCTCTCTGGTCATGTTACCGCCCCCCTATGGATCTCTCCTTGTAGAGGCCTGATTTTACAGTTGTGCTTGAAATTTTATTTTATTTCATATTTGGAAATCCTCATCAAAACTCCACAGTAGCACCATCCGAGTCTCTCACCTGCCAAACTCGACATGTTCACCACTCTGCCCCTGGCTCTCCTGATCAGGGGGAGGAAGGCCTGCGTCACCGCAACAGCCGACAGGAAGTTCACCTCCATCAGCCTCCGGAAGCAGGACGTGGGGTGCAGCTCGGCGTCCACGGGGCACAGGAGGAGCCCGGCGTTATTCACCAACCCCCACAACCCTGAGGAGAGAGAGGAGGTCATTCCCTAGTGAGGAGAGAGAGGTCATTCCCTAGTGAGGAGAGAGAGGTGGTCATTCCCTAGTGAGGAGAGAGAGGAGGTCATTCCCTAGTGAGGAGAGAGAGGTCATTCCCTAGTGAGGAGAGAGAGGTGGTCATTCCCTAGTGAGGAGAGAGAGGTCATTCCCTAGTGAGGAGAGAGAGGTCATTCCCTAGTGAGGAGAGAGAGGTCATTCCCTAGTGAGGAGAGAGAGGTGGTCATTCCCTAGTGAGGAGAGAGAGGTGGTCATTCCCTAGTGAGGAGAGAGAGGTGGTCATTCCCTAGTGAGGAGAGAGAGGTGGTCATTCCCTAGTGAGGAGAGAGAAGAGGTCATTCCCTAGTGAGGAGAGAGAGGTGGTCATTCCCTAGTGAGGAGAGAGAGGTGGTCATTCCCTAGTGAGGAGAGAGAGGTCATTCCCTAGTGAGGAGAGAGAGGTGGTCATTCCCTAGTGAGGAGAGAGAGGTGGTCATTCCCTAGTGAGGAGAGAGAGGTGGTCATTCCCTAGTGAGGAGAGAGAGGTGGTCATTCCCTAGTGAGGAGAGAGAGGTGGTCATTCCCTAGTGAGGAGAGAGAGGTCATTCCCTAGTGAGGAGAGAGAGGTGGTCATTCCCTAGTGAGGAGAGAGAGGTCATTCCCTATTGAGGAGAGAGAGGTCATTCCCTAGTGAGGAGAGAGAGGTCATTCCCTAGTGGGGAGAGAGAGGTGGTCATTCCCTAGTGAGGAGAGAGAGGTGGTCATTCCCTAGTGAGGAGAGAGAGGTGGTCATTCCCTAGTGAGGAGAGAGAGGTGGTCATTCCCTAGTGAGGAGAGAGAAGAGGTCATTCCCTAGTGAGGAGAGAGAGGTGGTCATTCCCTAGTGAGGAGAGAGAGGTGGTCATTCCCTAGTGAGGAGAGAGAGGTGGTCATTCCCTAGTGAGGAGAGAGAGGTGGTCATTCCCTAGTGAGGAGAGAGAGGTGGTCATTCCCTAGTGATGAGAGAGAGGTGGTCATTCCCTAGTGAGGAGAGAGAGGTGGTCATTCCCTAGTGAGGAGAGAGAAGAGGTCATTCCCTAGTGAGGAGAGAGAGTTCATTCCCTAGTGAGGAGAGAGAGGTGGTCATTCCCTAGTGAGGAGAGAGAGGTGGTCATTCCCTAGTGAGGAGAGAGAAGAGGTCATTCCCTAGTGGGGAGAGAGAGGTCATTCCCTAGTGAGGAGAGAGGGGTGGTCATTCCCTAGTGAGGAGAGAGGAGGTTATTCCCTAGTGAGGAGAGAGAGGAGGTCATTCCCTAGTGAGGAGAGAGAGGAGGTTATTCCCTAGTGAGGAGAGAGAGGAGGTCATTCCCTAGTGAGGAGAGAGGAGGTCATTCCCTAGTGAGGAGAGAGAGGAGGTCATTCCCTAGTGAGGAGAGAGGGGTGGTCATTCCCTAGTGAGGAGAGAGGAGGTTATTCCCTAGTGAGGAGAGAGAGGAGGTCATTCCCTAGTGAGGAGAGAGAGGAGGTCATTCCCTAGTGAGGAGAGAGAGGTCATTCCCTAGTGAGGAGAGAGGGGTGGTCATTCCCTAGTGAGGAGAGAGGAGGTTATTCCCTAGTGAGGAGAGAGAGGAGGTCATTCCCTAGTGAGGAGAGAGGAGGTTATTCCCTAGTGAGGAGAGAGAGGAGTCATTCCCTAGTGAGGAGAGAGGAGGTCATTCCCTAGTGAGGAGAGAGAGGAGGTCATTCCCTAGTGAGGAGAGAGGGGTGGTCATCCTAGTGAGGAGAGAGGAGGTTATTCCCTAGTGAGAGAGAGGAGGTCATTCCCTAGTGAGGAGAGAGAGGAGGTCATTCCCTAGTGAGGAGAGAGAGAGGTCATTCCCTAGTGAGGAGAGAGAGGAGGTCATTCCCTAGTGAGGAGAGAGAGGAGGTCATTCCCTAGTGAGGAGAGAGAGGAGGTCATTCCCTAGTGAGGAGAGGGGTGGTCATTCCTAGTGAGGAGAGAGGAGGTTATTCCCTAGTGAGAGAGAGGAGGGGAGAGAGGAGGTCATTCCCTAGTGAGGAGAGAGAGGAGGTCATTCCCTAGTGAGGAGAGAGAGGAGGTCATTCCCTAGTGAGGAGAGAGAGGAGGTCATTCCCTAGTGAGGAGAGAGAGGAGTGAGGAGAGAGAGGAGGTCATTCCCTAGTGAGGAGAGAGAGAGGTGGTCATTCCCTAGTGAGGAGAGAGGAGGTTATTCCCTAGTGAGGAGAGAGAGGAGGTCATTCCCTAGTGAGGAGAGAGGAGGTCATTCCCTAGTGAGGAGAGAGAGGAGGTCATTCCCTAGTGAGGAGAGAGGGGTGGTCATTCCCTAGTGAGGAGAGAGGAGGTTATTCCCTAGTGAGGAGAGAGAGGAGGTCATTCCCTAGTGAGGAGAGAGAGGAGGTCATTCCCTAGTGAGGAGAGAGAGGAGGTCATTCCCTAGTGAGGAGAGAGAGGAGGTCATTCCCTAGTGAGGAGAGAGAGGAGGTCATTCCCTAGTGAGGAGAGAGAGGAGGTCATTCCCTAGTGAGGAGAGAGGGGTGGTCATTCCCTAGTGAGGAGAGAGGAGGTTATTCCCTAGTGAGGAGAGAGAGGAGGTCATTCCCTAGTGAGGAGAGAGAGGAGGTCATTCCCTATGAGGAGAGAGAGGAGGTCATTCCCTAGTGAGGAGAGAGAGGAGGTCATTCCCTAGTGAGGAGAGAGAGGAGGTCATTCCCTAGTGAGGAGAGAGAGGAGGTCATTCCCTAGTGAGGAGAGAGAGGTGGTCATTCCCTAGTGAGGAGAGAGAGGTCATTCCCTAGTGAGGAGAGAGGGGTGGTCATTCCCTAGTGAGGAGAGAGGAGGTCATTCCCTAGTGAGGAGAGAGGAGGTTATTCCCTAGTGAGGAGAGAGAGGAGGTCATTCCCTAGTGAGGAGAGAGGAGGTCATTCCCTAGTGAGGAGAGAGAGGAGGTCATTCCCTAGTGAGGAGAGAGGGGTGGTCATTCCCTAGTGAGGAGAGAGAGGAGGTCATTCCCTAGTGAGGAGAGAGGAGGTTATTCCCTAGTGAGGAGAGAGAGGAGGTCATTCCCTAGTGAGGAGAGAGAGGAGGTTATTCCCTAGTGAGGAGAGAGAGGAGGTCATTCCCTAGTGAGGAGAGAGGAGGTCATTCCCTAGTGAGGAGAGAGAGGAGGTCATTCCCTAGTGAGGAGAGAGAGGAGGTCATTCCCTAGTGAGGAGAGAGAGGAGGTCATTCCCTAGTGAGGAGAGAGAGGTCATTCCCTAGTGAGGAGAGAGAGGAGGTCATTCCCTAGTGAGGAGAGAGAGGAGGTCATTCCCTAGTGAGGAGAGAGAGGAGGTCATTCCCTAGTGAGGAGAGAGAGGAGGTCATTCCCTAGTGAGGAGAGAGAGGTCATTCCCTAGTGAGGAGAGAGGGGTGGTCATTCCCTAGTGAGGAGAGAGGGGTGGTCATTCCCTAGTGAGGAGAGAGGAGGTTATTCCCTAGTGAGGAGAGAGGAGGTCATTCCCTAGTGAGGAGAGAGAGGAGGTCATTCCCTAGTGAGGAGAGAGAGGAGGTCATTCCCTAGTGAGGAGAGAGGAGGTTATTCCCTAGTGAAGAGAGAGAGGAGGTCATTCCCTAGTGAGGAGAGAGGAGGTCATTCCCATGTGAGGAGAGAGAGGAGGTCATTCCCTAGTGAGGAGAGAGAGGAGGTCATTCCCTAGTGAGGAGAGAGAGGAGGTCATTCCCTAGTGAGGAGAGAGGGGTGGTCATTCCCTAGTGAGGAGAGAGAGGAGGTCATTCCCTAGTGAGGAGAGAGAGGAGGTCATTCCCTAGTGAGGAGAGAGAGGAGGTCATTCCCTAGTGAGGAGAGAGAGGAGGTCATTCCCTAGTGAGGAGAGAGAGGAGGTCATTCCCTACAACCCTGAGGCGAGAGAGGAGGTCGTTCCACAAGTTGGCCTCTAAACTATAAGATAGTGTCCCACGAGGAGTCACTAAACGGCATCATGAAGGCCAAAGAGCAGCTCAGAGCGGGAGTTAAAAACAGCCTGAAGAAAACATTTCCCAAACTTTAAAACATCTCACTGAGCACTGTTCTGTTCAGTATTCTGTGGCCATAATGTTAGCCATAATGTTAGCCATAATGTTAGCCATAATGTTAGCCATAATGTTAGCCATAATGTTAGCATTAGCGGAAGAAGCCAATTTGAGCCAATTTGAGTAAAAGGGGGCAGATGTGGCCAATATTGTTGCTAAGGCAAACTTGTGTTTTCTCTGCAAATTTACGCTACTAATTTCCAGTTATATTTCTTTAATGGCTTTTTTAATGAATGATGTAATAGTGTCTTCATTTGAGTTCTAAACTATAAAAGAATTTAGCAACGACAGCTTCCGTCTTTCACGTTTAGAATATCTACTTTCTCATCTCACACAAGAGCCAACTGAAACCCGCTCACCCCTGAGACAATGCAACAGTAAACCATGACTGCAAACAATTAGACTATGACTTATTGATGTGATTGTTTAAAGCTGGGGTACGTAATTTTAATGTCACAGAGGCCAAAACACATGTCAAAACTAGAGATTGAAGCAAACTGTTTTAGAGCCAGGAACTAAAGACTTTATTCTAGTTTCCACCATAATTAATTCAGTAATAAAGGACTTTTACAACTTAACGAGCTGAACAAATGCTCTGCGTAGATCACAGACCACTGCCAAGAGGCCAGCAGCACTAATGAGGATTATTACACACTTCACAAAAGTTGAAGTCAGCTCTGGACTGGTTCAACAGCAACAAGCACCTCAGGCCAAACAGCAGCACACACTGTTCTAACCACAGTTTATAAACAAGCCTCGCTCCCCTCCCTCACCTGCTGCCTCGCCTCCTTCCTCACCTCCTCTCTCCCTCCCTCACCTGCTTTCTCCCGCCCGCCCTCCCTCCTTCGCCTCCTTCGCCTCCTTCGCCTCCTTCGCCTCCTTCCTTATCTCCTCTCTCATCTCCCTCGTCTCCTTCCTCTTCACCTCCTTTATCTCCTCCCTCCCCTCCCCTCCCTTGCCTCCTCCCTTATCTCCTCCCTCCCCTCCCCTCCCTTGCCTCCTCCCTTATCTCCTCCCTCCCCTCCCCTCCCTTGCCTCCTCCCTTATCTCCTCCCTCCCCTCCTCCCTCCTTTGTGTCTTATAAAACATACCACTCAGTCTATATTCCCAGCCTCATATGAACTGGACAAGGTCGGGACTAGGAAGAGGTGAGGTCAGTCACAGGAGAGGAGCTTTGAGTAGAGCCGCTGCTCGAAAGTGTAATTACCGCAACGTACATCACCCACTATTTTTGCCTCCCTCTTTAGTCTCCCCCCTGTACTCCCCCGTTTCTCACCCGTGTCCCCGAGCTCCGCCTCCACACGTGCCCGGGCCTGTGCGATGTGTTGCGGCTCCGTCACGTCCATGTGGAGCACCCTGATGCCTCCAGGGTCCAGGCTCAGGCTCTGGGCTCCAGGGCCTTCAGGGTCCAGGACTCCAGCAAAGACCTGCAGTCCACGGGCGCTGAGACGGAGGGCGAGGCCGTGGCCGAAACCCGAGTCACAGCCTGGACCAAGGCAGAATAAGAGGAACGCTTAGACTAGTTCATGTAAACTAGACTAGTTCATACTAAACTATTCATACCCCATCAACTTTTGTCACAAAGAAAAGTGGTTTTAATTTTATTTAAAAACCAAAAAAAAGGTAAACCAATGTGAAGTGGTTTCACTGCAAATGGCAAATACAATGAATCTGAAGATAACTCAGATTAAAGATTTAAGATTAAAGAGTGTGGCTCGCAAAAGGAGAGTCCACCAAACCTGTGACGGTCACTAAACAGCATCATGAAGGCCAAAGAGCCCACCAGAGAGGTCAGAGGTCAGGGTGGAAGTTTTAATTGTGTGAAGTTATACAATTGTACATACATTTCCCAAACTTTGAACACCTCACTGAGCGCATTTTATCACATTATTTAGAAGTAACTCCCAAACTCACAGCTCGAACAAAGAGAACTCTGATCAGAGATTAGCCTGTAGCTGGTATTTAAGGCATAAATAAATCAGAAATACAGTATATGAAGGAGCCAGACTGTGGGGGAGCCTTAAACAAACAGGTTGATCCAGCAGAACTGGTGTAAGACCAGATCTTTATCTGGACCGACTCAGAACTGGGTTCAAGAAGAACTGAGAGAGTGAGAGTAACACAGGGGAGTCAGACTCACAAAGGTCGGGGCCGAACAGCGGATCAGGGGCCAAAAAAAAGTGGTTATATTCATTGAAAGTTTGATATTTTTACCATTTATTAAAATAAAATAAAATTTGAATAGGTTACTTTTTAAGTCTTACTTTTTTAGTTCGGATTTAGTTTTTTGGGTTGATTTTTTAACCAAATTATTTCAGTAAGTGTTTCAGTAAACTTGACGCCTCAACATGTCAACATCATGCTGCGAGTTCATCAACAATTTTTTTTATCAGTTTAGGGGTCTTTCCTTAGTCCTGGTTTCTTCTTAGCCCTGGTTCAATCCTGGCCTTTCCTTAGTCCTGGTTCAGTCCTGGTCTCTCTAGTCCGGGTTCAGTCCTGGTTCAGTCCTAGTCCAGGTCCAGTCCTGGTCTCTCCTTAGTACTGGTTCAGTCCTGGCTTCTGTGTGTGAACCATAGACTGTAAGTGTGAACCTGGGGCTGACAGACCGGTTCTGCAGAGGTGCATACTTCCAGTGGATCATCCACATCCATAACTATCATAACCATAACCATCATTACATGATGTGACATCACCCAGTGCTCACCAGACTGAGGACCAGGGGCCTCAGCTCATGACCTCATCTGTATCCTGAGAAAACAGCAGTGATTTAGACACGAACTTTAAGTGTTTCCTCAGCTGCAGCTCACATGTGGCTCTGGGAAAGACTCTGACACTACGTACAGTAACAGCTCCAGTCGTACAGTAACAGCTCCAGTTGTACAGTAACAGCTCCAGTCGTACAGTAACAGCTCCAGTCGTACAGTAACAGCTCCAGTCGTACAGTAACAGCTCCAGTCGTACAGTAACAGCTCCAGTCGTACAGTAACAGCTCCAGTCGTACAGTAACAGCTCCATTTGTGGACAGTCTTTATACAACTTGATTTTGAGAAAAAGTATCCAGACAGGAGCGTCCAGCTCAATCAAAGAGCTCCCCGGGTCGGCTCCCGGTGTGTTCTCCCTTCAGAACACACCATGTTAACTTCAAATCTCAGTTTGTCACTTTTCTGTCTGAAAAAGCTGAAAAGATGACTCACACATAACAAACTGTTTTAGAGCTAGCTGGAACTTGCGACATGGATCTTATTACAGGTAGTTCTGTTGTGTGGTCTAAAGTCACGTACCCCAGCTTTAGTAAGAGTGTATCTGACCTGTGATGAGGACGCCTCTGCCTTCCGCATGCACTGACCCCCCGCTGCTCTGTGCGCGTGCCCAGCTCAGCGCGCACCCTGCGGTCACCATGGACACCAGAACCCCTGACCACACAGACCCCCAGGAGCACGCGCACAGAGCCACGCACGCGCATGCCGACAGTAGTAGCAGCAGCACGTGCAGCAGCCCCATGGCGGCAGCTCATTGACACGCGCACACCGACGCACATACACCTGACGCATGGCAGGTAAGAGCGTGAGCCCCGCCCACACACAAGAACGTGCAGCGACACAAATGTCACTTCCAATAGTTTTTACATTTACTGTAATCATCACTCATAAGTTCTAAAACTGGCAAATGTAACGTGAATACCAAAAAAACCTGCTGCAATGGCTCCTTTGTGTTTACTATTATCAATCCATCAATGTTTATTTCTATAGCACAGTTCATACAGAATGTAACCCAAAGTGCTTCACATCGGCAACATTTAAAAGCAAAAAAACTCTTTAAAAACACGCTGTAAAAACAAATACAAAAGACAGTTTAAGAAAATGAATAAATATATACATCAAAAATAAAAGTATGATCCGATTTCCTGATGATCAGTCGTAGGCACGGCTGAAAAGAACCGTTTTCAGCCTGGACTTGAACATAGCTAAAGTAGGAGCCTGTCTCACACCTTCGGGAAGACTGTTCCAGATTCTAGGTGCATAGGTCTGGAACGCTGCCTCCCCATGTCTAGTCCCGACTCTGGGCACCAACAGGAGGCCAGTCCCCGCGCTCCTCAGAGTTCGAGCGGGCTCGTACGGCACCAGCATGTTGCACATGTATTTTGGTGCGAGGCCATGGAGAGCTGAAAGTTAACGGCGTTACTAACGCCGTTACTTTTTTCAGTAACGAGTAATCTAACTAATTACTTTGACAGTAACTATAACGCCGTTATCATTTCCGACATCCCGTTACTGCGCGTTACTCAAGACGCACAATGAACGTGTTGTCATGAGAGAAGGGAGGATGAGAAAAACTCTCAGCAATTATTGGCTGATGTAAAACATATTTCCTTAACAATCTACATGTCTACAGTTGAGAGGATGGCTCATAAATTGTGTTTTTGAAACAAATATTGGTCTTAATCGCGCTCAACCACGGCTTGTATCACCGTGAGGCCTCAGAGGAGCGCATGTGAGCGCAGAAGTCGGCTGCATACAATTCCATCGATAAGCTCCTTTCTCTTCCTGGTTTATCTGCTAAGGGCTGCAACAGGTTTGGCTAACATACATATAACACATTTTTACATAATCTAAAATGCACATAGGGTCATTTTTCAATTACTATAGGAATGATAAAAAAGAGAGGTGAAGTGTAAGACGGTTGATTTTAGAAATTGGATGCACCCGGCTGCAGCTAGCAAAACACAGGAGTTTATGGAGGACACACGCGTTTTGTTTTACTTTTTAAAACTCATTGGACTCATTTCCAAATGGAGGATTACATATCTACGCTCAAACCATTAACTGGACTTAAACAAGGAACTGGTCTGAACTGAAGTGGTCTGTGCAGGTCATTTATAAGGTAAGACCCATAACTCATAGTTTTGCGTTTTGTATGAACAAACAATGCGGGCATGAAACATATTTTGCTGTAGCCAAACAAATGGTCCACTTGATTTATATGATATAAATGTTCATCTGATTGGGCAGAAGTCAGTGCTTCACCAGCCTCACCGCTCGTCACCGGTGTTTCCACATTCACAGTGGCGGGTGTTGGTGTTTAGTGCTTACAGCACAGAGAGAGATGAAGAGTGAACAGGACTTCAGCAACAAAACAGCCTTTTCTAGATGGAAATATTGGCAATATTTCAGACTCACTGAGGTTAAAGGTAAAACTGCGCACGTCGAGTGCACATTATGTTCCAGAACAAAACGAAAAAGTAACGCAATAGTTACTTTTACTGGTAACTAGTTACTTTTATAGTGGAGTAACTCCGTTAGTAACTCAGTTACTTTTTGGGAGAAGTAACTAGTAACTATAACGAATTACTTTTTCAAAGTAACGTGCCCAACACTGGTGACAACATATACATATTAAAAAGAACGGGGCCCAGAATTGAATCTTGGGGCACTCCACTTGTTAAGGCCACCTGGTCTGAAACACAGTCCCCAATCTCAACAAAGTACTGTCTGTCCTCTAAGTAGGACTTGCACCAACTTAAGGCAGTGCCAGTGATGCCAACCCATCCCTCAAGTCTCTGCAGGAGGATCTCGTGATCAACAGTGTCAAAGGCTGCACTGAGATCCAACAGGACCAACACCGGATGTCGTAGGACATCAGGGCAGTCTCTGCTATGGTGGGGCCTGAAACCTGATTGAAACAGGTCAAAAACATTATTCATCAGCAGGAAATTGTTTAGCTGCAGGTAAAAGGCCTTTTCTAACACCTTCCCTAAAAAGGCAAATTTGAAATGGGTCTGTAATTGCTGAGCACTGCAGGATCAAGACTGCTCTTCTTTAGGAGAGTTCTGATCACTGCAGTTTTCAGAGGACCAGGGAAGGTTCCTGACTGAAGTGATGCGTTCACTATTGCAGTGAGTGAAGGCAACAAACTGTTAAGAACAAGTTTTAAAAATCTAGTGGGCAATACATCAAGGCAGCAAGTGCACGATTTCAATTTTAAAACAATTTCTTTGACCAATTTTTTAGTGACAGGTGAAAAAAAGGACAGCTCAGAAACTGCAGTTGTTTGTGTATAAATTTGTGATGTGGGATTTATCGCTCTTTTAATGGATTGAACCTTTTCATTGAAAAATACAGCAAACTCATTGCACTTAAATATGGAAATGAACTCAAGAGGCAACTGTGATGGGGGGTGTGTTAATCTGTTCACGGTCGCAAAAAGGGCGTGGGAGTTATTTCAAGAGTTTTCAATGGTCTGGGTGAAATACCGCTCTCTTGTAGTACTTAAAATACTGTTGTACTCATGCTGCTTTAATTTAAACATTTCGTAATGGACATGGAGTTTAAGCTTGCATCATTTCACCTCTGCCCTGCAGCACTCTTTTCTTTTCCTTGACAAGGTCATCATACCTCCAGGGTGCTTTTTGTATACTTTTAGTTTTCTTGGTTTTTATGGGGGCGATGGCATTCATTACATTTGAAATGGCATGAGTTAGTGTTTAATAAGTCATCTACAGTAGAGCATGGGGCAATTTCGAACTTGATTCTTTCCATAAAAAGAGCGTCTGTTCCATCCACTATGTGTCCTCGCCTTATTTTCTATTTTCCTGTTTTCAAACTGTTTGATCCGCAACTTTGTAAAGCCCTCCAAGATGGCTGCTGTTGTGATTTAGGGATACACCATGGGGATATACATAAATACATATGAATGAAGAAAACACTTAAACAGTGACATAAAGACATTTATTTTTATATTAATTTCTTGTTAAAGTCAGTGCACCTACACAACACGTGGGAAGTTCCCTTTTACAGCGATGGCCGACTAACATAAAGTGCAGGGGAATGGGAGCGGAGCGTGTGGTACGAGAGCTGCACTTTGGGACACATCAGAAGTGCTTCTTGAGGAAGTTGATGAGTCCGTTTGTGGACGAGTCGTGGGAGGACACTGCGGCGCCGTCCTGCAGCTCAGGCTCGATCCTCTTGGCCAACTGCTTCCCCAATTCAACTCTGCAACAACAGTAAGGAAAAGGGTGTCAGAGGGAAAGGACATTTATTAACATCACACATTTCCTACAAGAGACAAACTCCATGGGTTTAACACAGGTGTAATGTGAAATAAATCTAGATTATTTTGTGGGCATATGACTGCACTGCAAAAATATTAAGTTAGAAATTGCCTAAATTGCACTACAACGGTCCATGGTTTATTGTGGGGGTAATGTGTTCTTGAAAATTACCCACAATAAGGTCATTCTTGAAGTAGCATCTGTAAAACCCCTCACACACTTTATACACTTTTCTAACCACCTGAACTCACAACTGCTGAAGAACAATCAAAACTGTTGATTGTATGTCTGAGCGCTGCTGAGACCAGACACAGAGAGAGAGAGAGAGAGAGAGAGACCAGAGACTTTAACCCTTGTGCTATCTTTGGGGTAAAATTGGAAAAATACCCTTAAATGTTCTTATTTTTTGTTATATATGTATGATTATTCCTAACTTGACCAGCCCTGGGTCATTTAGACCCATACAGACTCTAATGTATGGTATTCTTCTACTTTAACTACCCTTGGGTCAAAATGGCCCAAAACAATGATTAAAAGAGAACAGTCTTGTTATACTAGCAGTTATACGATGTTGTTGGAGTGTAAAGGCGGCGCATGAGAAGCACGTTGTAATAAAAACACAATTGCAGACACAAAGTCCGTCTCCATGGAAACAGGTGTGAGGCCCCTGTGACTGTGTGCGTTATTCATCCACACGGCTCCACACTGACCCCCACTGGTCGTAGCTGTTGATGTTCCAGATCACTCCCTGGACAAAGATCTTGTGCTCGTACATCGCTGCACACAAAACACAGTGTTAGCTCGTTAAACATGTGTCCTTGTTGACGTGTAGACAGTGCAGCTCTCACCGATGAGCGCGCCCAGAGTGAAGGGCGTCAGCTTCTTGAACACGATGGAGTTACTCGGCTTGTTCCCCTCAAAAACCTGCAGAGAGAAAGAGAGAAAGAGAGAGCTAAACACACCTGACAAAAGAGCCACAGTCTGTAAAGCCATGTGGAGTCAGGTCAGCTCTATGAAGCCACATAGTGATCCTGCTGCTCCTTTGGCTCCACCCACTTACATTAACAACTCCTCCTATGTACCTTTGATTAGACGTTAAGCAAAAAGTAGCAAAACAAAATACCCCCTTTCACGTTGTACTTAAAGCTAAGGGACGTCACTTTCAGACCACAACAGTAGAACTCTATAACAAAATCCATGGCACTAGTTGCTGGAAGGTTCCATCACTAGTTTTTAGCAGTGGGGGCAGTTGTCGGCCCAATTGGTGCAGTCTGGCCGTTGCTTTAGAGCCCGCTCCCAAACACAGCTTTAGAGTCCGCTCCCAAACACAGCTTTAGAGTCCGCTCCCAAACACAGCTTTAGAGCCCGCTCCCAAACACAGCTTTAGAGTCCGCTCCCAAACACAGCTTTAGAGTCCGCTCCCAAACACAGCTTTAGAGTCCGCTCCCAAACACAGCTGGGTACCCGAGTTTTAAACCTCCTTACGTGGTCTGAACTTACTTTGTGGGGAAGCAGTGTCTCCAGAGCCTCCCCCTTCAGTCCTCCAGCCTGGAGCTCAGACCGGGCCTCTGCCGCGGTCTTCCCCTTCATCAGGGCCTCGGTCTGGGCCAGGAAGTTGGCCGTCAGGATCTTGTGATGGAGGTTGTTTCTGATTGGATGCTGGGACTGAGCTGGAATGAGGAAGTCGCACGGGATCATACGTGTTCCTGGAAAAAAAATCAAACAATAATTGCACTTTACTAGATTGTAAGATTGTAAGACATTTAATACAATAGATCCTGTATCTGGATTAGAAAAGGTCAGTAAGAAACATAGACTATTTTCACCATGTTGCCAGGGCGATTAATGGGAACATTTTAAAAACTCACTTACCCCTCACACTTAAGGTAGCAGTATGTAATATTTGCATGTCAAGTCATCATTAAATGGTTATTAAATCATGCTCTTTCCGAATACATCTTTAACTGATAACAGTAGTTCAGCCGAGATATTTGAATTTAAAAATTAGTTTTACGACCCGCAAAAGGTGTTATTGTTTACTTTTCGATGTCACATCAGGAAGTGAGTGATCCGTGTTCACTAATCTCAGAGGTAAAATAACATGTGGCCGCAAAACTAAAACAGGTCTTGTTATGATTCTCAAATCATTAATGACAAAACAAAGACTAAAACGAGGATTTATATTGGGACGCCTTTGAAAAATTGAGACAGCGGATACGTTTTTGTGTGATGCCATTAGTTTAGGTCCGTTTTCTTCCACATTTATTGTGCGCAATGGTGGCCTAGTGGATAAGTCTTGGAGCTTGAGCGCCAGCGACCCAAGTTTGAGTCTGGGCAGTGTCAGTTTGTGTTTAATTGCATAATATTACATTTCATGGCAGATTGCTCAAAATCAGGTAAAAGACAATAATCAAGACGTTTTTTGCAGATTGTAGCTTATTTGTAAAAAGAATAATTTGAGACCACATGAAACCCAATTAAAATAATGTTAGTCTCTATTTGATGTGGGACTTGTACATGCATGTCTAAAAAATAGGGAATAAATAAAATTGAAGGGCATATTTTCTGGAGGAAACCCTGATGTTGATACGCTGAAGAAATATGTTCCAACATCCATTATTCCCACTCCTATTTTGGACATCAATTGCTTATTTATTTTCTCATCTCAAATGTCCAAATAAAAAAACATTCATTCAAGATATGCATTCAACATTAGCACGGCTATCTTGGCAATGTGAATGGAGACAGACAAACAACTGACAAAATAATTCCTTAGGTTGCCAGACACACACCAAATCCAGCAGCAAACACGAGTCAGGGAGAGAGAGAGAGGACTACAAAATATTGACTGTGACTGCAGTACCACTTTTGGCCAGATTTTTACATACTGTTCCTTTAAGGTGTCTCCTCCTCAAACTCGCGCCACATCATTTACAGAAGTGCAGCATCAAAGGTTAGCAGCAGAGTTCTCATCTGGTAAACAACGTTATTTCTCTAGCAATATTCGATTCATGGAGCACTCACTGATCCCATGCAATATCATATTACTATACAGGGATCAAGAGTTCCGAGCTTCTGGCTCGACCGCATGGCATTGTGGGTAGTTTTCTCAAAAAAGTGGGCATCAAATCACGCTCTCCTACTATATTACCTGTTGCGAGCGTGATCTGTCTCTTTTTTCCAGCCCATTGATTGTTTTAATCGCTACAAAAATCACCAATTTCAGACATTTTGAAGGTAAGGTAAAGATTTTTTCATGTGGCAAAAAAGCAATGCATTTTTTTCTTGTGGTTTTAGATGTAAACACAACCGACTGACTACAGAGCTACACGCAGCTTGTGTTACTTACGAGGATAAATAACATTTCTGATCAGAGCATTTAGAGTGGGGACATTATTAAGAACAAACAGTGAGCTGGCAGTATAGAGAGGTGTGCAGTAGGCTTTAAACAAAGTTATTTTCACTTTCTCAGTACACATGTGAAATCTCCGTGCTTCAGTGTTAGCCTGTCCATACAGCTTACAGTACTGCCTCTGAATGTCATCGTCTTCACTGAGGTCACTCCTGATGATGTGCCCCAGGTATTTGGCCTTCTCTACATTCAGAAGCTCCACACTAGACAAATATGTCCAAAGTACAGCTTTGGACAAGTTTATAAAGCTCGCGTGTAAGCATTCGATCCTCGTAAGTAGCATAAGCTACATGTGGCTCTATAGTCAGTTGGCTGTGTTTACATCTAAAACCACAAGATAAAAATGTATTGCTTTTTCTTTACATGAAAAATCTTTACCTTACCTTCTAAACGTCTGAACAGGTAATCTAATAGGAGAGCGTGATTTGATGCCCACTTTTTCGAGCCGGAAGCTCGGAACTCTTGATCCCTGTATATCAGGATTTCCTCCATTAGAGCAGTGAAGAGGGCGATTAGCTCCAGTCCTCACGGAGCCTGTGTGAGCTCGCTCTAACCCTGCACAGTCTGACTGGACACAGACCCTGGTGGATGAGCTGGTAGAAGGCGTGCTGCCCATTGGTCCCTGGCTCCCCCCACACGATGGGGCCGGTGTGGTAGCTCACTCTGCTGCCGTCGGAGGTGATGTACTTCCCGTTGGACTCCATGTCGCCCTGAGCACAAACAAAAGCCTCCTTTAAAAGCTGGGGTTCGCAACTTTCAAACCACAACAACTAGATTTCAGAAACTCCACAAATGCACAAACGTCAGGACTTTTTGTGAAGCTGAGGCCCTGTAGTTTAGACCTCTCAAAACGTTTTGTTTAGTACATATAGACCAGAGAGAGCCCAGAGAGAGATAACAGAGAGTGAGAGAGAGACCAGCTTAAGTTTGGTCTTTCACATTTAGTCTGATGGTTATATCTGACCCATGGGCAACATCCTCAATATGATTTTAATCTTGAATCCTCTGAGAACAGCTGTGAGAGAGAAATACTTTGAACATGTGCCAAAGATGTGGAAGAGCGTCACCTGCTGGAAGTAGGCGGCGAAGCGGTGCATGTACTGGTCGTAGGGCAGCATGGCCTGGGTCTCGGCTCCAAACAGGTTTATGTACCAGACCCCGAGGAGCGCCAGGAGGACCGGAACGTTCTGAGCCAGAGGAGCGCTACAGAAGTGGGAGTCCTGACGAAAGAGCGAGAGCGAGGGGAGTTAAAGCTGGGGTACGTGACTTCCGGACAACAACGTTATTAGTTCGTGGCTCTAAAACAGTTTGCTTCTATCACTAGTTTACATGTGTTTCTGGCCTTTGTCACATCTTTGAATCAGCTTTTTCGGACGGAAAAGTGACAAGAGAGGACCTCCCTCCCTCAGCCAATCAGCTCTCAGCCCAAAGAGTCAAATAGTGACTCACAGGGATTTTTCTACTAAAATGAAGACAGCGTATTGTGTCCAGATTTGTTTACAACATTTTACTTTGAGACACTGAGAGAATTTCTGTTGGACAAACTGTGTTCTTTACGAGACTAAAGTTACGCACCCCAGCTTTAAAATAATGCGGCGAGATATACATAATAAGACAGAAGGGGTGGGGGGGGACGGTCTTAAAAGTTCCTGACATTGGTGTGTGTGTGGAGCTAAACACAACTGCAGATCTGTGACTGATGAGGGACTTGAGCAAAGAGCTCCTTTAAAAACATGTTGGTGGACACAGAACCTGGACTTACCATCCAGTGGGCACCAGACAGAAGCTGCTCAAAGTTTTCAAATCCTGAAACAAGAGAGAACTGCATAACTACAATATGCAGAGGCCAGAGAGAGACCAGAGAGAGACCAGAGAGAGATTTGTAAAGTAGGACTCTCACGACCGTCACCCTCGCAACCTGATATTTTAGTGCTTTTGAATTCCCCAAAATGAGCCACAAGCATAACACTCACTGAAAAAGGTGAAGAATAATAATAATAATGTTGGTCTCACCGATGTGCAGAGCGATGGACAGACCGATGGCAGACCACAGGGAGTACCTCCCCCCGACCCACTGCAACGGGAAACAGGAGGTATGAGAGACAGGAAAGGGGTGAGACAGGGCACATAGGGGAGAGGAGACACAGGAGACACAGGAGAGAGGAGACACAGGAGGCATGAGAGACAGAGAGAGACAGGACAGACAGGAGTCACAGGAGAGAGAAGAGAGAGGCGAGACAGGAGATACACAAGAGAGGAGAGACAAGAGACATGAATTGGGGGGGGGGGGGGGACAGGAGACAGGTGAGACTCGTAATACAGGAGTGGGGTGAGACAGGAGACACAGGAGAGGGTTGGCAGGAGAGCAGGAGAGAGACGGACAAGAGGTGAGACTAGAGAGAGGACACACAGACACACGACAGAGCTCTGATGTGACACTTACGTCCCAGAACTCGAACATGTTGGCCGTGTCGATTCCGAAGTCTTTCACTTTGGCCTGAGGAACAACAGAGAACACATGAACAAGAGAGACCAAAGAGAGAGAGACCAGAGAGACACACACACACACACCAGAGAGAGACACACACACCAGAGAATGAGACCAGAGAGACAGAGAAGAGAGAGAGACACACACACAAACACATACCAGAGAAAGAGACACACACCAGAGAGAGAGACAGCCTTTCATTGTATAGAGCCTGACGTTTACACCAGTCGGTCATTCTGTGTGTGTCTGTGGTTCTAACTCACTGCGTTGGTGGAGAGAGCCACGAAGTGTTTGGCCACAGCCGCCGCCTGTGGAGACAAAGAGCGAGAGGTGAGAGTCACGACAACGCGGCACTTCTGTCGTAAAACCAGGTGTTCTCTCCACACTGATCTTTAGCTTCAGACTCCTCAGGGTTCTCTCCCCTAGAGCGTACATCAGGACAGTCTGAGATTAACTCACGTCTGAGGCCGTCTTCAGGAGCCACTCTCTGGCCGACTCTGCGTTGGTGATGGTCTCCTGAGTCGTGAATGTCTGAAAACAAAAAATGAAATTAGTTAAAATGTTTTGTTTTCAGAGTTTCCCTTCAGCAATATTTCTGACAAACATTCCAATTTTGTTTCAGATTCAAGTATGACGATTACCAGTTTATTATACTTATATTTGGACGTGCAGAGTGACGCCTCTAGCACCAAGCATCTATCAGAAATCTGTCTGTTTGCAAAGAACTTTTAACTGGTACTGTGATCTGTTCTGAGACCAGAGAGAGACCAGAGAGAGAGAAGACATTTTTAAGTTTGCAAAGGACTTGTAAACTGGTACTGTAATCTGTCTATTCTGAGACCAGAGAAAAAAACAGACCAGAAAGAGAGAGAGGCCGAGAATGAGAGACCGTGAGAGAGAGACAGTGAGAGAGAGACCGTGAGAGAGAGACCGTCTGGAGTTGTTACCTTGGAGGCGATGATGAAGAGCGTGGTCTCTGCGTCCAGTTTGCTCAGAGTCTTGGCCATGTGGGTCCCGTCAATGTTGGACACGAACCAGACGTTTGGACCCCCGGCGGAGTACGGCTTCAGGGCCTCGGTCACCATCAGGGGGCCCTAGAGGGACACAGGTACAGAGAGGGACCATGAGAGGGCCCCAGGGAGATAGAGGCACAGTGAGGGACCATGAGAAGGGTTCAGATAGACACAGGTACAGAGAGGGACCATGAGAAGGGTTCAGAGAGACACAGGCACAGAGAGGGACCATGAGAGGGGTCCAGAGAGACAGAGGTACAAAACTTCACCATGAGCACTTCCCTATTGGGTTTAATTGAGCTCGAGGGTTAATCTGAAGAATGAGTTGTGATCCCTCACCAGATCTGAGCCTCCGATGCCGATGTTGACCACGTCTGTGATGGACTTTCCACTGAAGCCTTTCCACTCACCGCTGCGCACCCTCTGTACACAGAGACACCAGAGTAAATACACACAAACACGCGCACAAACATAGAGATAGAGACATTAAACAAACACACAAAGAGAGAGACGCGCACACAGAGAGACACACGTACACACAGAGCGAGAGAGACAGAGTAGGGCTGGGCGATATGGCTGAAAACTATATCACAATATAAGTCATTCATATCGGTCGATAACGATATATATTGAGTTTTTTTTTTTTTAACCTAAATAAATACATTTGTCGTGTGGGCTAACCAACCTTAGCAGCCTTGTTTACAGTCACGGGGGAATGAGGCTGGAGGAATATGTTCACACTGTGTCCCTCGTTGTTAGTCCTGGTTTAATCCTGGTTTTTTATTCCTGGTTTAGCTCCTGGTTTAGCTCCTGGTTTAGCTCCTGGTTTAGCTCCTGGTTTAGCTGTTTTCGAGGGTCTTGTGTCCCCGTGACCGCTCCATGCGGCTCTCTGTGCCGCACATGCTTCCCGAGGAAAAAGTTAATCTCTTGCTTTCGCCGAATACATCAGGTCTGTCCACTGCCTCTGCCGCCGCACATGTTATTCCGCGCACGTACGTGCATAACCATTGACACGGCATTGAAACACGAGCTATAGATCCATGGACGCTACGCATGGTGCGGTTGTTGGTGTTTTTGCATTTCCCAGAAAGTTTTGCGGTTCCTGCTCGGCTGTTATTGGTCGAGAAGCCTCTGCCTACATCCCCCACAATAGGGCTGTAAAGCGGAAGTGCGAGATTTTGAGAGATTTCCACCCGTGGATACAAACAAACCACACGTGCCAGTTGTATGGTGCGGAGATCGCCGACTTCTTCCTCGTTAATGGACTTTCCTGTGTTATTTTGGACACGTTTAGTCTCTGGGACAGAAAAACTGAGTGAGCGGTCAGAATTAGCTGTGAACTGGCCATGTCCTGACGTTTCCATACGACGGGGAGATGAGAAAGGCACAGGGCCGTGTTCAAACATACAGTCTATGGTTCAAACTCATTGTATTTTAATCCACTATCACGCATCAGAAAGAAAATATAGAAACACTATTCCTATGCAAATAAATTGATGTTGTCCCTTACAGCTATCTTTGCTGCTTTGGTTATAAGCCAATGTATATGAATGATCAGTTTTCTATCTGTTCATCAGCTCATTCTCCACTTCACACTCACTGCAGCTTCACATTGGGCCTTTTTCCTTTTTGCTGTACTGTCAAAAATAACATGATGTAGTTGGGTTACCTATTCATTTGCTACTAATATTATGATTGTCCGTTTTCTGTTATATTTGAACATTTATTAAATGTTATTTAATACGTGTTAATATGTTCCTCCTTTATCTCTCAAATAGATAAATATTTGAGAGACAATATTTATCCTGTGTGACATCAATAAAGTTTCTTATCTTAAAATACAAGCCACAATTAAAGGCTTGGCCGCGCACTATTACAGGTTAGCATTAGCTACAAGTTAGCTTGAATACATGTTCAAGTTAACTGTCTCTGAAATCAGACAAAATATTTTATCAGAACTGCATAGCTTTTCTCACAGCTTCAGTGGGTCTTTGGGAAACCTAAAGAATGAGCATGTGTCGCGTAAACTGTGATGATTACAGCCGAAAACAAAGCAGAGCATTATGCACCATTCACTTAAACCGCCTCTTCGAACAGCTGACGGTTTGTTTGTATCCGAGCAATGAACCGGAAGTGCTTCTGGGACGAGACTTTCCAGCCCTATGCCGCGCGCTTATGAGTCGGCTTTACTTCCGGTGTTTTCTTCCTGTTTTTCCTGACAGATTTAAGTTAAACTATCGAACATTCTATCGACCCCATTCTCTATTGATATCGAACACATGTCTATCGCGATATATATCGTTATCGCCCAGCCCTAAGACAGAGACACACGTGTACACTCAGACACACACACACAGAGACATATGTACACATACAGAGACAGAGCTGAACATGTGTGTGTGTGTGTGTGTGTGGTCAGTTCCTCACATGGCAGAAGGCCTTCATCTTGTCCAGGACACGGTTCACTTCTGGCATCACGTCGCTGCCGTCCACCACGATCGGAGAGTTGGAGCGATTCCGGAGCGCCACGTGCAGCACGGCGCGGTTCTGACCACACACAAACAAACAAACCAATATAAACAAGAGAAAACAACCATACAGTGTTGGAAAAGGGGATGGAGGAAGAGTGTGTTGTGTGCGTGTTGCATGTGTAGTGACTCACAGGGCGCTTTTTCACGCAAAAAAGTACATGTTTTCCAGTAAAGCCTGGTTCACACAAGACGATTTTAAAATTGTCGGCCGATTTTTCTCCGTGTTAGACCCCACACGGGGAGATTAAAAATCCTGCGTCTAACCACTTTGGTCGTGCAGTGTGTGGTGCGTAGCCACACGGCAAGATCACGCCGTGATCCCCCGTGAAAATCTGGCCAAAAGTGGTACTGCAGTCACAGTCAATATTTTGTAGTCCTCTCCCACTCTCCCTGACTCAGGTTGCCAGATTCACAACAAATCCAGCAGCAAACACAGGGAATTATTTTATCAGTTGTTTGTCCGTCTCCATTCACATTGCCATGACAGCCGTGCTAATGCTGAATGAATGTTTTGATTCATGTTTTTTTATTATTATAAATTTGGACATTTGAGATAAAAAACAAAAACAAAATAAAAGCAATGTAATTATACATAGTTTATGCAAAATAAATAAGAAATTGATGTCCAAAATAGGAGTGGGAAGAATGGATGTTGGAACGTATTTCTACAGCGTATCAACATCAGGGTTTGCTCAAGAGGATATCACCTTTCAATTTTATTTATTCCCTATTTTTTAGACAAACATGTAAAAGTCCCACATCAAAAAGAGACTAAAATTATTTTAATTGGGGTACATGTGGTCTTAAATGATTATTTTTACAATTAAGCTATAATCTGCAAAAAAACGTCTTGACCTTCATCTTTTACCGTTTTTAGAGCAATCTGTCATAGAATGTGATAACATGCAATAAATACAAAAAGACATAGCCCGGGATCGAACCCAGGTTCCTGCATCGTAAGAGCGCAGCTTAGACCGCTAGGCCACCGGTTCACACGAACAGAGACACCGTGAAGAACGGAATCAAACTAGCAAATTCTGCATCACACGTAAACTTTTATCAGCTGTCTCAATGTTCAAAGGCATCCCGATATAAATCCTCGTTTTAGTCTTTGTTTTGTCATTAATGATTTGAGAGTCACAACAAGACCTTTTTTAGTTCTGCGCCACATGTTATTTTACCTCTGAGATTAATGAGCCGCGCGGAGTTCTGGCAACCCGATCACGGACTTACATGACACTTCCTGATTGGCGAAACGGCGGAGGGTAGGACATCAAAATCAAAACAATAACAACTTTTACGGGTCGTAAAACTAATTTTGATGATCAAATATCTCGGCTGAACTACTGTTATCAGTTAAAGATGAATTCGAAAAGAGTATGATTTAATAACGCCTTTTGAAATATTTGGGTCATTTAATGATGACTTGACATGCAAATATTACATATTGCTCCTTTAAGACTTACAAATGACATGTTATTGATGACAAAAGTGAAGTCAGGGCCTCATGATCCAACTGCAGAGAACGCAAACAGAAGCTCTTTGTCCGACTTCAGCCGCGTGCAGTGACCTGAATCTTAACCATTATCTGGCTGCATAGTGTTCACGCTGCACTGTATAGAGTAAACCACAGGACAGCTGAAGCCCCCACAGCTGACGTCTCCATCTGGTGGCGGGACAGAGGCACTACAGTGGGCTCCTCACCTCTGTGAAGTTGATCTTTTCTCCAGAGAACATCTTGGCTCTGGCGTCCTCCACTCCTCTGGACTTGGCCTGGGCACAACACAGAAACATGGCGTAAACTGGACTCAGCAGATTAAAACAAACTATTTATTGGTTTACAACAATTGTCTATGCGTTTATAAAAGTGCCATTGTCTGTATATTGGGAGTGGACCGAATGTGACATCACCACAGTGTCAGCTTAATGTGGTAGATGCAGAACTGAGACCACTGCGGACAGAGAACCTAGTGAGGGATCTCTTCGGTCTCCCTCTCTCTCTCTCTGGTCTCTTTCTCTGGTATCTCACAGAGGACACATACCTATAGGGAGACACTAAAGCAGTCTGGCTCCATAAAAAGTATTATTTCTTTGTGTTTTGCTCTCACTTGGCTCTACACAGACTTTGACATTTCATGATAATATTCCATTTCTATAACAAAAGCCCAGTGTTTCCCAAGAACCCAACTGTAGAATAATGTAATCTGTTCAGGAAGTGTGGCCATGTCTCACCGTCTGTCGCAAAAATGTGAAGCAACAAAACATCACGACCAGAGACAAAGGAGCGTTTCCAAAGATCAAATATATGTCGAGACAAAAGTCATTTCACCGAGAAACAAACACAAAAAAACTGAACATGACACCGCAGGTTCAGGGTTCATCGTCAGCCTAGGACAATAGTGGGAAAGCGTATTGTCACCGGAGACACCATTTTAGACCAGAGACAGACCAGAGAGACCCAGATCAATGATCAGAGAGACAGAGAGAGACAGAGAGAGACAGAGAGAGACAGAGAGCAAGAGAGACAGAAAGATTAGTATGGCTGGAGCTAAACACAAATGCAAGTCTGCTTGAGCAGCTGGAGTCGATGGTCTCGTACCAGGTCCAGGAGCATAGTCAGGATCTCCTCTGTGATCAGGTTCTTGGAATAATCCAGGAGGATCGGGCCATCGTCGGTCTGCAGAGTGGTGCTGTCAACACAAATCATTGTTAGCATTTCACAAACCTATTTATTATTTTATCTCCTAACAAATAAATATTGACATAAATGCCCATTTTCCACCGGCTCTGCCCCACTCAGCTAGCCATAATAAACCAATATTTAGGGAAATTCCTTGGTATCCATGGCTCCCAGCACCAATCACTGAGAGTTTGAACACTTAAGTACAGCTCAGCCTGGATAGAACCAGTGCCAAGAGGGACTAAAGGATCTGGTACCGGTTAAACAACGAAAACACTCTCAATCAAGGGAGAGTGGAGTAGAGTACGGCTGGTGGAAACAGGGCTGTATAAAACAGAGGCTGCAAAAGCAGAAAAACTACAAACTCCAGACGTAAAAGCAATTAAAAATTGGAAAGACTTGAAACCTGCTGTTCACAAACCATCCCCTTCAATGGGCAAAACCTTCAGTCTCAAGATGTGTAGAGCTTGTAGTCATACCTGAAAAGAGCTGCACCATACTCTTGCAAACCTCTGTATACAGAAGCTTATCATTAATATAGTGTAAGACTTTATACTTTGTGCAAAACCTGATACAGTTTTACTTTATACACAAGTGTAATAATGTCTTCAAGTCCTCATACAGTAAAATCATATGGACCACCCATAGACTAAACAGATGGACAATGTGGACAACGCTAACCTGTTAGCTGAATGAAGTGCTCATGAAATATAAACTCCTCGAGCTCAGCAACACACACAGAGTTTGAATTTTGTAAAGGAAATGAATCAGGTAAAAAAATGCAGTCCTTTGTCATTTGATATTTTCATCTGTTGAAATTATAATTCTTCACTTCATTGTGCAATATTGTCTCTCCTCTTCCTCCTTCTCCTCCTCCTCCTCCTCTATCGCTATCGCTGCTCCCCCTTCCCCCTGTGGCTATTCTTGACTCCGAGCTGCTGCTTCTGCTGTGCACGTCCACACAAGAGGCCTTTATGTGAACCTGCAGTCTGACATCCAGACCCAGGGCCTAGTTAAGATCTGGGACTAAATAACAATGCAGACCTGGACCTACAGAACCACAGACCAAAGATCTGGACCTAAATCAAGCCATAAAGTATTGAATAGGAATTTGACACATACTGTACAAGATAAAATAAGATTGACTTTATTGATCTCACAATGTAGAAATGTACATATCACATACTGTATGTTCTCCTAAAGTCTATGGAACTCAGAGGCTGAAATCATATTGTGCAAAAAATACATCTACATTTTACATACAACTATAAATTGTCTCCATGCCTCTTTCATTTAACAAACTTAGCTTGTCTTTGGGTTTATAATGAAAATATTGACATAAATATCGACATAAATGACATACAAATAATCGGTAAACGTGATGGTATGGAAGAAGAACAGGTAAACAGCGGACGTTTTGGCTAATAAACAATAATAAACGTAATAATTATATTTTAAATGTTATACCTTAGAAGTGTATGCCGATTGTTATTATGCCTTACTCTATTCTCTACCTCTCTGTGACTTACATGGCAATAAACATGATTCTGATTCTGCCGAAACTTTTGAAATATTTCATCTTGGCATTAATACAAATAAAACACTATTCGTTGAAAACACAAAAAGGGAACTACCCAACGTCTATACCCGCAATGATTGAAATGTCAGCAAAGAAATGTGTAATTTAATAAAGAAATTAAACTTTAGCATAATCTCTTTTCCATTTTCAACACATGTATTAATTTTAATTATAGTAAACTATATTAAAAGCCATCGTTATTAGAGTGTCCGACAATGGAACCATGACATTAGCACTTAGCATTAGCAGCTAGCTCAGGCATCAAAAGCGGAACAATTCAAAAGTGACGCCCAATTATGACGACTTTTGATAGTTTGTTTAAAATAACATATCGTGTGGTGAATATGTGGTGCCAAATTTATTAAGTGGATTTTGATAACTAAGCAAAAACGCGGAGAAATAATAAGTGTGACCTTGCTCTTCACTTGGGGGCATGTTTGCACACTTGTGGCTAAAGATGCATTGGGAAAAACAAACAGTGTTTTTGGGTAAATAAAGAGAGGTTTTGGGGTCTGAAGTCAGTAGAGGCCATTCAGACTGACAATCGGCTGAGTGCAGCAAGACTTCACATCAAATCCAGGCACGTTTTGCACACACGCCCACAGAGGACTAAAGCAGGGACTAAAGCAGGGACTAAAGCAGGGACTAAAGCAGGGACTAAAGCAGGGACTAAAGCAGGGACTAAAGCAGGGACTAAAGCAGGGACTAAAGCAGGGACTAAAGCAGGGACTAATGAGAGTCTAAAGTAGGACTGAATCTGAAACTAAATCTGGAATAAATCATCTCCAATGAACCACACCAGGACTAAATTAGGTCTAAAAGCCAGGTCTAAACCAAGTCTAAACCAAGTCTAAACCAGGTCTAAACCAAGTCTAAACCAGGTCTAAACCAGGTCTAAACCAGGTCTAAACCAGGTCTAAACCAGGTCTAAACCAGGTCTAAACCAGGTCTAAACCAGGTCTAAACTTGGATCGAAACAAGCTAATCCAGGCCTAACCCGAACCCTAGGCCCACACAGTGCATCCTTTACGCGCATCCAAACCTGTTCACCTGAATTTGGAGAATCGTTCCGGGTCGCTGTCGAACATCTCCCGCATGTTGAGGCTCGCACCGTGGGCTTTGTGCCACTGCTGCAGCCGCTTGAAGTTAGGATCACTGGAAAGGGCCATTTTTATTCTGTATATTTCAGCTTTGTGGGCCCCAGTCCGTGCGTAAATCCTGGTGCGTTCGGGCTGGTTTGGTCCTGGTTTGATCCTCGTTTGGTCCTGGTGCTTGTGGAGGAGAACACGGATGGTTGCAGGATGGAGAGACGTGCTAAGTAGAAGTCTGGGCAGGGACAGAGGAGGGCCGAGCCGAGCCGAGCCAATCCTAGCCAGGAGGCGGTCATTGCATCGGTCACGCCCACGCACGACAAGGACAAAACGACAACGTGCGAGCATTACATTGCATTTTGAATGAATGACTGTACTAAATAGACTATACTCCTGTTGTAGCTTTATGTAAATGTAGCGGCAGTATTGACAAATGTCCTCCTAGTTTTTAGTTTTTACTGCTTTTATTATTAGAACTTCAAACCACAATGAACAAATGGAAAAAACAATATAAATAAATCAATATTCCTTGTTGAGTCACGGAGCTATCCCAAAGTGATTCTTTCTGACTCTTACCTGTGTGAAGGAGCAGTGGCTCTACTCCAAGCTCCTTCCATGGGAGCACTTTGTCACCTGTGTAGGAAACTCGTGCAGACCGCTTTTGTGTCCTCCACCTCCTTTGGGTCCTTCCTCAAAGCTCAGGTGAGGATGGAGAAGAAGTCTGAGCAGTAAATTCAGAGCTCTGAGTGCAGACGCTGCTCAGGAACGCTGCACCTGGAGAGGGCCGGGGCCAAGACCTGGAGAGTACCACAATCTCTTTCCTGAGAGAGGACAAGGACCTTTCTCCAGTCCAGATCCGCTTCACTCTCAGCTCAGGCCTAGGCTGGAGGTTCTGGTTTGATGAGGTCAACAGAACATCCTGGTCTCCAATCTTCAACTTCAGTAGAGGTAAGAAGCGTTTAAAGATCCTTGTGGAACTTTCATGGACTCGTTTTGTGCAGGTCCTCTCTGGAGGCATATAACACGGGCCAAGTTCACGTTTACTTTTCAAATCTGCTTTTTCCTTTACCAGCTGTTGCTCAATCTTTAGAGTTTGACCTCCACATGACTCCAGCTGTGGTCCACATTCAGTTCAAAAGCAAACTTCATTTCAAGGATTTGTCTATAATCAACATAAACACATTATGATAAGGATAAATCAATCAGTACAGTAGTCCCTGCTGTCGAGCAGCCCTTTCCTCCAGCTCTACTCTGCTCTAGTCTACTTCACTCTGAGTGAAGTAGTGCAGGGCCAAGTGGAGAATTTCCTTCTTTATAGATAAAAACTCTATATTTAGCTTAATAAAGTATAGAGTCGGGCTACACTCACTTGACGAATAAAGGTCTATCTTGTTATCTTCTGTCTGCTCCTTATTCCTACCGTTCTGTAACTTGCAACACTGACATTTCCCCACTGTCGGACAAATAAAATATCTATTAATCTTAGAGCTGAGTAGAGTAAAGCTGAGTGGAGTTGGTGGAAAGAAACACCATTACAGACACCACACACACACATTGGTCTATACGCTTTATTTCCAGCACATTTTTAAAGTTTTCTCCAAAATGGCTCCGTCTTCACAGAAAAACCTCTGGTAAAAGGGATTACAATGATCCGACAAAGTTACAACAAAAGTACACCACGCAGCCCCAACAAAGTGCTTCACAACTCTACGTTTCTGTGATTTCAGCCTCTCTCCGTGGTATTGCTTGAGCTTTTCTGCTACATACACTTGACATCAATAGGACTTTTGCAGTGTTCTGGGACAGAGTGGCATTTTAAAGCTAATGTGCGTAACTTAAATGCTCTTTCGCCTGGAGTGTCCCACAATGAGGGTTTACACTGTCATTCTGCAGCAGAGACTTCACTCTCGGCTGTACTATCAAGTCACATCTGCGGAGAGGCGAGCCGACTCAGCGGAAGGTTCGGGTTTTTCGTTGAACTGTGAAATCATCTGTAGCTAAAATATGAACACGCAATTACTCAAGTCATAGAAGCCAAACTCAAAGTACGGTCGGGCAGAAAAAAAGATCTCCCATTAGCCGCAACGTATAGTAGCCTTTAATCATTCAAATGGGTTTCTTTTAAAGCTCGGGTACGCAACTTTCAGACCACAATAGGACTCCATGTCTCTAGTTCCTGGATCTAAAACAGTTGCTTCTATCGCATTCTTATATTGGCTTTTTCAGACAGTTAAGTGAGAAACAGTGGACCACCCTCACTCGTCCAATCAGCTCTCAGAGTCAAATAGGCTCTTTACCACATAGAAGATACGCTTTCTAACGAGATGTTGTGGTCTGAATTGTTCACATTTTACTTGAAGACTTTCGGCTGGCCAAACTACATGCTATTTATTCAATTTAAGTTACGTACCTAAGCTTTAATTCTTTTTGAATTTTTTTTCTGTGTGCACGGTTTTGCCTGAATCTTGCAGCTTTGATACTGAGGAACAATCCAAGCAAAAAGATTTAAGACCACATTTTTGTAATGCTTTTGAAATTCAAAATATACACTGGTTGCCGTTGGTAACGTTGTAAAGGTGAGTTGTTTATGAAAAGAAAAAGAAATATAGTGAGATGAGGAGATGAGACGTGGCCCGTTCTGACTGTGGCTTAAATCTTCCCAGATTCCTCTAAGATCAAACCCGTTCCTTTGGTGACAGCACTGAGGAAATATTGTAGACAATCGTATACTTCATATTGTAATACATTTTACAACAGGAAATGCAGGTTTTTAAAAATGGGTGAATACTGTTTTTGTGGACGGTTTGAGTGTCGTTTTAAATGTGCGTTTGTTAAAAGGTTTTGTGAGGATGTTTAAGAGCCAAATGAGCAACACACTAAAAGCTCATTCCACATTTGGGCAGATTGTGGTGAAGAGGGAGCAGCGTCTGCATTCAGAGCTCTGGATTTACTGCCCGCCCTCAACTATGGGCATGACCTTTGGGGGAGGAGCCATGGGACATACACGAGGAGCTCCAAGTACAGCCCATGGATCTATTATAATAACGGTAGAGCCGCATCTGCTGCTCTTGTTTCTATTTCCCCAATTTTCAGATGTATATTTTTCTGTTGCGTAGTCTTTTGTTTTGCTCAAAGTTTCGAGTTTAAACATATTTCAGAATAAAAATGAGTAATATGTTTTCCTATTATTTATTTTCCTAGAGTGTCATGTTTAAAATTTAAAAATGTTTTTATTTTATGTATATTTTTGCTCATTTATATTCCCCGATTTTTTTTCTGTGCTCCAAAAGCTCAGTCTCGTTTTTTTCTCCTCATTCCGAGTCAGAAATAGCTTTTTGTATTTCCTCCGCAGAGCAGAGACTCTATGGACCAATGCCTGCTATGTGTTTGTTAGCATTGCATTTCCTGTGATCAAACGGTTTGACTCTTTGATCTGTTGTTGAGGAATCGACTACTTTGTAAAGTCCTGCTGTTGTTGAATTGAAACCCACTTCCTTGAGTCGAGTTTGTGGTTGTGTATTTGAGCGGTTTCAGCCTCTTTGTCCAAACCTTTTATCTCGACGACAAAACTATTGCAGGAAAAGTTTGCTAAATATTGAGCTGAAGATGCTAAGTGCCAGGTCTGCGGAGAGGCGAGCCACAGCGCAGAAGTTCAGAGGTGCAGCTTTAAAAATCTAAAATAGTGAGGAGACCAATCTGTGACGGAACTTTGATCGCAGCGTTGATATTCGTCCATTTTCACATTTTCCTAAAAAAAAATGTTTTTAAATATTTTTTATAATAATTTTGAGAGTTTTTTTCCTCGCTCTCCAGTTATATTTTTCCTCCCAAAAAGTTCCATCTTTCAATGTATTTTTATATAATTATTTTTAAGTTACCATTTCGCAATTTCAAGTTTTGTTTTCCTACAACAACAAAAAATCACCCTCCAAAATGTCAATGTATTTTCTTCGCATTTTCTCACATATATATATTTTTATTTATATAGGACTAACTTTTTCCCAAAATGTTGTCTTAGCACGAGTCACAAATCAATGTTTTAATTTTTCCCCCCCAAATAATTCATGTTCAATGTACTTTTATCTTTACAAAATATCGTGTTTGTCGAGTCAAATATATGAGAACCGCTTTCTTCAAACATGCAAATCATTCCTAATCATTTCCACGGTGTTGTAAAGTAAATCCTCTTTATTTATATAGCGTCTACAAAGTGAGAGTGAGAGAGTGAACGCTGCCGAACAGAGGAGACTGGAACGAAGGGATTTTCCATTGAACTAAACTCCGGACTGGATTGTACAGGATTGAACAGGAGCTAGCATAGCGTCGGCCCGGTGCTGGTGACAGATGCAACCATCGTCTTCATTCGTCAAAAAGTCGCAACCAAAAACCTATTTAATGACTTGAACGTAGTGAGCCGGTCTACGCCGACGCCTTGTTCTCCTTCTGCAAGACAAAAACAAGGGAAAACGGAAAAATTATCACAACAGCAACAAGAATAGCAATGAAAATACGTGGATTATCTCAGGTCTATACAACATATTGTACAGGCCACGACAACAAGGAAACTGTTAAAGCTGGGGTGCGTAACTTTCAGACCATAACAATAGAACTGTCATGACATCCCTGTTTAGTTCCTAAAACAGTTTGCATGTGTTTTAGACGTGAGATAGAAAGACCAGAGAGAGAGACCAGAGAGAGAGGCCAGAGAGAGACCAAAGAGACAATAGTGGACTGACCCTGTAGGACAGATCGGCGAACTCCCGTCCGGCCTGGCTGTTGTGGTTCCTGTAGCCGCCTCTGTAGCCCCCTCCCCGTGGGTGAGGCCCGAACGAGCCCCGCCCCCTGCTGCCCCGGAACCCCATGCCCCCGCGCCCACGGTATCCGCCCCGGCCGCGACCGTGACGCAGAGGGATCCCAAAGGTCTCTGCGTTCATGCGCCGTTCCTCTGCCCACGTTTGCCGGTGCACCCTGCAAACAGATTATAATCTGAGGACGCACAGTTTATACAGTCAGTGATGGAGCCTAATCTCAGTGGAAACAGGTGGAATTAAGTTAAGTTTACACAGTTTTATACAGATATCTACCGGACATTATAATGGAAAAATGAATGGTATAAACCAGGGGTTCCCAAAGTCTCAACAGCCCTTCCCGTCACATGAAATGAGCACGTATTTCCTCGATTTGGAGTAACGCTTTATAGAGACTCGCGCAACTACTGAGCACTCGCCAGCCCAAAAAAGTAGGCTTGCGTATTTTTACTCACGTAGAGATGCAAGTGATGGGCTTGGTGGGCTCCCCCCTTAGCAGAGGTGGAGGGCATTTCTTGCGGCTCCCCCTCACTGTTCTCCCACTGCGGTAAAGAGACCCGGCTTTTCGGAGTCAGTGGTAAAGAGGTCCGCACATTAAAAGCGGCTTTAGCTTTAGCAAACAACAGCAGGACACGCTTTGTCGCTGCGCATGATGTAAGCTTCTCCAAACACAATTTAACAACTAGTCCTTTTGAATCAAATCAAATGCAAAATAAATATTTAAGGGCTATATATTTGTTCAGTTTTTGTTTTTTTTCAGAAATCATCTTGCGACCCCCCCGGGGGTTGCGGAAACCCCTGTGACCCCCACTTTGTGAACCACTGGTTTAAACAAGCAATACAGGTTCATAACGTGACTGTAAACAGATGGACAAACAATGCTAACATAGACTATGCTATTCTGTTAGCTCAATGAAGCCCAATAGGGAAGTGCTCATGGCTCTGTCTTCTAGTGACTTACATGTAAAAGTAAATTCTTGGCGATCCTAGTGTTTAGGATTCTAGTGTTTAGGATCACCGAAATGGAAGTCAAGTTGGAGCATGACTGTCCAAGAGCACTTCCCTATTGGGCTTCATTGAGCTAGTCAGTGGGTTAGCATTGTCCATCTGTATACAGTCTGTGGTAAAAACTGAGCTCCAGATAATATCACACCTCTGAGTGGAAAGAAGAGAGATCGATCCCGGTTCTGGTAATGGTTCAGCTCCATCAACAACAACAATCATTTAAAAAACAGAAATTATTTACCTCCCAAACACAACACCGGCTGCGGATTTGTCTTTTCTGGAAACAGAAGAAAAAACTGCTCAGACGATAGAAGCAACTACAACTGAAACAATTCATCTAATTAAAGTTGGGGTGCCTAGCTTTCAAACCCCAACAATAGAACTCCCTAATAAAACCGATGTCTCTAGTTCCTGGCTCTGAAACAGTTTGTTTCTATCACTAGTTTTCACAGTTGCATGTTTTTGGCTTCTGTCACATAAGACAATGGACAAAAAGATTAGCTTTTTCAGACAGAAAAATGAGAGGACCACCCTCACTCAGTCAAACAGCTTTCAGCCCAAAGAGTCAAACAGAGACAAAGTAGGGCCTTTTTTTACACAAAAGATAACGTGTTATCTAATAAGCCAAATCCGGCCCTCGGCCTCAGCTCATGCTCCTTGCAGTATACTCTGCCCCTACATGTCCCACTGTGGAAAGGATCTGTTAATCTGCATGGAGCTGTACCTGGAGTCGTCGCAAGAGATGTTGTCAAAGAAGGATTTGGTTTTGTCGTAGTAACAGTTGGGTCCCAGAGGGTCTCGGTCCTCGTCTGCACTGGGCTCAGTTTGAGGCTCTGCTCCAGGCTCCTTCTCCTCCCCGTTCACCGCCTTCTCCCCGTCGTCTGAGAGACACCAGCACATAACGAATATTACACCATTTACATGAGCGGTACCTGAATCTCCTGTACTTGACATTAGAGCTGTAATCCGGCCTAAAGGGTTGAGCCCGCTTCGTACCCGACAGGGTTCAGCTCAAGAAATATCATTATAATTATTAAGTGGTTTGTCAATTGATATTGTATTTTTATAAGTAAGCCTTAATTAAGCAAAAATATGATTTATTCCATTAATCAATAGGGATATTTGAATAATATTAAATAGCTGCAGCTCTACACACATCTCTCCTCACTCACGCCTCTTCTCTTCGCTCCTCTCGCCCTCTCTCCTCTCGCCCTCTCTCCTCTTGATTGTACCTTTGATCTTCAGCTTGCTCTGGAACTCGCGGTCGATGTCCTCCTTGTTGAACTGGGCGTTGGCGCTCTCAAAGTCGAAGTCCTTCTCAAACTTCACGGGTCCATCTCTGCGAACATTGAAGCGGCCTCTGCCCCTGTGCCCGCCTCCTCCTCCGCCTCCACCTCCTCCTCCTCCTCCACCACCACCTCCTCCTACGCCTCCGCCACCACTGCCTCCACCACCTCCTCCTCGACCTCCACGCCTGTGCATCGGAGCGCCCACAACTATCCACAGAGAAAACAGCAGCATTACAAAAACAAACATAAACTGAGGAGGAACAGGTTACAGCCTTCACAAGATCCATGCAATGAAAACGACACAAGACAAATTTCACGATGTGGTTCGGTCCATACTGTTTTTGTAGAAGACATAACAAGCTTCTGTGTTCAGCTATTATCTCCTGAGACTCATATTTATTCATTTAGCACATTTTAAATCCCACTATAATAATAATAATACATCGGTTTTATATAGCGCTTTTTTGGACACTCAAAGACGCTTCACATGTGTCATTATTCATTCACTCCATACACGGTGGTGATAAACTACTACTGTAGCCACAGCTGCCCTGGGGCACACTGACAGAAGCGAGGCAACCAGTATGCGCCATCGGCCCCTCCGACCACCACCAACCATTCATACACACACCAGACTCATTCTAGGCAATGGGGGTGAAGTGTCTTGCCTAAGGACACAACGGCAGTTTGGCACTTTACAGCCGCAGCCGCCCCACTGTGGCATCTGGTGTTCCCAGAGGTTAAGTATCTTGCCAAGGACACAACGACAGTAGTCAGTGGGAGTCGATGGTGAAAGTCTATTGATCTAGAACCATGTAGAAATAAGGACAACGGCACGAGCAGTGTGAATGACCAGAGAAACTCAACATGAACCATTGCTGAAAACATTTGGCAGGTTATGTCTCCATTAAACCCCGTCACCACCTCTTTTTGAATGACAGGCGGATAAACCAATCAGAGAAATGCACAGCCACACAACAGCAGCAGTGGAGAGAAGGCGCAAGTCCTAACAGCTCCATGAGATTCATGCAGCATTAACCTGGGGGCCGTTTGGGGTCTTGCTCCGCTGGTCTCTGCTCCTCTGCTTTGACTTTGTGTACATCTGCTCCTGGAAAACCACAAGGGTCACACAGATGCAGCCATGACTGCTACAGGGCTTTAGACTAGTGAGAGTAAGAGTGCTCTCTCTGCTAGAGAGAAGTATTAACCCTTGTATTATGTTGAAAAAAAATGACATTGTTTATGTTGCGGGTCATTTTGACCCGTACTGTGTAAATGCACTCAAAACAGTCAAGAAAACAGGTTAAACCAATAACTACTTTATTTTAGGTTATATAAATATTTAGAAAAGTGACATACAATACATTTTTAATTCCAACACTATATTTAAGAAAGATTTAGTCTAATCTTCTTGTCCTCCTCTCGGGTCAAAATGACAATTCTTCCCTCCTTCTTTCCTCCTGCAATGCTTTCTCCTTCCGTCTTCTCATCCTGTTTTCCTTCTCTGTTCATCCTCCTCTATTCCCTTCTTTTCTCTTCCTTCCTTCCTTTCTCCCTTCTTTCCTTCCTACCTTACTTCATTCCTCCCATCCTCCTTCCTTGACCAAAGATTCGTCCTCTGAATCCTCCTTATCGTAGGAAAATTTACAATCTGGATCAGCAATAACATTGTCCTCTGTCTCTGAAGAATCCTCTGTTTCTGAAATCTCTTCCTCTACATCATTATCCCAGTTAAAAATCTGTGATAAAGCCTCCTCAGATGTCATCCTTCTGGAGCTCATTTTTGGTGAGTTTGTATAAAGCCTAGCGCACATCGACAGAGTAACTGGAGACAACTAGTTGCAAGGCGGCTTTTGGCAACTGAGAGTAGATTATGGAGATGATCAGTTGAAATCGGTCGATGTGAGCGCTCTTACAACTGGAGATAAACAGTCCATCTCCGGATTTAGTCAGTTGCCCGTATTCTACTTTTTGGCAACTAGTTGCCCTCAGATCCGGAGATATCACCCGATGTGCACGCTCCGTGGCGCGCTCCAACAAGATGAGTGTATTGCATGTATTGCGCCCTCTACAGTTTATGTCAGAAAACACACTGTAGTTGAGGCCAGTTGCTGTCGATGTACGCGCTGTTATTCCTGAGACTGGCCTGATACTGGGAGTTGCCCATTTTCACCAGATTGTCGATGTGTGCGGGGCAGCAACTCAAAGGCGACGGATATATTCAGTTGCCAATCCGACGTACACTAGGCAAAAGAGATGACATGAGAACAGTGACAAGTGTGAGAAAGTTCCCTCTCTTCACACACCTGGCTCTGGGTCTCAGAGGCAATCAAAATACAATGTCAAAGAGACATGTTTTTTTGGATCTGAACAACTATTTACCCAAATTAAAGCGTCTGGGTCAAAATGACCCGCAACATCATCTTTGTGTACAAACTCTGCACAGACATTCCACCACACATCAAAGTGTCCAAATTTTACACACCAGTTCATGACCCTAGATGAGGAAAAGTCACCAAATTTCAGCAAGAAAAAGAAAGGATAACCAGTACTTTGATCAACACAAAAACTGAAATGGGTCAAATTGACCCTTAACATAATACAAGGGTTAAAGAAGTATTAAAGTTAGGTCAGAAAACACAAAGAATACTATTATAGAGTTTTCAAACAGTGTTTGATGTGAAAACTCTTAAAAGACGCTCTTACGAACACTTGTTGGACAATAAGCCGCTATCTTTATCAAGTTATGTGAAAAACACGACTCTATACAGTTACTGTATGTAACTTGTGATGCAACACTGACATTTCAGTGTGTTTATGTGAGCACCAGAGAGAGGAAGTGCAGGAACTACAGTGTTTATGCGATTACGGCTGTTGTCTGAGCTGACTTTATGGACTTATTATGATTCCATCGAGTTAGTAACAGGATACACATTTATTTGGACTGGATTTCCCAGAGTGCTTTGATCACAACAGTCCGTTAAACACACCCTGTTGTATCCAGTTAAAAACAGTCCATCAGCTTTGTTTCCAGGAGCTGTGGGTGAAGTGATACATTAAAACATAAAAACCTGTGCTTCTATTCAAGTGCAGTGTGTATGTGTACATGACATTTAAATGAAGGTATTCCGTATTCTGAACATAACTAATATTTCCATCATATGTTTGTTTGTTTTCTCCACCAGAAAATCAGGACAGTGGACTACCTCCCTTCCGATCACAACAAGCATTTAACCAGCATTTAACAAGAGCCCTACTCCTCAGAACTCACCTCTCCTATGACCGTCTCCAGACCCCACATCTTGTAAAGGAGACTTGTGCACAGTGGCTCCAGGGGGGGGCGCTGTCCTGCTGTGTGCTGGACTCCTCTGGCCAAGGCCCGGAGCAGGAGGAGCAGAGGGGGCAGAGGAGGAGGAGCTGGGGGGGACTGGTTCTGCTGCAGAGGGAGACTTCCTCTGGGGTTCAAGAGAGGGGCTGCTGCGGCCTGAGGGAGACACAAGCGTTAGAACAGATTAGATCTGAGAACAGCTTAACAAATCAAGATCCACACATGCAAAAAAACAAACCCCAATCAGAGACAAGTTAAAACCCTTTACAGACGAACAGGGGACTAGAGGAGACTGCAGACTACCTCTGCACAGGCCTGACTCGTACCGCCTGCTTGAAGATGTCCATGATGATGTATCTTCTACTATTGGCATTAAACTAAGGCTGCAGCTAACAATTGTTTTATTGTCAAATATCTAAAATATCATTCTCCCGATTAATCCCAATATGAGTTGAATTTAAAGATTGTGTGGACGTTACGCGCCACAGTCCAGATGTACCGTCCACAATGGGATCGCTATGTTTGTGAATAGTGACTGCTACAGCCTTTAGAGGAGATATAAAAACAAAATCATTGTCTTTAGGTCAATGATAAACACGTTTACATTTCCACACTTTCTGACATGTGTTTAAGAAGTATTCAAGTTTTCCCTTTTAAACAGAGCTGATATTAACCCTTTGGAATGAATTGTACACAAAATCTAAAATCATTTACTTCTATGCAGTTTCCTTATTGATAAAAGTCATCCACAATCTCTTATGCAGTTATTTATCACACAAAAACGCTGGCGCCAAAGGGATGAAAAGAATCTCTGCTTAGTTTACATACATTTTTTCTTTCTATGTTTTATTAAAAAATTATTAATTTATTAATTAATTATTCTGTGACCCGAGCGCTGAGGTGGAAGCGGTCTCTGTAAAGGGCTTGTAACTGAAGAGGTTAGTGACAGCGTTGCCTTGAGAACACCCACACCAAGCGTTTGAGTAAAGTGCCTGTGATCCGGTGAGTGACTGTGAGGTTAGGTCCTTGTTTACCTTCGTCTACAAAAGTCTGAGCTTCAGGAGGAGCGCGGCCGAACGCAGCGCTGTAAGAGTGAGCTGGCCCTGCACGTCCTGTAGGGGGCAGAGTAGGCAGCCTTCAACACCAATAACTACAATTAGGTGGTTGGGCGGTTTATTACTGCAGACCCGTGATTTTTGATCCGTGTTGTCAACAATTACTTTTCACAAGGAAGACGGGATGGAGCAAAACAAATTTCTCACTTTCAAAATAATTCTAAGGGGACAGCACGAGTACCCAGGCCCAAAGAGACACCAGAGAGAGAGACCAGAGATCAAAATGAGGCTAGAGAATGCGATCACCGGTCCATGTCCTCAGTGTGCATGAGGCTAGGGTCTGCTGTCCTGTTGTCGAGGAGGCAGAGCTCTGTCACAGATCTTCTGCTCAGCTTGTCTCTGCTCCTCTGATTCTGTGGCATGAGCTGCGTGGTCCAGGAGCCACTGAGAAGCTCGGGACCCTTGGATGTCATGCACCAACACTAACACCAACCCACTTTTATCGAGTTTATCTTTTATTTAGTGTAGTCTTTCTGCTGTATTCTCCTGTTTTTCTTGTTGCTATTTTATATTATTATGACTAATTTACGGACTGTGCTGCGCTTTTTGAACACTGTCTTTGAAAATGTCTACACAAAAAGATGTTTTATTATTATCATCATCATTAACAATAATGAAAAATAAGGAATCAATACTTTCTCTTAAAAAATGGTCGATAGCAGAGACCTGCTGCTCTAAACTGTCATCTTTAGTAGGGAAAAATTGTGTTAAAGAAATATGGACAAAACTATGCGTAATTTCTATTCACTTTTCCATTTCATATTCTAAATGAGAAATAATATCTTAAGTAGAAATATATAAAAACTAGGGATGTACCGATGCATCAACTGAACATCGGTACCGGCCGATGTTTGCCTTGTTAGCTACCGTCGGCACATGTGAAGAGATACCGGGACATTTAAAGTCAGCCAATGCACGCAAAGCGCCCCACTTCAGCAAGGACAATACTTATAAAATAGACTACGAAATGGTGACTTCTGATTAATTCTATTTCACTGTGGCAATAGCAGGACACACACTGGTCTCCTCCTTCGCTCACAGCCTCATACACAACGCCTCTCGTCTTGAACAAAAAGAGCAGATGACCGTGTGCTTCCATCTCTCCCTCTCCATGCAGTGCATCACTCCCGTCTCTTTCCTTCTATCTCACTTACTCATATTTAGTCACCGCTAAAGTTATTTGACAGCTCTGTAAAGTCTCAAAAGGACCCCGCTGCGCACATAGCCACCCCTCGTGCCTGCCTGTTTACAAATTGCTTTCGGTGAAAATGTTAAATATACTTGTAATAATGTAGTTTTGAACTAAAAATCACAGGTCTATTTTCAGCGGGAATTCCGCCAGACAGAAAATAATCATTCTTGATTATATATATATATATATATATATATATATATTAAAATTACAAAAAAACTAAACAAACTTCGGTCAAACATTGACCAAGTTGTTATGTTAAACATTGGCCCAAAATTTCACAATCAGTGCATCCTGAGGTAAACGATGTGGCAAGTATGAAGGCTATAAAATGCTTTCTGCCTGTAACTAACTAAGCTGCCCCCAGTGGGAGCTACAAACACAGATATGTGTAAAAAACAACTGATGAGGCAAATGTTGGAACATGGTTAAATGCTCAGAAGTCAATTTTGCAGAGTATGTCTCCTTTAAAGATGAAAGAGGAAGCCTTACCGACTCCCACCGCTCCAAACTGCGGTGACACCAGTGGGCTGGAGGTGAACTGGCTGTATGAGGGAGCAGCGGCGCGGTTAAACAGGCCGTAAGAGCTGGACTGGAACGGCGGCGGAGCAGAGGACGAGCTCATTGACGACTGGAACACAAACAGGAGAGAAGATTATTACCACAGTACTTACTGGACCAGGAGCCGCTATGAACCCTGCAGCCTATAAAGCGCGTTGTTAGACCTGCCACGATTACAAATTTTGCTGGACAATTATTTTTAAAGACCGTCGCCGGAAGTGGCGGAAGTAAAAAGCCGCTAGCTTGATGCTAACTCCTTTAGCATTATGCTAGCGGCTTTTTGTGTAAAGTTCTTGCCAATAATGCAGCTCTGCAGCGTCTCTTTGTCCAGAGGCATTCCAGAGACTTTATATAACAGCAGTATGTGTTCACGGAGGTGCGTCATAAGTTTATTTTATTATTAAACGGTACTTTCGCATCGGCGAACACGCTAGCTAGCTAGTTAGCTAACTGCGATAGTTTAGTCACAACTAGAGCCTGAATGAGAACAACTACTGTGTCCCCCGATGTCAATCCTGGTTAAGGTCCTGTTTTGGCTGTATTCTGTATTTTTGAGTTATTTAAGTCCGCTCGCGTCACGCGTGACCACTTTGGGCTCTCTGACCCGAAAGGGAGGGAGAGAGAGAGAGAGAGAGAGAGAGAGAGAGACGTGAAAACAAACATGCATGCAAATGGAATTCATCGCGGCCAGGAAAACTATCAAGCTAATTTTAATTATCATGCGATTAATTGATTTATTGAATATCGCGACAGGCCTACGCATTGTGGTGTGATATTAGGTGGATGGGCTTAAACCATGGATGTATTATATTAACTGGATAGGGTATTACTAGCTTGGATCTGAATAACTCATGTGCTCGGGGGATTCTCGCGGTACTGCAGACTAGACCAGACTAAATTCACGTGGGCTACCCAGAAATTTGCCCCATAGAACTCAATGTAAATTAAAACAGCGCGACCTCAGTTGACAGAGAGCCTACAGCTTTAATAAAGGTCGGATTTTGTGGGGATTTTAGTGTCACTTGTCATCCTGAACTTTTTTTCTTCTTAAATCCACACTTTACTGCCACAAACTCTGCTCGCCTGGCTCTCGCTCTAACTCCCGCTCTGATGAACTGCTCTGATTGGCCAGAGCGCGGCCGAGGCCCCCTGTGCACGTGCGTGATTTGGCGCAACGCATTATGGGAGATCATCCACTGCGCAGAACCAGGAGGACCAGATGATGCCCAAATACAGGCGAGTTTCCCATAGATCTTTGCGAGTTCCAGACGACTTCCGCTAATCTTTCAGCCCCCATGCCGTCACAAAGCGCCACTGAGCATAACCATTCATTAGAATAGGGCGCCATCTTGGATCGCCGGGGCTTGGCTTAAACCCGTCTCCACTTCAGCTTAAATTCACATGACTCTTTGGGCTGGGAGCCGAGTAGCGGAGCGTGGCGGGTCCACTCTGTCACTTTTTCAGTCTGAAAAATCTGATCTAAAAATGTGGCAAAATTAAGTACCTGCACAATGGCAGGGTCCGGGGGCAGGGAGCAGGCGGACTTGGGCGGCTCACACACGGTCAGGTCTTTGATGTCGCTGCCTCTGAAGATGATGTACTCAAACGTGTCGTCCCGCGGAGGAATGGGCCGATCGGTGGGACGGTCCTCTGTCCCGAATGAGCGCACTGCACACAACGGAAACATGTGAGACAAATACGATCGCATACGATAACTTCTCTGGCCTCCTCCCACTCTCTGGCCTCCTCCCACTCTCTGGCCTCCTCCCACTCTCTGGCCTCCTCCCACTCTCTGGCCTCCTCCCACTCTCTGGCCTCCTCCCACTCTCTGGCCTCCTCCCACTCTCTGGCCTCCTCCCACTCTCTGGCCTCCCAGCAGGTGGGGGACGAACTAACATCTATGCTGGACCATGACTGTTGCCCCCTGCAGGACTGGGTCTGTTCTGGAGAGCAGCTTCAGTGACAGACTGACCCACCCCCGCTGTTTGAACGAACGAACAATGAGGATTGATGAACACTGTAAGTTATATGTTCGCTCAGGTTAATGATGCCAGAAAGATTGAGTATATAACTTTTATGAGTTTAATGAATACATTTGTTTGTGCCAACAAAAACTAACCATTAATAACATTTTGTGAACAAATCAGACCACAAGATGCTGTACAATACTATCCTTTTATCTTTTTACAGTGAGATGATTGGCTGAGTGAGGGTGGTCCTTTACTTTTCAGCCAGAATACCACAAAAAATACATTTTTTAATAGTGATTGCATCAAACAGTATTCACAGCGATAAGACATTTGAGATATGTTGTTTTTGTAGTGAAGTTGTGCAGTTGAAGATTTTTCCCATTGCTATGTATGTATGGTTATTGTAATATTTCTATCTTAAATTGTGAAATTATTTTGGCCCTATCGCCCAGCTCTACTTTAAGGTATTCAGCATCAGATTTAATACTTTTATGACTTAAAGACCCTAGGGGACTAAGCGCAACATGACAGTGACAGTGCCGCTAGCCTCAGTAATAACATTCTCATATATGTAACTCTTACACTCGTTCTGCAAGCATTAGAGGACTTTGCTATAGTTTGAAAAGTTAAAAAAGTACACACGCAATTCCCCATTTAATGCAACACATTCAGTTTTCAAAACTCGAGCACAACTTTGATTTGCGTGTTAGCTAAAGTTAGCAGCTGGCAGGATATATTAAGCTTGTGGACATTTATTTCAGCTACTTGCACACATATACGTATGTATTTATTGGTGCACAGTTAGGACGCAGTTGTAAATATTTACAACCTTTGAACTGACTCTAAAATGAAAGCAAAAGTGGCGCAGAAGTGATGTTGTTATGGTCTGGCGTTAGCATTAGCCACTTAGCTCTGGATGTAGCCGTTAGCCTCCCCCCGTCGCTCGCGTACCTTTGGCCAGGGCCACGGTGCTGTTCTCGGTATCGATCGTGTACAGGATCCCCTCATAGCGGATCGCGGCCTTCGACACCAGGCTGATCTTACTGCCCAGGTAAGGCGTCCCTCCTCCGCTCATGGTGTCGGCGTAGACCGGGGGGCGCCGTACGGGAGAAAGGGTGCAGAATTCCCGGTAAACTCCTCGGTTCTGGGGGTGTGTGGTACCAGGTCTTCAGTTCGATCACGGGCCTCTGCTTCCGCGGGACTCTCTCAGCTACAACATGGCGGCTCATCCACGGGGTTGCCAGATCTAGCACAGATGATAAAGCTGAGGTACGTAACTTTCAAACCACAACACTGGAACTATGTAATAAAATCCATGTCCCTTGTTCCTGGCTCTAAAACAGTTTCTATCACGAGTCTACACATGCATGTGTTTCTGGCCTTTGTCACATCTTTAGATCAGCTTTTTCAGACAAAAAAGTGAACATCAAAAAGGACCACCCTCCCTCTGTAAATGCCCTGCGTGCATCAAGGAACTTATCATGGTATTATTGGCATACTATAAAGGATAACCGGCCGCATGAGAAGTGTTTTTATTCTTTTCTAATATTGTTTTGTCTGTGGAATTATACCTTAAACATTAAAGCATTGAAATGTTACAGGAAATATAATTGTGTTCTGGAACTGATGAAATTCAATTACATTTATTTGTCTAACAAAATAATTCACAACAGCAGTTGTCTCAGAGGACTTTACAAACTTGTGGATTCACCACCAACAGATCAGACAGTTTGAACAAACTGTGTTAATAAATGTCCCGGATCCTCACTGTCATTAGGCATTTAGAAATGTATTATTATTTCTAGACTGTGGAACTGTGTGTTTGTTATTATTGCATTTCCTTTACTTAGATTCTTTAGTTTATGTGGGATCAACAACTTTTTTAAGTCCGACAGCTGATGTGGTTTAGGGCTGTACACAATTTAATTGAATAAAGAGCTTTTGAGCTTTTCAACGCGGTACACCATGTCCATAACCTGTTGTAACTTTCTCCTCTCTACAGTAAAGCAACACTGTCCACTTTGTTTACGCTGTATCTTCAGCACATACTTCTAGTATAAATTTGAATGAGCCTCAGATGAGTCTCTGTGTTGCCAGGTTTGGTGGTGAAATCCAGTGTTTTCCTCTCACCACAGCTGTGGTGCATCAATAATCAGACAGCAGCAGCAGTGGCTCCTGTCTCTGCATACAGTCTATGGTCTCTGCATGTTTTTTTAGTTTTTTTTTTTTTTTACAAATCCTTTTCATTCACAAAATGTCACAGAAATACTGCTTTACAACTCAGTAAACATAGCCATAACACATCATCACTTTTATGTTTTGGGCTCGGGATAATGAGGTTGAAACTTCACTACGGTGAGTGTTTATTTATTATGGATTGCCCCTTGAGATTAATCGTCTCTTTTTCAGTAACCAAATACTTCACAAACCTGGATATTCAAGAACGGACAAGAAATATTTCACTATTTTTTCTTTTGTTGTTTGTTAAGGCCGTAAAGCTAGGGTAGCAAACTGTCACACCCTAGCTTTAGGCACCCTAGCTCCCTATGTTAGTTTCTTCCTCGATTGGGAGTGTTTCCATTGGCCCTGTTTAACGGGGTATAATCCCTCTTGGTCCTGGTTCTATCCCGGGAGAATAGGTACTAAACTGATACGGTACATGATATTAAACTGTACTGGAAACACAACCGGTTAGGGTAGGTGGAAACACTGCTTATGTGATTAAATCCAGAATCACAATAAATATATTCGTTTTAAACCAATGAAGTCATTTTGTGAAGGAAAATAAGAAAATATGTTGACTTTTCCAGTAAGTAGAACTAAAGACTTCACACAAGGGATGAGTCGCAATTTTTGTTTTAATCTTTACATTGTTTTTATAACTGTGTATATACGTCTATATTAGAATTCTTCAACTTCATGGTGAACACAAAAACCACACTTTTGACAAGTGAATTTGTGCGGTGACCTGGGACAACACTGGGAAAGGTTGGCGTGTTGTTTAGACCTGTGATGGCTTTTTGCTAGGGTACACAGGAACTCAATGGTTCAAAAGGAGCTTCAGATTTTCAAAATAAGTCTTAAATCACAACCAGTGAGAGACCGGAGGGAGTGAGAGACTGAAGATCTAGGGAGAAGAGAAACTCTGGTGAGAGCTTCCCTCACCCTAACACAGCTCCATAGCTCGTTATGCTGTCATTATGGAAAGTATTGTCCCTGATGTTACTTTGGAATGTCCCTGGTGTATAGCGTTGGACCATGGATCTCTTATAATATTGGTTAGACAGAGAAAACATTCGTTTTTTTACTTTGCAGACAAACACATATACAGAAAAAAAGAGAAACAAAGAAAATGCCTAGTTCAGATACATCGCTTCCTTCACATTTGCATATGTGAAGAGAACGGATGAAAGAGATGATAGGATAGGATTAGACAGAAATGACTAACAATATGTAGTTGGAGATAAACATTAGTTTTTATTACACGCCACGGCCAAAAAACCGAGGTCGCAAGGTGGGTTTAGATGCAGACACTCCAGCTCATGTGCTCAGTGTGTGGGGAAAGGCGACCTGGGGTTTGGAAATTCCTGTGCTTTTGCTCAGTGGGAATGGGGCTAAAGACTGCTGCCTCTGCGGATGAAGCAGCAGATGGATAGATCGGTTTTATTGTGAAAAGCCTTTTTTCCGCTGAGGCCTAGTGGCACAACAACAACAGGCCGCTCGGCGCATGCGCACATCCTCCAACACGATTTGCACAACGGTCCAGATCAAAGATGGCGGGAGCCTGCGACCCGCTGGAGGACATGCTCTTCACGGAGGTGGACGAGAAGGCAGTCAGCGACCTGGTGGGCTCCCTGGAGTCCGAGCTCGGCGACCAAAACACGCCCAAAGGAGCCCCCACAGCCGCCGCCAAAGCTTCCGACCCGGGCCACGTCTCAGGGAAAGCCCGCGAGAGAGCCGAGCAGCAGCCGCAACAAGGGCATCCGAGAGCGGGCTCACACCGGGAGAGCTCCGCGGCTGTGACGGAGGGGCCTGCGCCGTCTGTGGGCACGAATACAGCCTCTACCGCGCCTGGAGCCACGGGTAAGAGCGGCCCCCACATGCGAACAGAGCGCAGGCACAGGGAGAGAGGACCCCTGCGCTGAACACCCGACTCTGCCCCCGTGAGAAGCTCCAGAAGAACCGCGAGGCTGGAGTAGTGCGAACACCGACATATGAGCGCGGAAAGCGCGCTCAGCGTGCTCAGATGTTCCGCAAACCTGTGGCAATAGTGATGTCCGTGCTCGGGAGAAGTGATGGGGACATGGTGTTGTCATTCCAACTATTCTCAAGTCGCACATTGTACACACAGCGACAACAACTTTCTCCTCAGACGGCTCCGGCTGGAATAAACTCGGATGGACTAAAGAGATTATAATCAATTAGAAGCAGGGTGTCCAGATGATTGGATTAACCAGTGACCATGGTAGAACCGTGAAATATGGGCATTGTGTAATTCCCACTAATCTATTCTGGCGATTCATCTTGGGATGCATCAATAAGTCTTCTCTATTCTAAAACCGATCTTGAGAATTTCGCTTTGCCGATATGAACCGATCCTATTGAAGTCCAGCGTTGTGATTTTGGGCTGTGTGAAACTGGGCTCAACGGGACTGAAAATAGCCTTTTCCTCCTAAAATCAATGAAGTAGTTGGCATTTATTATCCTGTAAGAAACTCTAGAAATTCTTTGATTGAAGGTTCAAAAAGACATTCAGCTGGTAAATTGTCAATTGAAGACCCAAATTGAATATTTGCTAATATCCAACAATACCTAATTTAACAAAAGTTATAGCGCCAACACAGTATTGCATCAGAGAGTAGAAGGAGACTGACCGATCAGAGAGACGGAGACCGACCAGAGAGAATATCTTAAGCCCTGGAGATAACAGGGCGTAAGATATCAGTGACAGGGGTGGATATTTGCCTAATATCAACATACCTATTGCACGAACACAGTATTGCATCAGTTCATACTAGGACTGCACAATATTTTAATTGTGCAATAGTCGTGCCAAAGACGGCGACAACAGGACAAAATTGACATTTTCCGATCTTTCTATTTGCGTGTGGGAACTCCTGCTCTTAAAGTCTGGATGGATCCAAACGAAACTGCAACCTTTCCCACTGTTTCCCCAAGTTGATGCGCAGTTATAAATCTCCGACTATAGCCTAGTTTCTACCAGCCCTACTTTGCCTTCCTCTACCTGCTTGCGTTTCCATCACGCTATAATAACTGGTACCGTTTTTCTGTGGTAACCATGGCTTCCAGCAGCACTTTGGCCAATTAATGTTAGAACACTTAAGTACCAGCTCAGCCTGGATAGAACCAGGGCCAAGAGGGACTAAAGAAAGACCTGGTACCGGTTAAACGGGGCTGGTGGAACATTCACAATCAAGGAAGAGTAGAGCCAGGGCCAATGATATCGGGGTTTTCTGCCTAGAGTAGTTTGAATTTATGTTGTGTGACATTAAGAATAAAATGATTGCACATCCTGAAGCATGAAATGTCAAAGGTATATTCTCAATGTTTTAGGGACAGAATTATTACAGTATATCTGAACAGCTGTAGATGCACTTTATGGATTCAAGTGAAATGATTAGTTATCTTGTCTTTTGCAGCAGTCCCTCAGGCACCCTCCGCTCCAGCGGCCTTCCACCCGGCCGCAGGCCCCGGCCCCGCGGCCCCTGCTCTCTCCGCCTCTCCCGGGAGCTTGAACGGAACTCCAGGGTCGGTAAAACTCCTCTCCCCAGCCGCCCCTTCCCAGTCCATGGCCTCTCCGTTCACCAGTGCATCAGCGCCGACCATCGCCCTGCAGAGGAGCCCGGCCCTGCCCAGTCAGAACGGCCTGGACCCCAAGAACCAGCCTGCCACCTCGCTCCCCAACCACACCAACCAGATTATCCACAGCAAGATCCTTCCTCAGAGCCAAGCGGTGTCCGGGAGCAGCGTGATCCTCGCCAACACGCCGCCGCTCGCCACACAAATGTATGCATCACGTGAGGGTTTGGGTCGCGGTGTCGTCAGTGCAGTGATCTGTGAGGGACTGTACTTTAACAGATCCACAATACCACAATAGGGGATTTGCAAATGGCATTTCAATTACTAATTCAGTAGTGCCGTGGAGGGGGATAGCATTAGCACTTAGGTTGACGATTTTCGTATTATTTTTTTTAAATTTCATTGTATGTTTTTAGTGCTGTTTCATTAGTGAAGCTGTAAGAAAATATTACAGTGAATAGTGAGATGCAATGCTTTAGAATATTCAGAAACAATCCTTTTATATTTACAGTTGAATATTCATGTTTGGACAGTGTTATACTCTATTCTATCTGGCTGTATTTCCTATATGCTTTAGTATCTGGTGCCGTATCTAGCAAGATACCCACAACAAACCAGTATCCAGGGAAATTCTTTGGTAACAATGGCTTCCAACAGCACTCCGGCCAATCACTGTTAATTAGAACACTAAAGTTACGGTTTGCCCTGAATAGAACCAGAGCCAAGAGGGACTAAAGAAGGGCCTGGTTCCGGTTAAATGGAGCCAGTGGAAACGGTCCCAATTGGGGGAGAGTTGGGCAAAGTTGGGCTGATGGTAACGGGGCTATGTTGTGTTGTGTTGCCAGGTCCTCTCAGATTGCACAGACCTTGAAGCCTGCGGTGAATGGCTTGGCACAGCCTGCCATGACTGTGGTGAGGCCTCCAGTAGCTGTCCCAGGTGTGGGGGTGACCGTAGCCCAGCAGCAGAGACCCACGCTGGCAGTGACCACTACCACGACCAGAGCCCCAGCTCCTCAAGCTCCCATCGCAGTCAGACCACAGCAACAGACCACCATCCAGCTGCCACCAGGCTTCACCATGCCCCCAGGTATGAAGAGATGTGTCCAGTTGCGTTATAACTGGACAGAAGCAAAGCAGATGGATCACATGAATATTACTCAAAAAAATAACTTAAGCTTCTTGAGCTTTTCTTAGTTTACAATCTGGAGCAAAAAGCTCCAGTCTTTCTTAAGCCGCGTTCCGACCGGATCATGCATCGCGTCGGGTTTCAATGCAAAGTCTATGGTGACGCGCGTTGCAGCGTCAAAACGCACCGACCTCCCGGCACGCACTTAGGGACTGCTGAGTAGAGCCGCACGGACTTGGCGGGAAAGTGAATGGGGAGGAGCAGGAGCGAAAAATGGACGCCCACAGGAGATAAACTTTGCTCAACTTTGGTCGCTGCACGAACGTCCCGAGGAAATCAGAGAGCCGCAAAGGGGTCACGGGGACATTGGTGGTCTGAGCGAGCAGACTGAACATACTGTAAACAGCCAAAACAGGAGCTATACCAGGACTAAACCAGGGTTGACAATGGGGGACTGTGCTTGTGAATACAGTGCCTTGCGAAAGTATTCGGTCCCCTTGAACCTTTCAACATTTTGCCACATTTCAGTCTTCAAACATAAAGATATAACATTTTAATTTTTTGTCATGAATCAAAAAAAAAAAATTGTCATGAAGCTCAGTCTGTAGAGCATTGGCCTTCAGGCCTGAAGGTCGGGGGTTCAATTCCCACCTTCTCCACCGACTCCCACTGATGACTGATGTCGTTGTGTCCTTGGGCAAGACACTTAACCCCACTTTGCCCAAAGCCCCCGCTGAAAGATCATGGCTATGCTCACACTCAGAGAGCAGCCGTCCTCCTGTGGACTCACCACCTGCAGAGAGTCAGTGAGGGGCTGGTGCTATGGGACTTGGGTGGCATCTCTGATTGCCACCCCCCTGACCCAGAAATGGATTAAAGGGTAGAAAATGGATGGATGGATGGATGTCATGAATCAACAAGAAGTGGGACACAATCGTGAAGTGGAATGAAATGTATTGGATAATTTAAACTTTTAAAATAAATAAAAAACTGAAATGGGGCGTGCAATATTATTCGGCCCCTTTACTTTCAGTGCAGCAAACTCACTCCAGAAGTTCAGTGAGGATCTTTGAATGATCCAATGTTGTCCTAAATGACTGATGATGATAAATAGAATGCACCTGTGTGTAATCAAGTCTCCGTATAAATGCACCTGCTCTTTGATAGTCTCAGGGTTCTGTTTAAAGCGCAGAGAGAACCATGAAGACAAAGGAACACACCAGGCAGGTCCGAGATACTGTTGTGGAGAAGTTTAAAGCCGGATTTGGATACAAAAAGATTTCCCAAGCTTTAAACATCTCAAGGAGCACTGTGCAAGCAGTTATATTGAAATGGAAGGAGTATCAGACCACTGCAAATCTACCAAGACCCGGCCGTCCCTCCAAACTTTCATCTCAAACAAGGAGAAGACGGATCAGAGATGCAGCCAAGAGGCCCATGATCGCTCTGGATGAACTGCAGATAACTACAATTTTCAGTTTTTTATTTGTTAAAAAAGTTTAAATTATCCAATACATTTCATTCCACTTCACGATTGTGTCCCACTTGTTGTTGATTCATGACAAATTTAAATTTTATATCTTTATGTTTGAAGCTTGAAATATGGCGAAAGGTTCAAGGGGGGCGAATACTTTCGCAAGGCACTGTATATGCATTGTCAAGCTCCCGTGACTTTATGCAACTGCTTTGAGTGTGTTCGCAGATGCGGAAATACCGTTTAATAATACAAAAAACCGTATGGCGCAACTCCGTGAACTAGGGGTGGGAACCTAAGGGTACCTCACTATACGATACGATACACCAGCCATTCCCAAACTCAGTAACACCGAAGCCCCCTTAAAAATCTGACGGGTCTGCGTGGCCCCCCAAAATAATAACCAGAAAGTATTGCGATATATCGAAAAAATTGATACATCGTCACACCCGTACCGTGAACACATACTAATGTTATATAAAGCCCGTGGAATGTCTGTGAGCAAAGACATGCTGCAAAGCTGAATATTGGAGAAGATCTGTACACAAGAAGCCGCTTGCATAGCTCTGTTAGCATTAGAGCCGGCCGGCTACTTCCGGTACTTCCGGCTCGCGTCAGGACGTTCTGGTGTGAAGACCTCTGCATCTGAAAACTAGAGAATGCGCGTCTGGTGAGCGGGGCTTCAGCTTTTGAGTGTTTGCGGTCTGAATGCACCATTAGTATTAGGCCATTAAAGTGATTGTCTGGAGTTTGTCAGAAAGAGAGGTACTTGATTTGAAAAAAACTACGCAAGCTCCCTCCTCCTTCCTTTCTGATTGGTCTACACCTACGTTTCTGTAACGCATTTAAATGTTAATGAGAGAACACATTATACATATACACTATTAATACACATGCACAGAGGTTTTAAGAATTATTAATTGTTAACGTTTTCATAAAAAAATGTTTTCATCAACAACAAAAAACGACCGCGGTAAACCAGGAAGTGCTATTATCATGAATTGAACATTATAGGACACATCTGCAGAGGATCTGATTATGGATATAGGTTCAGTATATAAATAGGTAACTCGGCGCAGATGTTCAGAATTCTTTGTTCAGTTTTCATGTAGTTCCAGAGCCTAATGGAGGCTTGTTTCGGAGGCTCCGCAAAAACAAACTGAGCATGCTGCGCGCAGCTACGAGCATCAGCGCTGATGATTGACAGCCCTTGGCATCACTTGGTTGGTTAAAGTGGACGGTATCATGGATTCTGAGCTATAGCTAAGAGAAGGGAAGGCGGGACTTACCCGTAATATTAGAATTAAGGTCAATTTACTACAATTCTTAAATATTGTTATTCATTTAGAGTTAGACTATCACTTTAACACTTGGCTGGTCCAGCGATATTCCTAGATCTTTTTGGCTGTTTGGTTCCAATGAGACAATTTGGCTCCTAAGTCTCTTGTTCTTCCGGTAAAGACCAAGCGCTATATGTAACATCACACTCACTGAGTCCACTGGTTATACTGACTACTATCGTCAGGTCAAAATGACCTGCCACAGGGATCAAAAGTAGTGGAACAAATCTCCTAAATTAGGGTCTAAAAGGGTCTAAATTACTCTGGGCCAGTCTAATTATGCTTTTGTCAGGCTCCTCTGTGATACATAATTTTTTTAAACGGTGGGAAAAGGATTGTGAATTAGATCCTCCCCCGACAGCAAGCTGATGTTGGACAATGCTAACATGCTAGTTTAATGAAGTGAACTCGCTCTGGAAAGTTACAAGTAAAAGTAAACTCCTAGTTCACTTACCGTTTGTGTCACATTCATCGTTTTAGTCTTAAGAAATCTGTGGTTTTGTGCTCCCTGTAATCCTGGTGTATATATTTTGCAAAGTCTTTGTAAATCCAGATATAAACCACATATTAAGGATTCACCAATCAGATGTCTTCATTCCTGGGGCTTGGCAAAGCAACACGCCCCTGTTACAGTCCAAAGCTAACACACAACAACAAATGCCCATATAAGAAAATTGGTGCCAGCTAACTTATGTTCAAATGGTCCTCTTCCACATTAAGGCTAACACGATGGTGATGTCACAGTCCATCTGTCACAGCAGTGTAATAACTTGTATGTTTGTGTTCAGGCATGGTGCTGGTGCGCACTGAGACCGGACAGCTGGTCATGGTCCCACAGCAAGTCCTGGCTCAGGCTCAGGCCAAAACCCAACAGAACCAAACGGTAAACATCCAGAGACCTGGCACTCCCACAGCTGCAGGGGGCGCTATCCGGGTCAGCGCGCCCGCTCCGGTGAGAGGAAAAACACTCACACACACACACAGACACACAGTGCTTAAATCTGAGGTATGGAACTTTGAAACCACAACAATAGATCTTTGTACTAAAATCCATACCTCTTGGATTGACATGAATCCCTGCCTCTAAAAGTTGGGTATCCCAAGTTTATTATTATTAGCAATAGCAATATTAGCTCATTCACTTGTCTGTATGTTAATTACCACAGGACGCACGTTATTGTAATATAAATAGGATGAAACGTTCACACAGTTCTAATAAAACTGATTCAAGGTTCTACTCTTGAATCGGACCAAACCTGGAGATGATTTCCAAACGCTGACGCTGCTGTTTCTCCGCAGGCTCCTGGGACCCCCACGGTGCGCCTGGCCTCCCCCCAAACCAGGATGACTTCCCCAGCCTCCTCCCCCGCGCTCCAGGTAATATTCAGACTGAGCAGGATCTCACAGCTCAGTGATCGCTAACGGGACAGCCCCAGAGGCTTGATGAGTTTCCATAGTTACGGAGGGTAAATGTTGACAGCCTCCATTTCTGAGTTAGCCACAGAACATTAGTGACTACAAGCGTGTGGACTGTGAACTCAATGTCACTTGTCAATAATGAAACATTTCTTTCCGTTACTATGGAAACAATCATGTCGCAAAAAGTTTAAATTTTATTTCAAGTTTTGAACCGGACGGTTGAGCATAATTCAAAGCCTTAAAAGCTTTCAGTGTGACAAAGAAGACATCTTGAAGATTGTAGCATTACATTCTGAGATTGGAGCTGTGGTATAAAATCACTGGATTTGATTTTATTTTCATGTGGTCAATGTGCCGTTTCTTTAGTGGGTTCCACATCTGCTTATCTGCTTTCTGTCCAGTTTTGTGCGTTATGTTTGTGAGCTCAACATCTGGACTGTGACTTTTATTAAAATCATAATCAACAATAAAATGAAAGTTCAGTATCACATCACCCGAGTGAAAGACACTTATGTTCAGAGCCAGGCCTCGCTGGCCTCCAAAAAATGTGTTCTGGCATTTACGTGGCTGTGGTTTTATAATGCAATGTTTTTGACGTTGAAGAAAATGAAGCCCCCCCTGTTCTCGGGGTAGAAGTCTCTATAATGTTATTTTATCCCTCAGAAGACCATCAGTGCTGCCCCCGGTGGTCCCGCAGTGTCTGTGAAGATGACCACTCCTCAGAAACCCCCCACTGTGATCACCACGGGGGTCTTGAACAAGACCATCCCCAGTCCCACTGCTCCGGCCCGAGTCAATGTGGTGTCGCAGGTGAGGACTACAGACCACACAGTTCCTCATCAAAACACCAATAATCAATTAAGTCTCTCACTCTCATACATTAGTAAACACATTATTCTAATAAACAATGTTTGACTATTTAATTCCGCTCTGGGGGATTAAATAGTTTATTTTTGGATCTTGGCCCTGAAAAGTTTGGTATCCCCTTTTTGGACTACTGATGACTATTTTCTTCTCTTCATTTGATGCTTCAGATCTTTTAATCTGTCGTTTCTCCCGTTCTTCTGTACAACAGGAAATGCAGGAAAATGTGAAGAAGTGCAAGAACTTTTTGGCGACTTTGATCAAACTGGCGTCGCACAACTCTCCGTCTCCAGACACGTCAAAGAACGTGAAGGGCCTGGTGCAGGACCTGCTGGTAAGAGGCACACCACTGTTACTGCGTTTGGGAAACTCTAGAGAGTCCCCATCTCTCTTCTGGTGCAGTTTAATGATGTAGAACAAGACACATGTAAACCTGAGCTGTGATCGAGTGAAAAACCATTCCATTTGGCGTAACGGGATGGAACTATAAACGTACCTGTGGGAAACATGGCTGAGACGGTCCTTTGGCATATTAGAATTTGATTCTATCCCTCATAGACCTGTGGTGATGTCGCACATGCACAGTTGATCTGGAGCACGAGCTTGTAGCAACTCACAAAAATCTTGGCATTTTGTCACGGGCCAAGGAATGTCCAATTTTGCAGCAGACGAAATAGCAAGCGTTATAGACCGGACTGTTAAACTGCGAGGAGAGGACACTGATGATGAAACCAAAACAGACGGCTGTCACAAGGCGGAGTGGTTAGCACTTTGACTTCTCACCATGAAGGTCTTTGATTTGAATCAGGGCCGGAGCAGGACCTTTCCGAGTGAAGTCTGCATCAGACTTCACTCGGAAGTCTGATGTCTCTGGTCTGTCTCTGGTCTGGTTTCCTCTGGGTGCAGCGTTTTCTCCTTCCACGAATAGCATGTACTACAGGTAGAATCCTCCAGCTCTGGTCCTGAAGAACAGTGATTTCCAACTGATCAGATTAATGTCAGAAAACCTCCTTCTCCTCAAAACAGGCAGTGTTACAACAACAGGAAGAACATCGCTGTAGTTTTTACATAACAGCATAAGTGTGACGATATATCGGTTTTTTATTTTTATTTTTATTTTTTTCAATTAGTATCAATACTTGTTATGACTACATTACACATCTCCATTTCATTTATCATGAAATAAAGTGTATTATCTCCTCAGGCCGAGACCTGAGGAGATAGTTTCCGTGTTTATTATCAGTCTAAAAGATCCTTTATTTGGAAAAAGGGCCGGACAGCATGTACTACGGCAACCCTTGCTCTGACAGAGGATACCTTACGGGACAATAAAGTTTGACTTAATTTTTGAGCGGAGTATGAGGCTAACTATATGTTGCGGTGAACAAAACGTTAACTGTTTCTGGTTAGTTTTTATCCCAGAATGGTGATATTAACTGTTACTGAGCTAAAAGAGTATTTGAGCACACTTCATTGAGGTACCGGGTTAGCATTGTCCATCTGTACAGTCGTGCCTGATGTTCAAACGCTTTGTATTTTTTCAGGACGCGAAGATTGAGCCGGAGGAGTTCACAACTCGGCTTCAGGCGGAACTCAAGTCGTCTCCACAGCCCTACCTCATCCCCTTCCTCAAAGTAAGAACTACAAACTGACCTCATCCTCAGAGAACTACAAATTTAAAGCAGTTTAATTTACGCTAGAAAATCTAGGTCTTGGTCTCTGGCCCACAGTTAGATTCTACCAGAAAGCATATTTGTTAATTAATGAGTAAATTGCAATGGTTGAGATTGTTTTCTGTTAATAATTTTCATGTGTTATTAGTTTTGTTAAATTGTATCCAGCTCCACATTGTATCATAAGCTCTTGATTGTGTCCATCAGAAAAGCCTACCCGCGCTAAGACAGTCCCTGTTGAGCAGTCAGCAGTCCCTGGTTCCCGTCCCCAGCACCGTAACGCCGCCCGTGGTCACTCCTGGAACTGTCTCCACCTCCATCCGCCCTGCACTGAGCCCGGCCAGCAATGTGCGGCTGGGAACACCCATGGGCCACAGCAACACACTGGTGACTACGCATTTACATCTGATCTCTCTCTAGTCTTCCCGTAGCCCTCAGTGCGGTGTCCACTGCACTGCTTTTGAGAGCTGAGACCTTTAACCTCCAAGTTTTCAACAGTCGTGAGTTCTGGTGGTTGGTGTATTAACACTTGTGTGGTGTTCGGGTCTCTGGGACACGTTTTCACTTTTTATTAAAAGAAAAATGATTCAATTAATTTTTAAAACTGAGACTCACTGGCTTTGGCACATTTTCTGTGAAGAACATATATCAGAATTCATATTTGATGACCACACACCGTACACCCTCCCTACACATTTCTATTACATAAATGTTTGGGTCCACTGGACCCGGGGCGAATAGAAGTGTGGAAATTGACCTTGCCCCACCCACACCCAATCCCCCACAACCACATAGACAGGAGGAGGACACAGTGTACAGTAGGTACAAAAGAAGCAGTTCCCACACAAGGTTGCAACATTGTTTGTCAACACTGTCTGCTCTCCTTTTCTCGCACATGTGACCCTCTGTCTTGTGGGAATCTTTATTTTCTCACACTCTTTATCTGCTATAAATTGGAGGCGGGACACTATAATTGTAGCTTTGTTACTACAAAGCGGCCACAGATGCCCCGGGTCAGAACGCTGCGGCCGTAGAGGATGCGGAATCCAGTTCAAGTACATACAGCAAACGGCAAACAGCTAGTATCCTATGTGCCAAAGAAAGGCAAGAATGTGGTTCTCATGAGTACACTTCACGAGGATGGAAGAATCTGTGACCAGGAACATCACAAACCAGAGATCATCATGGATTATAAAGCCACAAAAGGAGGGGTAGACAACATGGACAAGTATTAACCATATATATATTGTTGATACTGCTTGTAATTGGGATAAGGTAAACATCTTTTCAGTATTTTAACATGAATGTGTAATTGTGAAGCAATAAAAGCCACAAAATGCAACGGGCCCATCAGACCCACCCGACCCACAAACACTGGCTGAGTAACAACAATATGAACATTGCACAAGGGTTAAGTGTCTGTAAGGGAGTTTCACAGCCTTAAATTGTGCAGCTGCTAATTCAAGGATTTTCCTTAATGTGGGTTACATAACCTCAGCAAAAAACCAGAGACCAGTGTATTATTATACGCTGTGCTACTTGTTTCTCTTTAGTTCTTTAAGTCCTTAAACCGGTGTTGTATTATCACCAGTTTGTTCCAGAGTGATGTAAATGCCACAATCTCTAATATAAAAAAATGAGAAAAACAAAAGCACTCAAACGTTACTCCCCTTTTCAGGCTGTGGCTCGAGCCGGCGTTCAAACTGTGAGCCGACCGGTGGTGATCAGCCAGAACCTCCGACCACAAGGTAACGGGGCTTCAGGTTCAGCTTCAGTCGGTCTATTTAAAACTGTGAAAACCTCCGTGACCCTTGTGTTTCAGGCGGGTTGATACGAGGGCCCACAACCATATTAGGCAAAAGTCCCGTCATGGCGGCTCAAGCCAATCAGAAGAAGCTCAGCGATCCGGGGGGCGGGACCTTCAGGTAATGCAGTGAACAAAAACTTGCCCTCGGAGCGCACATACCCCACCAACACCATAGCTCCCTTCTACAGACACACACACACACAGATTACAATACCCCCCTGTTGGCGTGGTATCTTGGGTCGTAAATTTCACATCAGAAAATTCATTGCAGTATGTTTTCTCAATTTTCTAATTATAGCCCATAGATAGATGTACAATGAAACTCGTCGGCCCCTAAAAAGCTAAAAATGCCCATTGAAGGAAATTGGCTCCAGCTAACTTTTGTTCAAATCGGCTTCTTCCTAAGGCGATTTGAGCACTACCTACCGTATAAGGCTGACACTATCTCTGTCTTTTCGTGTCTTCAGAGACGACGACGACATCAACGACGTGGCCTCCATGGCGGGCGTGAACCTGAATGAGGAGAACGCCCGGATCCTGGCCACCAGCTCTGAGCTCGTGGGAACCATGATCCGCTCGTGTAAAGACGAGGCTTTCCTGCCGCCGGGCGTCATGCATCGGAGAATCCTCGACATCGGTACTGCTCGGGTCTGAGTACCCGGTCTACCACTCAAACACAGCTATAACTAAGTTTATATCCATGTGTCTCTCACTCTTTCTCCTTTCCCTTCCTCTGTGTTCAGCTAAGAAGTGTGGCGTGTCGGAGGTCCCCGCAGACGTTGTGAACCTGGTCTCTCACGCCACTCAGTCCAGACTGCGTGCTCTGCTGGAGAAGGTGTCTGTGGTGGCTCAGCACCGGACGGACGGAGGGAAGGTGAGAACATCATGGTCCTTTGTTTTCACAATTCTGCCTTACAAGTCTACACATATAGAAATTAAAGGTTGGGTACGTAACTTTCAGACCACACAAGAATTCTGTATAAAACTAAACTCCATGTCTCTAGTAAACTTTCATAACAAAAGAGAATCAGTTTTTTGTTTAGTTTATATATTTAAGATGACAAGGACAGTGTACAATAAACACCAACCTCAAAGGGAAAGATCTCATTCACAACACTTTCTGTTGGGTGAACATGTTATTTACGAAAGGAAATTGCGTACCACCAGATTTAGTTTGGACCTGGTTGTATAACAATCCCCCTTGTGGTCAGGAGGAGGAGAGCTATGAGCAGACGTCGGACGTGCGATCGCAGCTTCGATTCTTTGAGCAGCTCGAGCGAATGGAGAAGCAGAGGAAAGATGAGCAAGAGAGGGAGATCCTGCTCAAGGCCGCAAAGGTACGAAGACATGCACACACTGAGCAGAGGTACGAAGATGCACACACTGAGCAGAGGTACGAAGACATGCACAGTGCACACACTGAGCAGAGGTACGAAGACATGCACAGTGCACACACTGAGCAGAGGTACGAATACTCTATCTTGTCTCTCATATCTACTTTTTTTGCATGCACCAGCACAAAATGTTTCATTACTCCAAAATGACCTTTTATCGCTCTCCTTTGTATCATGTGGATGACTTTAAATGGAGAATGACTTTTAACCCTATATGCCCGCGTGCATCGGCACCGATGCACGCGCACATGTTTTACAAATGATCAATTTACTCGCGAACGGTAAAACGTAGCAACTTACTTTTTTTCCCTCTGTGAAGTACGTATTCAGGGCTTTCCGAAACTAGTTTTGATTTGTCTGTGCGATGCACGTAGGATAAACTACGTTTGTCTGAAAGTCCGTGTCCAAAGCGTGACCCGTGAGGTACAAACAGCTGTGAGATACAAACACACGGGGACTGCCAAAGATCGTCAGAGAGTGAGATGTCTCACTCCTCTGTCTGTGCTTGTTGTCCCACAGTTGAAACTACAGCTGCGATTGCAATAACCGGCTGAAGAGTGCGCATTATTGATAAAGACAATAATAAATACAGTAAAATGACATTATGTGTATATGATGTATATAAATATATGTATTATATAAATAATTGATGTTTTTTTTTTTTTTTGGCTCAGTTTCTTATGTTTTACTTTTTTTACAGCTGTACTACAGAAGCAACCCCAGCATTATAGACAAACTGCTTCAGGAAGGGCATCAGGAGTACAGAGTTTTTTGCTTTTATAGTGGAATTTTGTAAAAAGTATAATAGTTAGAGATTCAATTTTTTTCCCCATTATCCCCAAGACCATTGATAACATTTCTATGCAGTGTAAAAAGTTGTTTATAGCATTTCATTGTGTTTTTTCAATACATTTTTGTTTTTGTTTTGTTTGATTTTTTTCTTTGTCTTCATGATTCCACAATTTGTATATAATTCATATGACAGCTTTACAATATGAATATTCTAAAACCCCAGGTTGTACTGAAAAAAAACAAAGTATACTGCTTGACTCTGCATCAAAAGATGACTGTTTTATGAACAATTATACACAAAGAAAACCAGGCGAGGAAAGTTCCCCAAAATGAACCATGTGCATAGAGGGTTAAAGGAGGAAAAGGTAGCCTTTATCTTTAACACAATGATCTCCATGTTGAGTAGGATGACTGTCCTCGCTGTGGCCAGCAGAGGGAGCCACAGTCTGCCTTAAGCCTCTGAACCTGAGTTTATGGAATGATTGTGTTTTTCAGAGTCGTGCAAGACAAGAAGACCCGGAGCAGGCGCGGCTCAAGCAAAAAGCCAAAGAGGTTTGTCTCTCACACCCTACTGTTGCCCCTACTGTTGCCCCTACTGTCACAGCTGAAGCACAGAAGATAGTCTTCCCCTTATTTCTTTTACAACTTGACACCTGTCAAACCTTTATGTTGTTAGCACATAGCGTTTCTCCACAGGGGGGCACTGTAGAGCAGCCAGGAGCACAATAAGTCTCCTTTAAGCTGCGTTTGATGCAGAGCTCTTCAGACAGACGGATTCAGGCCACACTCATTAAGGCTGATGTGAAGAGAAGGTCTGCACATGGACCGTGGCATCAGCTCCCCCCTCTCCAGTCTCTGCTCCCCCTCTCTCCCCTCCTCCCCGTCCCAACTCTCCTCCCCTCTCTGGGTCCAAATATAACCAGGGCTGTCACTGTAACTAATGCGCAATATGTTGCGACAAAGACACCGTACATTGCTGTAAATATAGAAACTACCGAATGCTGACAAAAAAAGGAAAACGTAAACAACAATGTTTTTGGCAATATGCCTGCAGCAGAGAAGCAAACTGCAGAATGTCTGCCACCATCTGCAGCTTATTAATAATAACAATTGTATGTATCTGTGTTTCAGATGCAGCAGCAGGAGTTGGCTCAGATGCGACAGAGAGATGCAAACCTCACAGCTCTCGCTGCCATCGGACCTCGAAAGAAACGCAAACTCGACTCACCGGGAACCGCCGCCGCAGCAGAGGTAAGAACACTTCAGGCCTGGTGCACAAGAAACTAGTCTCTCCTCCGGCCTGGTCCACTGGTCTACAGGGAGACCAGACCTGAGGTGAGAGACCAGCTCTCTTAAGCTGTGTTCCCACTGGATCATGCATTGCGGCAAAGTCCATGGTGACGTACGTCTGAGCGAATATTTGTATGTACTTGTCGGCATTCACGTTTGTCCCGCGCAGCAGAGTCAATAGGTACGGCAGCTAGATGCATGCAGCAAACGCCAGAGATGAGATTAAGTGAACATTCTTGTTCCATGCACGTGCCACAACCAATCGGAGAGCAGCAAAGTGGTCACGAGGTAACAAGCCGGTCAAAACAGGAAGACAAAGGCACTTGAAATAAACCAAAACATGAGTTTAACCAGGATTAATCCAGAGCTGACAATGGGAGACAGTGCTTGTGAATGTGTCTTCACCCTGAGTTGTCATTCTACTGTCACTGTAAACAAGTGCTGCTAATAATATAATACATCCGCTGCTCAGTGAGCAGCAGATGTATTATATTGCTGTAATATGAATTCTCGGGACACAGGGACGTCATGGAGGAGAACAAAAAGCATCTAGCATCAAAGTCCACCCATCACTTCATCCCTGCGTTTTTCCCCATCGCAGAGCAGTATGTCACATTGTCTAAACTCATGCTGCTGAAATGTTGTGAATGCATGTCCATGCATCAGCGATGGGAACGCACCCTCAAGCCGCGTTCAGACCAGATCATGCGTTGCGTCGACTTTCAATGCAAAGTCCATGGTGACACGTGTTCGAGCGTGGAACTGCATGTGCGTCTCGGGATGCACGCACGGCAAAGGCGTGGCAGAGGCGCAGGAGCGGAAAATCGACGCACACAGGAGATGAATATTGCCGAGCGTTTCTTGGGACGCTCATGCAGCAACCAATCAGAGAGCCACAAAGTGGTCACGGGGACATTAGCGGTCTTAGCGAGCAGACTGAAAACAGGACCAGGACTAAACCAGGGTTGACAATGGGGGACATGGAGCTTGTGAACATATGCGTTTTTATGCTCCCGTGACTTTATGCAACTGCTTCGAGTGTGTTTGCCGATACGGAATTGCCGTTTAATAATAAAATAAACGTATGGCGCACTTCCGTGAACACATACCGCTGTTATATAAAGTCTCTGGAAGGTCTCAGGACACGCTGCAGAGCTGCATTATTAAAGAAGAACTTTACACAGAAAGCCAATAGCTTAACTCCGTTAGCATCAAAGGCCGCCCGCTACTTCTGGCGGGCGCCACTGCAGGCCAGGACTTCTGGTCTGAAGACCCCTGCATCTGAAAATTAGAGAATGTGCGTCTGGGGTGCGGGGCGTCAGCGTTCCAGCGTCGGCGGTGTGAACGCAGCATTAGAGCTGATGCAAACTAGTGTGCTATGTTGAACCTCTCCTCATCAAACACCAGAGGGAGGTGTCCAACTACTTTAGAGCATCAGTCTATCTGTATATTTTTCCAGTTTATTTGACAAAGCTGGGTTTGTTGGGCACGAGCCATGTGAGTTCCAAGCTCTTTGGGATAGAAGCAGTTTGTGAAAGAAACTGTTTTCTTAGATCATTTGAGATGGTGATTAGATTTACAAAATACCATGTTATTCTGATGTCTGAACGTCCTTTCTATTGGCCAACATTATGCAGAGACCAGAGAGGATAAGGGCAGATGAATGCTGTCACATGAACACCAACTATTGAGTTAATCGTACCAAATATTAGCTGCTGTTACAAACATTCACATGACATGAAGAGCGTTTATCACTTGTTTTACTGGTTAAAGTCACATATAAAGCAGCAGTGTCCTGTCTGAGTCCAGACACAGAAACCCTCATTGTTCCGTCAGACCTCTGCCCCAGGCAGAGTTTAGCGCCCTGGGGCTCTGCTGCTGTGCATCATGGGAGCTCCCCCTCCTCCCTCACCTCCAGGCAAGCCGTGGGGCGAGCGAGCAGCACAAAGGGTTAATCCGCCTCAGAAATGCAGCCGCCACATCTGAGACTAGGTTGCAGCACAAATATTAACGCATCTCAGAATTACCTCCATTTTGGATACAAGGACTAGAACTAACTTGTTTACTCCAGATTTTGTCATTATTTGTCTCCTCTCCATGTTCCAACCCTATTTTCAAGAAATTCACCAGAATCTGTAGATGATAGTTCCTCACTTTTGTTGCATAAATAAAAGTCCTGGTTTAGACCTGGTTCAGACCTGGTTTAGACCTGGTTCAGACCTTGTTTACCTTATTGTGGAGACAAAGGCGGTGTTTTGATGTGTGCTCTGACAGCCGTGTCTGCCCTGGGGCGGATGTTTGGAGGGAGTAGAGCCTGACGGGGCCTGAAGAGCTGAAGGGCCCGTGGCAGAGACGAAGCAGGGATAATGCAAGCCTCACAACAGAAGGCAAACCAACAATAGTATCGTTCAGAGTCTGAGGATTCTTGACTTACATTTATGCTGCTGTGATGTCTTTTGAAAGGAGACTTTTTTAGCCCAAGGTTGTTCAAAATCCTTATGTTTTTAAATTTTAAAAGTGTATTACGCTGATCTTCTAACTCTAACACAAAGGCCCAAATGTCCATCTTTCTCTGGCGGAATGTCGCCCGTTTTATAAAATGCAGTAATGGTAATGTAATTATTAAAAATAGAAATGTCAACATTTGTATTAATGATTTCAGTCTGTTCCTCTCTCTGCTCCAAACCCAGAGAGAAATCAGGGAACACGGCACGGAGTCTAATAAAAGCCCAAAACCATGATCTGTGAGCAGGCACCTGTGCATCAGGCGAAGACCTTTATCGCCCCCTCTCTGCTACGAGGAGAACTTTTTAACAACGTAACCCAAAGTAATGAACCAGGGACCAATTTTTACTTAGACAAATGTTCCAGCTCTGTTTGGGAGAAGGAACAAGAGTGAGAGACTGTATTTTGTTCCCGTCAATAAGACTGTTCGACGGTAGTGCAGCAGCGATGAAGACTGTTTTAAAGACTGTTTTGAAGACTGTGTTTTCCTAATGATGCCCCGGGGCGCTGCCCTTCTTCCCGTTTGCTAAAATCATCCGTGTGAGTCTTAAACGCAGATAATGTGTGTGTCGATGCCTGCAGCGGTTTCACTACAGTCTGGTGCCACAATAATGGCTTTGAACCACAAAGTCACACACACCAACACAGAAGGAAGTGGATTTGTATAGCACACATCAGACATGAACTGCAGAATAGAGACCTTTTAAAGCTGCGGTGCAACATTCTGTGAAATCAGACCACAGCCTTTAGTCTTCATCTTATTAGAAAACATGTTTGTGTAAGAAAGAGCCGTGTGAGTCACTGTTTAGGCTGAGAGCTGAGTGACCAGAGAGACACCAGCAAGAGGGAGGCCAGGGCCCTCTTTTGCTTTTTTGTCTGAAAAAGCTGTTCTGAAGATTAGGCAAAAAACATGGTGTGAAAACTTGTTCCTGGAAACGGTTTGCTTCCATCACTAGACATTTTATTATATGGTTATATTTTTGTGGCTGGAAAGTTGGGTACCCTTGCTTTGAGAGATGAAAGGAAAGCTTTAGTTTTCTTCTCAACAAGGTCCGTGTTTTTCTCCCATTATGCTTGTTCCTTGTAAATGCAACAATCTGCATAATGACAACACACTTTTCCTGATTTCACAATATTCTGCAGATGCTGAACAGTGCGTTCTCTTTTGCAGTTTGAAAAGATTTAAATCGTCTCGTTCTTCAAATTCAAACGAGTCTAATTACAAAGTGCTGATGTCATTAAACATCTTTTCAAAGTTCCGTGACCTTTGAGCCTGGGATCCGCGGAGTTGATTCTTGTCTTGTGACGTTTGAGCCCCGAGGATTGGGGCTCATGGGAACTCGCTCCCAGACACGTGCACTAGGAAGGGGGAGCAGGAGGAGAGGGAGTGAAGACCTGTTCTATCAGTCAGCGTCGCTCCAAGGCAAAAACCTGCAGGACCCAAAACGCCTCAGACCAGCTTCAAGAGGAAACATGAAAACTGTAGAAAAAGGGCCAAAGACTTTTATTACATTATTCAAAGTTCACATGTTCTAAATATGTAACGGCCTTCTTCAGACAGAACATGCATGAGCACTTTTACCTTGTTTTCTTAAGCCGGGGTTTTGTGAAGCCATTTCACAATGTCAATTTAACTGTCTGCCATTTTCTATGATGACATCATTGAGCCGCTCTGAAAGATCTCAAATATACAGTTCATGCAAAGAGTCCAGCACTTTACAGGAGCTGGAGGTTGTTTTTAGTAAGGGGGGCTTTACAATCAGACTGAGACTGGAGAGGGACTATTTTATTCATTTATAGATGGCAATCTTGGTTTTTATTTGTTTATAAACTGCTATGTGTTTTTCTTAAAGCGTTCTGTTTGTAGTTGACAGTGTGCGTTTATTGTTCCCACAGTCGACCAGCACGTCCGCCTCGTCGTCGTTGTCACCGGGTTCGTCGCGGCAGCAGTTGAGGCAGAGAATCACTCGGGTGAATCTCAGGGACTTTATCCTGTGTCTGGAGCAGGAACGGACCACGTCGCGATCGCTAATGCTCTACAAGGCCCTGCTCAAGTGAAGCTAATTCTTGCTCGGCTAGCAGCAAACCGGAGTCACCCAAGGAGCCGCGCTGGGCCCAATGCAGTTTCCCTGCATCGGATCGAGTTTCAAGGACATGTTTCATCATGAATTTGGGATTTTTGACTTCTGCAACACTATGGCGATTTCGGATCATGTTTGAGTTTGTAGTTTTTATAAATTATTTCATATATACAGTATTCAAGTATGTGAAGATATTATGACCAAGACACAACCAGAGTCTCAGTGTAACTTGACTGTTTGATTTTGAATTTTATACATTCATAATGTTCGGACAGAGGCTTGGTTAATATTCTCAGTATTGTTTCTATATCCAGCAGAACTGACTCAAAATCAAACTTTGAAATAGTCATTTAAATGATTATGACATCAGTGAACGAGTTGTCCCGTTGGAAACACAAATAGGAAGAATAGCTTCACCTCATATGCATTTAAGATCTTAATTTAAACTCCTCATACTGGGCCCAATGAACTTTTCCCTTTTTTGAGAAGTAATTAAACACTAGACTTTTCAAATTCAGAATAGTCTTAAACTAAATAATTCAAGTCTTTTGCTAAACTGGACCCTTTATCAAACCACCTCTTATTAGAATGACTATTTTAAACATAATTCACATTTTTAAGTAACCAATTAAGGAATCAGTTTGATTGCCTGCACAATCATTTAAAACTTTTCTTTTACCATTTCATTCAAAAGTTATTTATCCTTTTTTAACTTAATTCAAATGTTCATCCTAACAAAGCTTAAAACCAATCAAATTTCCTACATTTATTCCTGTAGAATGTTGGGTTTTTTCAAAGTTGCCTTTAGCTTGAATAGGGTTTTTATCCGAATAATTTGCTTTAGGATATATAATGAATACAGAGCAAAGTAGTAACTTCCTAATGTGATAGTTCCACAAGGAATCATTCTGGGCCAAATAAATTTTTTTACTGTACAATAATTTGTGTTTTTAGAAGTAAGTTTTAAATAATTTCACAATTTACAATTAAAATTAGTCTTCACTTAAGTAATTTGTAAATGTCTTAAACCCTGGCACATCTGCTCCAGTTGTATTTTGATAAAGAAGACACTGACTGAATGCAAGGAAAATTGGCAAAAACCACATCAACAAAAAGTTAAATAATAGTAGTAATATTAAAGGTTATAGTTTTAGTCAAATTAACTCGGGCACAAATGGCTTTTCACATTGGACCTGTCTTTATGTGAATCATTCTTTTTTTTCAGATTTTTGACATTTACGTTTGACATTTACGTTTGTAATGAGGGAATTGAACAATCTTGGTCATAATATCTTCTGATGTCGGTTGTCCAGTTTCTGTTTACCACCCTTACTATGTCACCCCAAGACAAATTCATGTTTTTCAAGCTTTCATGTTTATATCGTCCGTTATAAGAGTCCGTTGTACCTCCGTGAAGAAAAGCTGGGATTTGAATGTTTTCTGAATAATTGGAGAAGGTTGAGCAAATGTTTTTGAAGAAGCCTTGGGTACAGGATATTTTTAACAGACGTAAAACACTGAAGGAAGAGTTTGTAAGTAAGTAATCTTTATTATAGCACATTTCACAGGCCGAGGTCAAACAAAGCGCTTCATGTTTTGAAGTACCGTTCTCTCCATTCTATCTTCCACCCTCAACCGACGCAAACACTGTTAGAACATGCAAACTCCACACAGTTTGCATGTTCTGGAGGTGGAATCAAACACAGGACCTTCTGGCTGTGTGCCATTTCACTATTGAATGAAGTCAATCTATTTTAGTTTTAATTTAGATCCAAACCTTTACATTTTGACCCCACTGACCGTTCTGAGCAAAGAAATGCTTGTCAAAAATGTTTAATGAATTAAAGATTTTAGCAGTGTATGAACTTTAATGTATGAAAATGCCAAATACAACTAATCAAAGTATTCTTGAATCTGTATATATTACCGTGTTTTTTAGTCAACTTTAAATATTCTCAAATAGAGGCGACTAATCTGCAAAATCTAAAACCACTTTGTGTATTATGACCACAATAATGCAGGCAAAAGCACTCTAACCATTCTTAAAACCGTAATTTGTGACCCTTTTACACTTGTACAATTTTCAGATTCCAAAATGTTAACGCAGAAGGTGGTCAGAAATCTAAGATGGGGTGCCACAAGGAAGTGTTCTAGGCCCAATGGGCTTCACTCAATTTGCATCTTATAGAAATTTCTTTTTTTTTTGTCTACATGTTAACACTTATTGGATGCCAGTCTGATTTAAGCTCATTCAAAATTATAAGTTTTTTCCACAACTTTGCGCCAAATTAGTAAAAATGAACAGTCAAACTCTTCCTTCAAATCCATTTTAGTGGTTGGCTGTCGTTTGGAGCTGGTTCTCCTTCATAATTGTCCATGTCTCCTCCTCCATAAATGCTGTTTCTCAGACCAGCCTCGGTATCGTTCTCTAACACGTGTTTTATTGGAAACCTCGTAGATGAATATGCAGTTTGACGACTTCAGATTTTATATTTGAGAAGGTGTAAAATAACGGCAGGTTTTTATGGCTTTAGACGTGGCTCCCTTCTCCTCCGGGGCATTGATTTGTGAAATAATGAGAATATTATTAGTAAATTCACTAGTTTTGGGTGGAGGCCGTAGTGTGATCATGTTACTACCACCTGTCGGAAAAAGGACACTGTTTTTGCGACTATTTATATTTCCTATGTTCTGTATCAAAACATTTCAGGCAATTTTACAGTTGTTTGTACCTTTGCAAAAAATAAATAAATGATAAAGAGCTGATTCTGGAGTCATGGCTTTAGTGTAGCGCATCGGAAACCTCAGTCATTTTTTACTTTTAATTATAAATATTTCTCATTCTTTTTGGGTTTTAATAATAAATGACACTATTTAATTTTTTGTTTCATGTTTTAGAGTATTACATATTTTCATTATAAGATATATGGAGAAACAAGTAGGAAGGTCAAAAATGTTTCTTGCCTGTAACTCTTTGATACCAGAGAGGAGACCAAAAGGGTAACATTTTCTGCCTTTAACACTGCAAACAGATAAGTGATTATAAAAAAGTCAGTCATTTCACTCAGAAATTAAAAACTAATTTATGGGCAAAACTTTAGTTTTAATACACAAAATTACAACTCTTATGCCAGGGAGCCTCTTCAGTCTTGAACCTCACAGCCTCAGTCTGTGGAAGCAGATCCCTCAATATGGGTCTCCTTTGTCACTTTGAGCGGTTCCTTGCAGATGCAGGAGGGTCTGAGGACAGGGTCGGCACTAGATCATATACGGAATCGGGACGGAAGCAGAAGTAACAATCCTACTTTTGAATTAGTTTAAGACTAACAAGTCCTTAAGTTGTGACTGGTTAAGTTTTAGGTGTCTGAGTAAAATGGTTAAGGTTAGGGTCAAGGGTGGGTTGGGGTTATTCTATGGGAATGGCTGGTAAAGTTTAGTCATGGATCTATTAGTTTAGGTAGTTGGTTATATTTACTTCCACTTCTGACCCAATTCCGTACATGATCTAGTGCTGACCCTGAGGACAGGACATTTATTAACATTTGTGTTAATCTCGTTCTCTATGGATCTCATGTGTTTGTTATTATTGCATTTCCTGTGTTTGAACCGTTTGATTCTCTGATCTGTTGTCGCGGAATCAACAGCTTTGTAAAGTCCTCTGAGCTGTTATGATTTTGAGCGATCACAAATACATTGGAATGAACCAATGGAACAAATAAAGACAACTCTCGTATGTTTACTTTGAGGCTAACGCTGATATTCCCAACAAACATTTTCCCAAATTCAACCAATGATATTTCAGTTTTTTACTCTTTGGACCAAACCTTCTCTAAACCTACCAATCATGTGTTCATTGGTGTCTAATAATGAGGAAACATTTGTTTTTTTTCTTTTATGTTTTCATCTGTACACAAAAAACATCACATTAAATATTCACAATTTGAAAAGGTTTTAAAAAAGACCTAAATTACACAGCGTTTAAAAAAGCAGTTTCTCAACATGGATCGACCAAAACATGAAGGTCTTCTCCGCGCTCCAACTGTGTTCAGAGAGTGATCTGTGATGTCATAGTTTGACTGCTGGGCATTTAGACAGAAGGGGTGGGTTTGGGCCTGAAGTTTCTGATATTAGAGTGGATGGAGCTAAACACAACTCTAGGTCTGTGACTGATGAGGAACAATGTTGGAACATGGAGAAAATGATGTTGAAGAATACGTCTCCTTTATAACCTGGATCAGTGTCACGTTCAGTCCAGAGGTCTCTGGTCCTGGTCATGGTCTTGATCTTGGAACTGGTCTGGTTTAGACTCAGTCTAGTGGGCCCAGTCCTGACTCAGTCCAGTGGTCTTTGGTCCCGGTCCGGTCCTGGTCTCGGCTCACTCCTGTGGTCTTTAGTCCTGGTACTGGTCCGGTCCTAGTCTCGACTCAGTCCTGACTCTGGTCCGGGTTCTGGTCTCTGGCTTAGTCCAGTGGTCCTGGTTTCTTGTCCTTGCTCAGTCCAGTAGTCTCTGGTCCGGTCCTGGTCTCTGGTCCTGCTCAGTCCATCGGTTCCTGTTTGATCCGGATCTGTGAGGAGCTGATGTTGGTGCAAAGTTTGATTTCTCGACACAGAACGTATTCACTGAACTGCGACGAGTCCACGCCGCCGCCGCACGCCGCACGCAGAGAGAAGCCTTTCTGAAACAGACGCTCCAGCACCTGCCACAAAAAAAGCAAGGTTAGATCAGCAAGCGGCTTTCAGGGCCCACAGAACAAAAGCCAAGAAGATAAGACTTTTGGATCCACTCCTCTCAGCCACAGACTTCAGTGCCGCCATTTTGAACATGTTTACGACAGACTGTATCTGGACAATGCTGACTTTCTAGTTGAATGAACCCCAAAAGGGAAGTGCCCACGGGAGAGAGACCAGAGATTTTACTGTGATTAACTGTGCAAACTTAAACACATGAAAACTAGCGAAAGAAGCCAACAGAAGTTTTTTGAGCCTGGAACAAGATAGATGGATTTCATCACATAGTTCTATTGTTGTGGTCTGAAAGCTACACACCCCGGCTTTATCCTATATCATTGAGTCCCTGTGGTCCTCACCTGCACGCTGTTGAGCCTGCAGTAGCCGTTGAGTGGGAAGCGGATGACGTGGGTTGGGTCCTGGTTCCAGCCGGCGTTCACCGAGTTCACCATCACATCTCCCGTCTCGGGAAACACCTCCTCAATCAGGACCTTCTCGCCGCTCACCGTGATGCGCTCGCCGAGCTCCGGCGACACGCGCAGCACCAGGCACTCAGCCGCGGCCTGACGCTCTGAGTGCCACAGCTCCAGCTCACGCACCATCGGTGTCAGCTGGTAGTACCGCGCCTCCTCGTACAGCGCTGGGAACTCCTGCAGAGACAGAATGGAATCAGAGGTTACTTTGATTTGATCTCTGGTCTTTCTCGTGACTCAAACATGGGTCACAGTGAGTACCCACAACATCAGCTCCTCCCCAAGACCAGCGGACAGAGCTCACAGAGACTTTTGATGAACAAGGACAACTTTTCAGACTTTCACTGTCGCACAAACAGACTCAATCTGCCAAGTGCCGTCAGATTGTACAATATGAATTTTAAATGTTTTTTATCTGTTTTTACTGGATTCAAGAGTAAATTCTACTGTTTTTCAGCTTTTAGCTGCAAGCATGAATTAAATACATTTAAACCTAAACACGATTCGCTCTCTGGTCTTTCTCTCCCTGGTCTTTCTCTCCCTGGTCTCTCTCCCTGGTCTCTCTCCCTGGTCTCTCTCCCTGGTCTCTCTCCCTGGTCTCCTGGCCCTTTGTCAGATGCTATAAGCTTTTTGGTACTTTTTCTATAATTCCTGTGTCGCTCTGGTGGAGTCTGCAGTACCACAGTCCACTACCGTTAAGGCCCCGGCTTAAGTAGAAAGATACTATCCTTCTCGACTCTATTCTAGTAGAGTAGGGCTTTGGACCCAGACTTGGGACTCGTACCTTGAAGTCCTCGGGCAGCAGCAGTTTGCAGGTGCGCAGGAAGCTCAGGATGTGTTTGAAGATGTCTCCGTCTCGATCGATGAAGTAGTGCTGCTTCAGACTGTCCAGAACAATGGGCTCCGTGCCGTTAAATAGACGGCCGATTCTGAAACATGATTATCCTATTAGTCCTGCTTTAGTCCTGCTCTAGACCTGCTTCAGTTCAACTTAGTCCTGATTTATTTCTTTTTTTAGTCCTGCTTTTGTCCTTGTCCAGTCGTTCAGCCCTGGTCTCGTCCTGGTCTCACCTGGACTCTGGGTACTTGGTGAGTGTGCCCAAACTGCTTGTGTACATGGTCCCTCCTACATCGATGTGGACTGGGGCGTTGGTCTTTGTGAGCTGAGCCGGAGAGGGGATCCCATGAGCCGAGAGCGGGGACACGGGGGAGCGGCTGAGGGAGACCCGGGACAAGCTCCGCCCACCATCCTGCAATGACCACGCCCACGTCACACTGTAATCCCATTTATTTATATTGCACATTTTAGAAACCGAGCTTTACAGAACCAGGAGACTCAGAACACTTTTGAAAAAACAAAAGCGATACACAACATTGTCCTTACATTGCTCTTTAAAGCTGAGGTACGTAACTTTAAAGCTGAGGCATTTAACTTTCATACCACAACAACAGAATTCTGTAATAAAACCCATATCAAATATAATAGGCATACTCTATAACCCTGAAAGAAATTCAAATTTGAGGTTTTGGTCCTGGTCTGTGACCTCTCCTGGTCTAGGTCCTTGTTTTGGTCTTCATCTGATCTCTGTGACCACTGTGATCCCTAACTCTGCTCTCTGACTCTGCCCTCTCTCTGGTCTCTTTCTGGTCCCTCTCTGGTCTCTCTCTGGTCTCTCTCTGGTCTCTCTCTCAGACCGCACATTCAGCTGGAGCCGAGGGGAGCAGTGTGACTGCGTTTACCCCCAGGCCATGCATGTCCTGGGGCAGGCAGGCTGGTGCCTCCCCCTCCTCTACCCCAGGCCTCTGCCTCCTGCTCACACCTTTCACGCTTCAAAGACCCCAGCTACAATGGGGCCAATCACACCACACACTTTTATCTACTGTGCTCAAATGTCCCTTTTACAAGAATCATCGTTCTGACTTTTAGAATCAACAGTTATAAGTAGTAAATAATAATACATTTGATAATGCCAGAATGTGCAATAGAACCACGTGTCCACTGTCGCTGATCCAAACTGCTAACATGTACAGGTGTATACATACAGATATATATTTCTTGTACTAAAATATACAGTACTTTATACTTACTTTTATTATGCTAAAGTCCTAGATTTTATACTTAAATATCTGCTTCTTCATTATACCAAAGCTAGACTTTTTTTATTATGCAAAGTTAGAGATTTCATTTCATTTCATTATAGAGTTAGTGTTCATTTATCTTGTGTTGTGTGCTCCTCATTCCTACTGTTCTGCAACCGGTGATGCAACACTGACATTTTCCCACTGTTGGATGAATAAAGGATCTTAATCTAAGAGACGACTGTAATATGTATGAGGCTTTTCTTCCAATAACCCCGGGTGGAGATACACAGGCTGGTGTGTCAGAACAACTGGGCCTTTAACCCGTCTTGCAACCAACTCTTTTTGCTGAGGCCTGTTCAAAAGTATAGCAATAATTTAGGCTCAGACTGTTTTCTTGGTTGCTGCTCACATGTGGCTCAGGGGAAGAAGGCCCTAACACGACAAACACTCACAGCAGGAACAATATTCTACATAATGACAGTGTAACGAGCCGTGGAGCTGTGTTTTCGTGCTGCTCTTTCCTTTATAAAGTTGTCCGTGTGGATAATATGTTGGAAAGTGTCACTGGTCTCTGTCTAATCTAAGATTCCGGTCTGTCTCCTTCTGTTCTCCCCTTGTGGTGTCTTTCTCTGGTCCTAGGTACTTGCGCAGTGACTTAAGACGACTTTTTTTGAAAGTGGGGAGTTTGTTTTGACCCTTTCATTTTGACACGTTCCTGTCTTCCCTGTGGTGAAAAGCCGACACGGGCTCAAACAACATGCCAACCTTAGCCACTGTTAAAAATCACTGTGTGAGGATGCATCATGATGTAAAGAATGTGTGCGTGGACGGAGCTAGACTTAAGTAGAAACAATGTTGTAGCATGTTTAAAAGCTTAAAACTGGAATCAAACTGTTTTTGAACTCGCCAAACTCCTATGAAAAAACATAACTAATTACAGTAATAACAGTTTTAGGCCATTGCTCTAGAATCGCTCTACGCCACTTCACATGAACCTAACAGAGTAAACTCTAATTCTTCATTCGGCAGAGTGACATTGTCCCATAAATGTGTCATTATTGAAATATTTGCGCTTGAATGGACGCGTTCCGACACGCTGCTGCCGCCCACTCGGTGCCCGTGACGGAGAAAGCTAACTTACAAGCTAAAAGCCAAAGTTCATTCATCGCATATGTGCTAGTTGATTAAATTGTATCCTGCGCGCCGAATTCAAGGCAGATCTTAATGGAATCACGTTAAATAAAGAGGGGTGGTGTAATTTGAATATCTTGCAATTGACTCAATGTAGTTTCGAAATGGTTAAATTGTCAAGGCAGTTCGGAAAAGTCTTATTCAACGCGATTTCTAAATAGAGAAATCGGGGTAATTTGATTATAACGCCAGATTAGTTCACATTTGACAGTAATCCACACCAACGTATGGGATTATGTGATGCTATTATGAGATATAATATACTATATAGGCCACTCTCGACATGAAACCAGCGACTCATCCAAACAACGCCATTGGATTCAATTACGCACCACATAATTCCATATTCATAAGAAAACATTGACAATTTGAACCAATTGTAAACATGCATGTATAATGATCCGTGCAGAGATCGTAAGTGATGTCACATTACCTGCGAGGACACCGAAACTGTAGACATATTTGTGACCGAAGAAGGCGCTCTGTCTCTGGGTAAAAGCCCTCCACGTTCCTCCGCCGCGTCCTGGCTCTGGCTCGGTCCAAAAGCGTGTGGATGTCTGCAGTCTTTGTCTGCATGCGAGCCCGGGATAGAGGAGCAGGGAGGCGGGGAGAGATGGAGACTCGCCCGCGGGCCATGGCTCAGCCGCGGGGCCCACGCTGGCTCCTCTCTGACAGCCGGGTGTGTGTGCGTGTGTGTGTGTGTGCTTTCTTGCGCGCCTGCGTGCGTGTGTATGTGTGTGTGCGCGCACACGCAACCCCAGGGGCCTCACATCCCCCAGTGCATCTGCATCAAACTGGACGCACACAGGAACAGATGGAGATAAAGGCGCTGGTATCTGATTGTGTCAAAGGGAAAATGCCTTTGATGATGAGTACTGTACAGAAAGAGACAGAGACCAGTGACAGAGACCAGAGCGAGAGGGACCAGTCCAAGTCTCTCCCTGCTAAACCCGGCCCTGTTCTCGCCTCTGGTGTCTGGCCTTAGGCGTCTGGTGCCCTCTCTCTGCAGCTGATGAGCCGCGGGGCTGAGGCTGTTCCAGTGTCTGCTTTTCCCCCCTCACCTTCTGCACCTCTTTCTGGCCTCTCTTTCTGGTCTCTCTTGGGTCTCTCCCATTTTAATAGATCCATGGTCTCTCTCGGGGCTCTTTCTGGTCTTGCTCTGGGCTCTCTCTGGCCTTTCCCTAGTCTCTCTCTGGTTCTTATCAAATATGCCACACTTCATAGAACTCTATGATGCAAAATACGTTCGATAAAAACTTGTAATTCAGAAAAGGACAGCCTTCCTGGTCCATTATTTGGGCAATACATTTGTGAATATCCAATATTCTATGTAGTAGTAGCAGTAGTACTAGTACTAGTAGTAGTGATAGCTGGAGTGACAGTACCTTGGCATTTAGCGCCCTCTGGTGGTGGACCTGCTTTTCCCCACTTCCCCAGAAGAGATCTGCCTCAGATCACATCGAGGTTTCCCAAAGCCTCATTTTGTGACTCACATGGATTATTCATGTTTACAATATATCTCCCATAGCATTCTGACCCTCAAATCCACAAACAACATGAGAGCTCTTTACTCTACAGCCGAACCAAAGTGTTGGACACAAACAGAAACGGTTCAAATAGAAGCAAAGGAAGGTTTCTCACCCATCATCTGTACTTCTTAGCAAGTTTTCCCGACGTTTCGTCCTCAAACTAGCGGACTTCTTCAGGGAATGAATTCTCGGACCGCGCGTTGGAGATTTATAACCTCTGGGTGTGGTCAGCCACACCCTAATCCTGATACTAACTCATAAACAATCTAAGACCTTAGATTGACCATAAACAATCTAAGACCTTAGATTGTTTAGAATTCATTCCCTGAAGAAGTCCGCTAGTTTGAGGACGAAACGTCGGGAAAACTTGCTAAGAAGTACAGATGATGGGTGAGAAACCTTCCTTTGCTTTGACTAATCCCTGTACGACTGAGAGCTTACACAAACTTAGTTCAAATAGAAGTCATACCATTTATTGGCTTTATTTGCTGAGACACGCTCACACAAAGAGTTAAAAACACAGAAATAACATATTTTCACATTTCTAATATTCTACAGATGTCACTCAAATCAAATGTATAAAACAGTGATAGACAGATCCCCTGAGTTTTAGGGTAAACTCAGGTGTCCAGCAGCAGCAGAAACACATTCATCCATACAAACAAAACAAATACATCATTCTAAAAGTAGCTAACAATAGTAATAAAGTGCAACAGCACTTGAGGTCACAGCAGCAGAGCCGCCTCTCCTAGTTGATGTCTGCAGAGTCTGCTTGGTGCGGACCATTTTCTCTGCTCTGGTTCAGAGTGAAATGCTGAAAGCTTTATTAGCATAAAAAAAAGAGAATTCCTCCAGTAGATTTACACTTGATCCGCTTGGTTCGGAACATGAATCCTCTCTGCTCTGGTCTGGATCAGTGTAAAACCATGTAAACTGCACTGCAGTAACATTTACAGGTATAAAAACAAGAACAAATTAAATTGTAAAGCACAAAACAACTGTTTCAGAGCTACTTCGGACTTGCTGCATTCAAAGGTAAACTGATGAAACAGGATATAAAAGACACATGTGAGATTAAAGCTGGGGTACATAACTTTGGTCTCGTACAGTAGATAACACACGCAGGGTCTGCATTCAGAGCTTTATCAGACTGTTGTGGTGAAGAGGGAGCAGCATCTGCAGTCAGAGCTCCTCATCCCATTAGGTGAGAGGGACAAGATCGCGGATCCAAACAGTCGAAATGAGATCCCTCTACAGAGGGGCTGGGCGCTCCCTTAGAGATCGGGAGGAGCTCAGTCACACAAGAAGAGCTCGTGTGACTCCTCCATGTGGAGAGGAGCCAGTTGAGGTGGCTCGGGCATCTGTTTAGGACGCTTCTTTGGGGAGGTGGTCTGGGCATGTCCCGCCGGGAAGGAGACTAGGGGAAGACCCTGGAGGGACCGTGTCTCTCAGCTGGCCTGGGAAGGCCTCAGGATTCCCCCAGATGAACTGGAGGAGGTGTCTGAGCGTCTCTGCTTAGACTGAATGAAGTTCTATTGTTGTGGTCAGAAAGTTACATATCCCAGCTTTAATTAGGCCGTGTCACAGTGCAGTGCAGGGACAGTGGAAGCAACTGGTTCCAAATGCAGCATCAGTCACGGACCACTGTGGTCTATTGTGTGGGAACGAAAATCAGAAAGAGACCAGAGAGAAACCAGTGAAAGACCAGAGGGAGACCAGAGAGACCATTGAGAGACCAGAGAGAAACTAGAGAGAAGTTAGAGAGAGACCAGAGGGAGGGACTAGAGTGAGAGAGAGAGAGACACCAGAGATAAACTATAGAGAGAGACCAATGTTTTAAAACAAATTAGAGACTTTTAAAGTACTAAAGGTTCTTTTTGTGAATTCAACTCGTAGACTCTGTATCAGCAGTGTGACATCATCATCGCGTTAGCCTAACGCAGAAAAGGCAGAGTAGAACATAAGATAGCTAATATTCTCTGGATTCGGTGGAGAGGATAATAATGAATCTCTGTTGCCCCTGTGTCTTTCTCCAAACCTGAAACCACTGCTACAAACATCAGTTTTAAAGCTGCTTGAATCCAAAAAGCTACAGCTGAGTTATAAAACCTATAAAACAGTTCCTGCTTCGTTCAGTCCAGATCTTTGAATGCTTTGGGAAAGTCAAACATGCGATAATGTTGCAGACGCCTTTTGTCGTTCCTTTGTGTGCAGCGGCGCATTATATTCTTGCGTTTTTTACCCAATAATACCAAAATCCAAGTCTTGTGTTATTTGTGTACAGTAATAATCGGTTTGTGATGCTACTTCAGTCGTAGCTCTCCGGTCTTCACAGCTAGTGGTGCGCTTTCTCTTTTCCTTGCTTTGATCTGCGCGTAATACTCTCTGGTTTTTGGTTTGATTGGGCGGCAAAGCACCGTATGATTATTAAGGATTTTGAAAGGTTCCAGAAAGTGCCGGTGTGGCTGCAGGTTTAACACCAACCAAGCAGGAGAACACCAGACTCCATCCATTTCTTGCTGTGTCTGCTGTGCTCCAGCTTGGTTGGAATGAAAACCTGCAGCCACGCCGACACTTTGAGGACTGGTTTGACCCCCTGTTTTTAATCAGAAAGCAAACACTATTCGGTTTGCGATGCTAGCTCTGTTGTAAATCTCTGGTCTTTGCAGCTTGTTGCTGTAACACGCACGATGTCCGAGCATGCGTCCAGTTGCAGCAGCCTTCAAAAAGCACAAACCTTTAATTGAATACTAGTTCTCGGTTCAGGTCTTGTAACGGTCCACTTGGCATTGTTGTGTAAACCAATCGTCGAGCTGCGATGCTACCTCTGTTGTGAGTATCCAGTCTTTGGTGTTCAATGTTCGTAGCAGTGCAAATGTTTTTGTTTCCCCAGTTGGAGCCGCCTTCAAAAGACCGTTTAATGTAAGAATCCAGTTGCTTTGGTTCAGTACAGATCTTTGAACGGTTTGGGATAATCAAACATGAGGTAATCCATGTAATAGAAATCATAAACCTTTTGTCTTTCCGTCGCATTGAGCTGTGAAAAATATTCTTGCGTTATTTTAGCCGAAGTCCTTTCTGCGAGCGGGTTTCTGTCCTTAACATCTGGAAAGGTCAGGTTCCGAGGCGCACCAATATTCCTCAACAAAAAGTTTGCTTCTTTTTCCAGATTTTCAAACTTCCCGATGAAGTTGTAGCGCATGAGGCACGGGCTGCACAACTGCGCGACCGGCTCCCAGTGGATGTCCATTCCCACCGGCCTTTTCACGTCCAACAAGTACCGCACAAACTCCCGGAACGTCACGCCTTCCCCGGTGCGCAGCGCGGCCTGCGTGGCATTGGCGCGGTATCTGGAAATGATCGGGCGCCCGAACACCGGGTGGTAGTAGGAATTCGGGCTCTCGAACTTGTCGCGAAAAGCCGAAACCAGGCGATCGAAAGGTTCGCGCACAAACAACATCTTGGTGTACGCTACCAGCCGCTCGCCGATGCTCGCACGGTCGTAGCTCTCAAGTCTCCGCAACTTGTTGGCGTAGTGCGCTTTATCGTGCGGGATGTCGGCCGTGCTGCGCGCCTTTCCGCTCAACACCATCAGCACTCGCTTCCAGTTGGAGCAGCCGGATTTGGGGACCTCGCAGTAGAGCAGGCGGTGCTGATCCTCCACGTACACGCGGGACACTTGTCTTTGGGTGAGGTGCTGGGGGGAGGTGTGCGGCTGGTAGCGCGCGCACACGTTCTGGAGGGTTTCACGGCGAGACCGTTGTGCCGCGGAGAGGTCGTGGTGTGCGCTGCGTCGGAGAGACTGCGGCTTCAGGAGAAGTTTGCGGTGGCGTCTGGTGACCGCGGGGCTGGACTGGGGAGCAGGAGGCTGAGGAGAGCAGTCCGTCTGGAAAGTGTAACAGAAAAACAAGGTTAATTTAGAGTGTTTTATAACCGTGTGGTGGATTATCTCAGCAAAGGAGAAGTGCTCCCTGACACAGATTTACAATTACAGTGCTTCAGTTTACACACCCAGGCAGAATTTAATATATTTGTAACTCTTTCTTGCCAGATAAATCCGTTCAAATTAAGTTAGAAACTCCTCTAGACCCTGATCATAAGTCTCCATCCCCCAGTTCTCAAAAGTGTATGTTGCTCTTACAGCTTTTTTTTGTGGTAGTTGTGGATGAGTTTCTTCATCTCTCGTCTCACAATGGTCTCTCTCTGATCTTTTTGGTCTCTCACCCTGATCTCTGGTCTCTCTCTGGTTTTCCATAGTCCTCAGTCCTCCTCCTGCCCCTCAGCACGGTGTCCTCTGCAGTTGTATTTTACAGTGTACTGTATGCAAGGCTTTTGACAGCTGCAGCAGCGCTCAGACCTACAACCAACAGGTTTGATATTGCCACGATTGTTAGCTTTACACTTCTGTAGCGGCACCAAGCTGAGGCTCTCTGAACAAATGCTAAAATAGTAATTTGTCTACATTTGGCTAACACTATGGTGATGTCACACTCGGTCAGTCCTCTCCTAGTACACGCTCTATGGTAATACTGAAGTACAAATATCTTGTTTTGTTTGGCTCACCTTGTCCATTGGCCACCGGGGGGCGATCAGTGACTGGGAGCCTGGAAACAGAGAGAGACAGACTCACTTAAAGAAGAAATATGAAGCATCTTTGTTGTTTAGAGAGACAGAGGGACCAGAGAGAGTAACCAGAGAGAGAGGCCTAAGAGAAAAACCATAGAGAAGCGTCAGAGTGAGAAACCAGAGGGAGGGTCTGAAGAGAGAGACTGAAGAGAGGAACCAGTGAGAGAGCAGAATCACCAAGGAGAGACCAGATGGAGAGACCAGAGGGAGACCAGAGGGAGAAACTAGGGAGAGACCAGAGCGAGAGACTAGAGAGAGAGAGAGACCAGAAAAACAAGATAGAGACTAGAGGGAGAGACTAGAGAGTCCAGAAAAAGAGACCAGTGTTCTAAAGTAAGCAGAAGACAGCATGCTGTGGTCTGATTTGTTTCACATTTTACATTTAAAAGACTTTTTCTGTTGGACACTCTACATGTGTTATTAATTCAATTGAATAGTTTGATACCCCAGCTTTAATTAGGTTGGGGTACATAGATGTCAATGGGAATTCCAACACGTTGTATATTTGTGAGAGTTCCGTCGAGCTTGTTTGAAATGCAGCTGAAGACATTGTTCTTCTTAACATTCTGCTGGTGTTTTTTGGCTTTATCTCCGTCTCAAACTGACGAATGTGAGACTGGAGCCATTTTTACCATTTACTCTGAAACTCTATGAATTATTCATGACCGACACTGACTCCGGCTCCGCGCACACAGACCTGAGCAGTGATGCGAGGCTCAACGGCACAAAAGAAACCACATTACAACCAGTTCTGATTCCACACCAGCACCAAAGCATTAAAGGTGATGTATGCAGCCTGTCAAAACAGAGAGAGACCAGGGAGAGAGAGACCAGAGAAAGAGAGCAGAGAGAGAGAGAGAGAGACTGGAGAGTTCAGAGGGAGGCCAGAAAGAGACCAGGGGGAGACCAGAGAGAGAGAAACCAGAGAAAGATACCAGAGAGACCTATAGAGAGAGAGTCTAGAGAGGGAGAGGGACCAGAGAAGAGAACAGAAAAACCAGAGAGAGTGTGGAGAGACACCAGTGACAGAGACCAGAGAGCCAAACTTGGAGCCAAACTTGATCATGAGCACTTCTCTATTCAGCTTTGTTGAGGTAGCGGGTTAGCATTGTCCAATCCGTATAAAGTCTATGGCTAAAACGAACACCTTCGCCCAGTTAACAATAATCATTAAAAAAAAAATCATGTGTGCTCCATTATGGCCTGTCTCTTTGTCGAAACGTGAAGAGAAGGGCTCCCTCTGGTGGTGGAGTAGAGCATTACAGCCATCCATTAAACACCAGCCTGTAAGTAAGTAAGTAGTAAGTAAGTAAGCTTTATTTATATACCGCCTTTCACAGACCAGAGCCACAAAGCGGTTTACAATTGTTATTTTTTGGGCACTTGTCCTCTCACTCCACACAGAGATGGGAGCGGGGTCGCCGAACAGGAGGCGCATGCCAGACCTATTGTACATATTTTTAGTGGTAGGGGAAACCGGAGTACCCGGAGGAAACCTACGCAGACACGGGGAGAACATGCAAACTCCACTCAGAAAGGCCCTGGTCCGGCCGGGATTCGAACCCAGTACCTTCTTTCTGAGAGGCGAGAGTGCTATCCACTCAGCCACCGTGCCGCTGTCTCCTCTGCTCCTCTGTCTCTCTGTTTTATTCATGTGGAAGTGATGAATATTTGAGATGTTCAGAGCGACAACGAGAAACTGAACAAGTGACGCTTTTAGAACGAGACCTGCCCCGAGATAACGACCAGTATTCACCACAGCTGCTCATTAGAAAACACTGCTCCAACCACTGTCCTCCACCGGCTCTACTCGGCTCTACTCGGCTCTACTCGGCTCTACTCGGCTTTACTCGACTCTACTCGGCCCTACTCGGCTCTACTCGGCTCTACTCGGCTCTACTCGGCTCTACTCGACTCTACTCGACTCCACTCAGCTCTACTCTGCTCTACTCGGCTCTATTCGACTCTGCTCGACTCTACTCGGCTCTACTCGGCTCTACTCGACTCTACTCGGCTCTACTCGGCTCTACTCCACACTACTTGGCTCTACTTGGCTCAACTGGACTCTATCTGACTCTACTCGGCTCTACTCAACACTACTCGGCTCTACTCGGTTCTACTTGGCTCTACTCAACTCTACTCGGCTCTACTCGGCTCTACTCGGCTCTACTCGGTTCTACTCGGCTCTACTCAACTCTACTCAACTCTACTCGGCTCTACTCGGCTCTACTCGGCTCTACTCGGCTCTACTCGGCTCTACTCGGTTCTACTCGGCTCTACTCAACTCTACTCAACTCTACTCGGCTCTACTCGGCTCTACTCGGCTCTACTCGGCTCTACTCGGCTCTACTCGGCTCTACTCAACACTACTTGGCTCTACTCAACTCTACTCGGCTCTACTCGGCTCTACTCAACACTACTTGGCTCTACTCGACTCTACTCAACACTACTAGGGTCTACTCAACTCTAATTGGCGCTACTCCACACTCTGTGGCTCTACTTGGCTCAACTGGACTCTACTCGGCTCTACTCGGCTCAACTCTTCTCGACTCTACTCCGCTCTACTCGGCTCTACTCAACTCTTCTCGACTCTACTCCGCTCTACTCGGCTCTACTCAACTCTACTCCGCTCTACTCGGCTCTACTCGGCTCTGCTCGGCTCTACTCAGCTCTACTCAACACTACGAGGGTCTACTCAACTCTAATTGGCGCTACTCCACACTCTGTGGCTCTACTTGGCTCAACTGGACTCTACTCGGCTCTACTCGGCTCTACTCAACACTACTCGGCTCTACTCGGCTCTACTCGGCTCTACTCGACCCCACTCGGCTCTACTCGGCTCTACTCGACCCCACTCGGCTCTACTCGGCTCTACTCAACTCTACTCTGCTCTGCTCTACTCTCTCGGCGTACATTGTAAAGCGGTTTGGGTGACCCTGGTCCATAAAAATGCGTATTTAAATAAACGTTACTCACTTACTCACTACTCAGCTCTGCCCCACACCACATCTGTGTCCAGGCAAATCCTTAACCACCCATAGACATCTCAAGGTGCTTAACAAAACTAGATAATAATTTACTAATAATAATAAATATTCGCAGTGCATTAATAAGATCGATGAAATACCGGGGCCCAAACCCTCTGTTGATGTGGTCTTAATATTTCTAGAAAAGGCAAGTCCGGTAGAATGTTGGTTGCTAGGTTGTTGCTATCTGAGAGGGTGGCTCCAGATTCTCTTTCGTGGACCCTGTTTTAGTCAGCTCATATCCTGTTGGAGCCTGTTTAACAATGGCGATTCTCACAGAGGCCGTGGGGGAGAGACAGTGGGGGAGATTGGGGGGGAGACTGCAAGGGAGGGAGGTGTCATGTTCAGAGAGCGGCACATTTATTATAGATGTGAAGCTTTTAGACGCTCTGTCGAACTACAGACATGGCCACAGATGAAGACGGAGACGGAAACTAGACCAGGACTGAACCAAAAATGAACCAGAACTAAACCAGGACAGAACCAGGAAGTATGTGTGTGTGTGTGTGTGTGTGTGTGCGTGCGTGCGGTATTAATATCTCAGACAAGTCTAAATATAATCCCGTTTGTCCCACGATGACGAGGGCTTTGAACTCATCCGTTTGTGAAGTCAGCTCTGAACACAGCTGCCTCTCCTCATCAGACCTGCAGAGGGTTTTAGCTCCATCCATGCACACATCTAACACAGAGTAAAAGGTCCACAGGTGGACCGGTTTAGAGTCTCTCTCTAGTCCAGGGGTGCTCAATACGTCGATCGCGATCTACCAGTCGATCGCAAAGGTAGTATTGGTAGATCGCATTAAATAAATAAAAAATTACACATTCTAAACTATCCATCCATCCATCCATCCATTTTCTTCCCTTTAATCCATTTCTGGGTCAGGGGGGTGACAGTCAGAGATGCCACCCAAGTCTCATAGCACCAGCCCCTCACTGACCCTCTGCAGGTGGTGAGTCCACAGGAGGATGGCTGCTCTCTGACTGTGAGCATAGCCTTGATCTTTCAGTGGGGGCTTTTGGGCAAAGTGGGGTTAAGTGTCTTGCCCAAGGACACAACGACAGCAGTCATCAGTGGGAGTCGGTGGAGAAGGTGTACATTCTAAACTAATATATACAAAACACTTTTGAAAACTCCGTTAATGCATTTGTGTGTAGACAGAGATAACCAGAGTTTTGCGTTCTCGCACGCCACAGTACCCCCTAAATTCCTCTGATCACTGAAGCATGGATCATACTACCTTAAAAACTGTTCGCTGTGAGATGCTCGCAGCAGCGAACATCCTCCACATCAGAGAGCAGCAAAGTGATCGCGGGGACTCACGCTCGAAAACAACCAAACCAGGACTAAACTAGGACTAAACCAGGACTAAAACGGGACTAAACCAGGACTAAACCAGGGCTGAGGACGGGGTCAGTGCTTGTAAACATACGTCTTTACTCTGAGTGTCTTCTATGACTGTAAAAGTGCCGTTACCGGCGTCTGCATCAAAGCTCCGCCCACTTCTGTGTTTTTCCCCAACGCAGGAAAGAGAAACATGTGCGTAAGAGACGCACATGTTTGGAATGTTACGAATGTGATTGATAACGCAGATGTGTGGATGCAAATTATTTTATAAACTGAGGAGGGAAAATATTTAGATTTTAAAAAAACAGGCATGGCACATGGACATGGCACCACAGTCAAATGACATCTGTGTTTTACTCAGTAATGTTTTACTGACACTTAGGTGACTGCACATGCGCAAACAACCGCGCTCAGTGCAGGAAAGCTCAACCACGACAAACTTGTCAGCGAGTTACCACCAATTTTCCGGACTATTATCTCCCTGGCCGATTCAATTCAGTGCAAGTCATAAGAGTAAACTCGGGTAATGACAAATGTACATAGGTAATTGTGTTGTGCTATATTGGCTCATGCGGTTTTGCACGTACATAAACATACATTGTAGATA